GAGAATTCACGAAAGTTCTTTTTATTCTAGATTTGCTGATATATCGGGCAAAATGTCGGATGGCGAAGGGTACGTATGCTTCAACATGTTTGGGAATACATTTCGGTTATTTGTGTGTGCTTGCGAAGAAAGTAAACGGTATTCCTTTTGAAATAAGCATAACTTTTATTTGTTAATGATTTTTATGTGCAGTGATGATGTTCCGTCTGCGGCGCCCACTGGGGGCTCCATGGACATAAACACAGCTCTTCAAGAAGTGTTGAAAATGGCACTTACACATGGGAGCCTAGCGCATGGGATTCACGAAGCAGCAAAAGCCTTAGACAAGTAAGTGCATTATATACTGTAGACCACTTTTGTGTGTGTCTATACAACACAAGGAGACTGGTTAGGTCTAAGTGAGCCAGGTTAGAAAAAAGAGGAATTGCAAACTAAATTGTAATAATAATACAGGAAAGCTCACTACGTGCACACTATATGGTGTTTAATTGTTAAAGAACTGTGTAGTATGTTATAAATAGATTCAATTTCGCTGAAGTCGTCTTTAATGGTTTTATCTCTACACAGTCTTAAAATTGAAGTACCATGTAGCTTTTCTTTGTCTTACACATCACGTTACAATTGGTTATGAACATTTTACTAGTTGATAATGTGAAATACTTCCAAATTCATGAGTATATACCAACTATCACAATTGCACCAAAGTAGAAGTTGGGGCTGGGAACTAAATTTACTTATTACATATAGGAAGGGAGGTAGAAGAAGAGATTACTGGTGGTATGTGTGCGTGTTCTTAACAGATCTATTCATCTCTTGGGTCTTCTACCGAACACATCCATTGTCAGGTTATGTTTTAATTGCTTCATTACTAAACTTAAGAAAATGAAGTTAAATCTATATTATTAACAACTGGTTTTATTAGTGTAATGTTCTGATTAATAGTGAATTAATTATTGGTTAAAGTTTGGTATACGGTACACCCTTAGAAAAGAGTGGCGGCGAGGCATAAGCCCTAATTGCTGTACGTGCTCTAATAGAAATGAATAAAACTTACGGAGAGGTGATTTTTATGGTTCACCCTTCATATGCTTTGTCCCCGCCGCATTGTAACGCCAATTTACTGTCAAAGGCAAGTTTTCTCCCTTCGCTCGCCTGGATCAAAGTCATGGCGAGGTTCGGGCCTTCGGCCCTCACATTCTCTATAAACATCCTTGAGTCTATCCAACACATAATTACCAATTCACTTTTATAAGACATCACTTTTTGAGAAAGCCTCCAGAATTCTAACTGCCTAGTTAATGCTGGAACCATGCAAAGTGTCGGTTTAAACGACTTCCTTAGGTTGTGCTCTATACTACGTTTCAGCCTAATTATTTTGTCCAGTGTAGCACCTGATGCATGTATTCAGTATTTTGATTACTTTATTTTTAATTTTCTTCTTTCTCTGCACTGATCTCGATCATTCTTAAACCTATCTGAAAGCTTGGGCAACATGTGCGCATATTCCCACTGTTGTCTGTCTGCAAGCGGAGATACAATATAAAGCAGAAAGTGTTGAATTCACTGAACTTAAGAGTTTAAAACAACTGCCAGCAAATAATGGTAGCAGTCAAGATTTTTGAATTTCTGATGTTGATGCATTTGAACATTCTTTCTGCTAGGAATGCTATCCTTCAAGTTTTTTCTATTCCATTTGTAATTATTTTGTCTGTAAATCAAGTTTAAATTCTTGTCTACCATATTTTACATCTCTTTTTGCAATCATGTGCAGCCAAGATATCTTCAAGGATGCCCGATTATTAAAATAAATCCTTTTTGTCAGGCATATTAAACTCTTAAACTTCAGGGCTGTAGTAATTAGTCTTATAGGCTGAGGCTTAGGTGAATGTTAAGATATTAGACAAATGTTCTTTACATTTGTGCCTATTGGAAAAATGTCTTGAAATGTGAATTACAATTAGGAAGTCTCTCAATTTGTGAGCAGGCCAAAGCTTTCTTAGAAACGGTCATCGTTAGAAGCATTTAAAGTTGCTGTGTTTCTGATTATTTTTGCACTATTCAGTAGTCAGAGTTGAGCGTATTTTCTTTTACCAACACTTCATACACACCTCCATAACTAGATTTCAGATTTTTTAAACTCTAAAAGCTCCCATTTAGGTGCCTATTGAGGTTTGTCATTGATTAAAATGGGTGTTACATCTTCTTAAATAAGCATTTAATTTGATATATACTAAAAGGAGTTCTTAAAATTATTTTATTTTATTAGAGAAATTATTATTAAAATGACATATTTATTCATTAAATAGGTAGTTGCCCAAAATACAATGTTACAAAATGTGTAGTGTTAATATCAATTAAATACATTTAATTCTTAACTTGCAAGCAAGTGTAATATAGTTTCTGGCCTAAAAAAGAATTTAGTTTCACATTTATTATCAATTTTACTAGTTGGCCATAATGCAAGAGTATAGGCCTAAATTAGATTCATCATTAGGTAGAATAAAATGTATTTTTATCATATCTAGTACCCTGCTGTGGAATTTTTCAGTTGATTCTTGATAATGTAGTGGGACAGTCAATTTTGCAATTAAGCAATGTACAAAAAAAACAACAAGAAATTGTGTGAAAGCAAGAATATAACAAATATTGTAAAAAATTAAAATGTAAATGAAGCACAATTTTAGCAAATTACATAATTAGAGCATGGTATCTACAATGAAATACTTTGCATTTGTATGACGCCTAGAACAAAATTTGTAACTAAAACCTCTTCAAAATTGGGACTGGAGTATGTCATATCATTCAAAAGCATTTAATGACATTTTGATTGTTGATTTGGTACATACTTAAACTGTAGAGATAGTTTGCAGAGATCTAATTGACATTGTATGCTGATTAGAAATTTTTATGCAGAACGAAGTCACAAAAATTCCATAAGATGAAAATGGGTGAAGTTGCTAATGAATTTTGGGGCACCTTAAATCAAGGTTAAAAACTCATGAGTTTCTATGAAGAAATTTAGAAGAGCACATACCCTTGCGGGTGTTTCTCATTCTTTATGCCCACATGTGCGTTTTGGGTACTTTATGGCATGCTCTAATACCAACATCTCATGGCATACTCTTCTAGGATTTATTTAGTCGCATACGTGATGTAAATCAGCTGTTCACGGTTTCATTCAATTGAGAGCTTGTGCGACCCCATAGTGACTTCACTGTAGTGACATTTTAGCTCCCGATTGGATGAAACTGCAACAGCTGATTTACGTCAAGTGCACAACTAAATAAATCGTACTATAATTTTTATGAATTCAATATCTTAAGGTTAAGATGCAAGCAAATACAATAAATAAATGGCATAATGCTCAAATAAGTAAACTAACGTGTTATAAACCTTATTTTGCTTAATTGATAGGAGTATTGCAATTTTGAAACGTTCCTCTGAATTTATAATTGCCATCGCTCATATTTTACTGTTAGGCATTGCCTGTTTTTATTTATTCATTTATTTTATTTTATTTTTATATTAGACAATGTGTTTCTTGAGGAGCTGTACTAGTAGTAAAAAGATTTAGAAGGCACGATGGCTAACATCCTCGAAATGTTATTTTAATTATTATTGTAAATTTTATGAAATGAAACTTTTGTCAATAATAATCTAAAAGTACCATTTCATCAGTGCAATTCGCACATATTTTCCATATAACTCTCAAATACACCATAATCATTTGCATATATTAATTGAGATTTCACTGCAAATGATTGTCCATGGCTTCGTTGCCTTTGGCAAAAATTTCCACAGGAACTTGACAATGTTCTTTCATTTTGTAAGAACAAATCAGTCCAAATGTAATTATGCACTCTTAATTAAAATAACCGTTTTGTTTACCTGACATTGACAAATAACTCTTACAATGCATCTTTTTACTAGATTCAAGAAAAATTATATAATGCTTTGAATTGTTGTTTGATTTAGCAATGAACTGGTAAACCAGACTTGTATGCAGTGTGACCGTTACTAGATGTTTTTGCCCCTAGGGTGTCATCCTTCTTCTTGGGATGGAGGTCACCTGTGGGGTGATGCTCTAGATAAATGACTATTAGGACTTAAAGGAACGAATGGATCCTTCCAAGCTCTAATGTAGAAATGTGCATTTTAGGCATTATGAATGTGGTTCGCGTAATATATCATGGAAAGTGTGTAATAAATTTGCTGTTATTAAGAGTAAAATAGAAGCTTACCTAAATATTCTATTCTTTTACCAGTATTTTGACAAAATTTAACCAAGCTTCTTGTAGAGATTTAAAAAGACAATGGATATTTTGATTTTCTGGATTTTTTTTTTTTTTTTTTAATGTACATTGAAGTAATTATTCAAATTTATCACCAGAGCTATCCAATTAAGAGAAATTATTTTAATTTGCCTGCTTATGTTTGATATCTTTGAACAGTAGGGCTTCCTTAATTGTACACCTTTGTGCAATATCCCTTTCAGTTAACATTTATAACTCAGGTTATATTTTTGTTTTCTATTCATTCAGATTCTTATTGTCAAACATAAGTATTCCTTTGAATGGTAGATGTTCAAAGGGTGTTGTAAAAGAAGTTATTTGTAAGGCTTTAATGATGAGTTTACTTATCATGTCTTATTTAAGAATTTGATTTCAAAGTGGATGTGAAAGAATTTATATTCTTGTGCTCATTGTGTAGGCGGCAAGCGTTGCTGTGTGTGCTGGCTGAAAATTGTGATGAGCCCATGTACAAGAAGCTTGTGCAAGCTCTGTGCAACGAACACCAAATACCACTTATTAAAGTGGATAATAACAAGAAATTAGGAGAATGGGCTGGGCTTTGTAAAATTGACAGTGCTGGTAAAGCAAGGAAAGTTGTTGGATGTTCATGTGTTGTGGTGAAGGTAAGTTTATATTTTCTTAGTGTCAAGTATTCATTTCAGATATGTTTAATGAATTTGTTTATTAACACAAACCCTTGTTTTCCAGGATTATGGAGAAGAAACTCCTGCTTATGATGTTCTGAAGGAATATCTTAAGCAGTCAAGAGAACCTTGAATTTAACTTTGTATTGTCCTATCCATTAAAAAAATGACACTAATATTGTTTTATTTCTACAAATATCTTCCTATTGTTTTCCTTTGAATTTTTTGAAAGTTAAATTGCTTCTGCATTTACAATTTTGTCACATATTGGTTTGTGAGTAGTCCAGTTTTTAACCTGACATTCCCTGTAAATGATAAAAGTATTTATTTTTTATCATAAAAAACTTATGGAATATAACTGTATTAAAATTTGATTTACCTGCCGCAAAACCAGTATGTTTTACATCGAGAACATCGTTTTGGAGCTGGATCTCCGCAAACCACACAGGACCGGGCATCTGGAGCCAAAGCTTCCAGTGTGTCCAAGTCAAAGGTTGCCTTCAATCTGGAAAGGGAAAAAAACACCCTGAAGTGTCAGTGAAACTAGCTTTACAATATTAGTATTTTCCTCCTGATTTGACATAAATGATGTAATTATTTTCTTGTTCTCTTAATGGTCTTCAGAATATTGGTAATGCAGGATCTGGATGACACACAGGATGATCATACTGGAAACAGTTCCAAAGACCTATCACATGCAGGTGCATTTTTGCTTCAGTAAAAAGAGAAAGTTGTCAAATAGACTTCAGAAAATGGTTTTGTTTAAATTATTTTTAAGGCATCTTGTAATGTACATATCACATTAAAACCGGATTTTGCCTTAGTTTTTCTGTAGCCATAAGAGTAGTTTTATTTTTATTAATTGATTTAGTTATAAGTAGTACTTAAATAGCAAGGATAACTAATTTAATGCAGGGGAAACTTTGTTGAGAAAATGTTCAGGTGGTTAGTGGGAACCCTGTTGTGGAACACAACTTGCAATTTTTCAAGAAATGTTATAAGCAAAATTGGAATAATGATTTAAAATTAAAATACTTTCAGAAGGTTTAGGTTGAAATGTCACATGCAATGGTAGAACACTAGCACAAAACACATTGGATTTTTGTTCCTGACCAGAATCTTGTGCAAAGGGTGAAAACGTTCAATGCTAAAGAAATTTGTTCACCATATTAATAATTTCTTTAAATATCTGGTACCTGTTGGCTACTTCTATCATTTGATCTTCTTTATTAAAGAAGGCGTCCATTTGTTGCTGAATTATTTTTGTCCACTTTCCTTTGTTCTGTCTCAATATGTTTTGTCTAATCTGAAAATAAAAAATCCTTTGTAATTAATCTTTATTACATAAATTGAGAATGCAGGAAATTGTTGCAACAGTTATACCTCATGTGTTGTACCTTGAACCTTACAATTTAAAATGAGATTAAATTCAAATAATAAATCAGTATTAAATAGCAACAGTCGGTTCAGTTTCTCTGGCAATGTTGAATCGAGGGAGGTGCCTTCCCCCGCCCGTGTTTGTCTACCACTTGTCAATAGTGTCATGTGTAAGCATGTGAACCTGGGAGGTGATCGTAGTCCTCTTATGCTGGCGCGTGATATCCAGTGCCAACCTACATGGCTTCTAGGGTTGTCCCCAGCAGGGCCTTGCCCTCAAACGAAACGATTTTCGAGGTATCAGCATGTGTGGTTGGGCAGTGTATGTGGAAAAGAGGAAAAATATGTGCATGGTCCATGAAACGTTTGTTGAGAATATGACTCCGTCTGGTATTGCATTGATCTGACAAACTACTGATTAGAGCGGCTGATTGATTTCTCCCTTTGTCATAAATAACCTAAATACAATCTGCCATTTTTAAACTAGGAAACTTGGTTTTAACTCTAAATATGTTTTCGTAGCTCAGAAAATATTTTAAATGAGTGTACCATAATCAAAATTTAGTGTGGTAATCAGAAGAAAATGGAATAGAAGGAAAATACTTCTTTTCAATAGGTAAATTGTATTTTTATTTTATCTTAGACAATCTGCAACTTCCATTGTTACAAGTTGATTTGTCTCCACCAGGGGTGGATCCAGCCAATCTTTGTGGAGGGGGCCAACATACATTTTTGTTACATAAACATTTTTTATTATATTGTGTATTTTTGTTGTGCATATATGGCACTATACAATATTTTTTTAATAATTACATAATTCAAACATGAATATTTAAATCAGTTTTGCCAAATCAAAGAAGGTAACAAATGAAAACTCTAAGCCTTTTAGGGGAGGCCTTGGCCCCTGCCTGAATCTGCCGCTGGTCTCATAGCCAACAAATTTGTGTGGTTTTAAAGTACAGGTGAAGCATAAACCATTGTGAGTGCTAAGTGGAATAGCACTGTCCCCTATATTATTTAAACAGTAAAAAATTCTTATGGGAAATGAAGACACATCTACTCTAAATTCTGATGCATTTAACTATAATGCTAAGCACAAAGAGACCCCTTCACTTTGAAATTACACTTTATCGAAAGAGTTCCATTATAGACTTTCACAAGCTGAAAGAGGCATGTGCAACCTGAAAAAGCAAGGCAGGCCTACTGCATTTCTGGGTCCCTCTTTTCCATTCATTTATGTATTTTCAAATGACATATTTTAGTTGCAAATAAATGAAATATACTACAAAGAGAAATAACTTACAACTTTAATTATTACTATTAAAATTATGAAATGACTTTATTAATAGTTGTTTATGATTAAAATAGTATTGAATTGAACTGTTTACAGGCTGCAAGACACACAGAGCCTTTTTCCACATGTGTAACACAACTTTAATTTACAGTGTTTGAAAAATTATTTTAAATGATTGTAATTTAGTATGTAATTGATTGTATGTTGATTATAACACTTCAGTATGAGCCCACTACAGTAATGAATTTTGTCGTTAACTGATAATACAATAAAAACTGATTTAGTGTGTCATTGTAAATTTTTAATGAGCAATCACTAACAAAAAACATGAAAAGAAAACAAAATGCGTAAAAAATGACTCAAAGGTCCAGTAAATGGCAAAAAATAACAAAAAATCCCCCAATAACTACATATTTCTATCATCTGTGTCTTGATAAACATTCACTAACAAGTTAGCTATGTCTGATGAAAAAATGACATGTCCACAGACTCCGAGCCTTCGTTATAAAAGTCAAAATTTTAATAAGTTAATTAGAATGTGTATAATAGCAATTTAAACAGCATGTACTGTAATATTTGTGTGCAATTTTTTATTAAAATTAATTTATTGTAGGATAAAAAATATTTTTTAAGTGAACGTCATATATGGCATATGCTGCATTCTTGTGACATTTTGTGATCTGTCATTAACTTACAGTATCTCAAAATTTTACCTGTGGCACCATTTCAATGATAATAGGAGGCTTTGCTGAAGATGGCATTGTGGAAATGGACAAAGTGCTCAACCATTGCTTTAATTCAACAAGTGGTGAGACCTGATCCATTACAATGTCATGAAGTCTGCCCTGCAACTAAAGAAGATCTGATTCAAAGTACCTGCTTAAAAAATAAGGATGTACAATATTTCAGGATGACTTAGCATTTTCAGTACCTTTGTGAGTTGTGTTTTGCGGTAGTCATTAAATTCGTAGTATGTTAGACACTTGGGATCTAAAAGCAAATGTCGGAGACACAGCCAGATTTGAGCCTCTGTTCTTGATAACTTCATCTTAGCTTCTCCTTCTAATAATTTCCATTTCCCTTCTGGAAATGAAAAGGTGATGAGGCACCTTCAGCTTTCAAACTATATTGGAGGTTAATAAACCACTAAAATCATTTTAAAATAGTAAAATTGAATATAGTATATATAATATGGTATATAAAATAGTAAAGAGGCAATTTTCATTTTAGATATAAAAGTGGAGTGAGAATGATATTATGGTGTAAGAAGTTTGGAGTTTCCAAAATTTAGGGCTATTCAGTGTTTTATACATGTGTAGATAAAAGTTTAGGCTTCCATGGCTGGAATCAATAAATACTTTGCTGTCCAGGAGATGGCGGCGTCTGTACATAGGGCACAGTGACTCCTGGACACCAAGTATCAACATGAATAGATGTCTGTAAAAAATGTTTCAATGACATTGAAATCATATATTCAATCCATTGTGTATTAATTAAATGTAGATGAATACGAAGCTTTAAATATAATTTTATATAAAATGGTTATTATGTGTGAATTACATATTTATGAACGCCTACCCAAATACTTGAGTGTGTGCCCTTTTGCATCATGCCGAATCCATGGCATAGAATCCAATAAATTCTTGAACATCATAGGAACATCGTGGGTATTATATATGCGTGTAGTTGCTGGCAATGGAAGCCTGTAAAGCAAAATGTTCATGAAATTTAACAATGTTATTATGTTATGCTTTAATCTGGAATTTTACCTGTCTAAAGCCTGGGCAATGTAACTTAAAATAGTTATGCTCCTGATGGCAATATCGAAAGCCAATTCCTTCTGTTGGTATTGCAATTCTTCTATAGTGGATCTAGAAGTTACTGTTGTAGTATCCAAGGAGTAATCGGTTAAGGAAGCCAAAGAGATAATGGAAACAGCACAGTAATCAATTAAGTCTATACACGAATCATCTAAAGCTTCACAAGAATCTTGATGGAATAATACTGTTTCCAACTGAGCCACTGCTGTTACTTCGTGATATAACTATAACATACCAAACAGTTAAGGGAAGGTTGCTTTTTCTTACAGTAAGGTGAAGTTCACTGATGAATTTTCATACTTACCACCATATAGGGCATGAATGTATTTTTAGGAAGAGGATTTACTTCCAGAAGAGCAGGAAAAATTTTTTCCCTCCATACGGAAACACAAACTGCTTCTTGAACCAGCACAGGGATCTGCAGATCCATTGAAGATCTTAGCCAAACAGTTTTGATCATAGAGTATTATTCAAACCCTGTTTTTTAAAATCAGTAATACCTTAGCCAAAGATACAAAAGCTTCCTTAACACTCTCTTCCCTTAAGGACCCAGTCTCAAAAATTGTCTGCTGGTGAAGTTTTTGCAATCGGTCATGCTTTTCAAACCATCTGCAATGAATATTAGAGTTTAACACGATAGACTTCATGTTAATTAGTGTGTTGTATTATTTCAAGTTTCTAATGATTAATCTATCTCTTTTTTTTTTCTCTCTCAGCACAGTTGCTAGGATATTTTAAAGTATAATACCTCATAGTACCCAATTCCTCTATTGAGGTTGGTTCTAGTGTTTTCACATATAGTTCGACTTCCCCCGGAGGAAGAATATATTCTAAATTCTGTGACATGTTTCACGCACTGGTTTCTGGACTGTCTCCAATTCTCGCATAGATCTGAGAGCCATTTGTAAACAATTTAAGTTTCTATGACAACACAAGTAGATAACCAAATGAGTGTATTAAAATTTTATGTCAAATTGATATTTTTGTTTTGCTTTTAATGTACAAAATAAGAAATAATTTTCTCTCATATAAACATTGAAAGTTGATGACTCAATATTTGCGTTAAAGTAATTCAAAATAATTATGAATTAAATTATTTACATACGGTTTATGTAATTTGTTTAATTCACAGAAATGGTAATGACAAACTGCATCATCTATTAAATAATCTAATGAATGAGACTAATTTCACTGCAAATCAATTATCATAGAAAGTTAACAGTTGCAAAATACAAAGAAAATAAAGTGTTTATTTCATAATAAATTACAATACCATGATGATTGATGAAAAAACCTTTTAAAAATGTTAATTTACACATTTAAAATTTTAAGTAGTCTGTAAAAATACTTTGAAGTACGTTTTCGACAAACCTGTTGTCTTATTTAATTCGCCCGCCAAGAAATGTTTCTTGCAGGGAATGTTGGCTAATCTGAAGGTGACCTTCGAGCGAGACAGGAGAACAGCTACATCCAACGTAGCAGCAAACCAGCAAACGTGGTGGTGTTGACGTAGTGTCCTGATAGGGAGGCGCTAACGTCGCGTGTGAGGTGGTGGAGTGGCATTTTATTTCGTGCATTTTACGATGTCGTCTTCAGAAGAAGAGTTAAAGGCTGGGCATCCTCCTGCAGGTACAAGAAGATCCAGTTTCATTTAAATGTCCTTATTTTCAGTTCTATTTTTATGACAGCTGGATGTGTAAATCCGTGCCATGTTTCTCAGTGAAAGCAGGAGGTATGCGGATAACACAACACAAAGGCCCGAGAGATGAGAAAGAAGCCAAAACCCCCAAGGAAGTACCAGAAAATGACACTTCAACATTGAAAGTTTCGACGAGGTTGGTTCTTCAACTGGTAATTTAAAATAACGGTAACAGTTTCCAGACTTTTAATTTTTTTTTCATATTACAGTCCACCAAAGTCTCTCACTATATCTGGAGCTCCTGTCAGAGGTCATGCAGATTTTCCAACTGAAGCTGTTCAGAGTTTCCATGAGAAACCTGTCCCTACACATGATGCTCGTCCAGCACATGTTTCCAAGCCAAATATTATCCATCAGCCAAGAAAGTAGGAAAGCACAAGTGCAAATGAATTGATAAAAATCACATTGACTTCACTGTGGGTACTTCATCTATGCATTTATTTGAAAGTAAAATTCCTCAAAGAAAACATATTTTTATTAAGATAACTACAATTCCACAATGATTTTGACATTAACACTATGTAGCAGTCATGTTTAAAGCTTTTTTTTTTTGTACATTGTTTTATCTGAACAAAAGTTGTTTTTGTATGATGGCCAACTATTATATTATAGTGTACTGTAAATATGTTCAGTACTTGGGTATTGGGATAATTATATAAAATAAAATCAAGCAAGTACATTAACATTCCTGCATCTTGGTTCACAAATCATACTGGTTAAATTCAGGGAATAAGTTGCACTACATCTTCAATCACAATAGGTGATTTATATTTGCATATTTTTTTCTACTTTTCTGAAAGTCAAAGACTACACGTATAATGATACTCAACAGTGCAATGATGGTATTAACACAGATATGGCTTGCTATGATAGGCAGATCATATATATATATATTTTTATATATTGAGTACTCAGAAAATTTCCAAGAGTATACATTGGAAGACTGACATTTCTGTTATCCAAGTTCATTTCTGGTTATTAGCATTGATTTGTTTGGTTTTCTGTCATTTGAAAGTGGATGGGTCTGCTTAATTGGTGGTGGTAACAGCTGATGGATAGTAATTTTTGGTGCTTAAACATAATTTTTGTTGAAGTGAACTCTCACTTAAAATTTTTACATGTGTGTATATACCTACATATATTCCAATTAGAATAAAGTATTGTTTACTATTGTGTTGAATTGCAAAGATAATAAAACAAGTTCTTTCTTTTCAAATTCCAGAAATTTATTCTTTATCAAACATTGAACTCCCAAGTTCCTTATTTTATCTTAAGAATGCTTAAATATTGATTTAGTGGCTGTGTTTTTGTGATTATGAACGTTACAAAAATAATCAACGATCTGGGCGTTTTAGATACAAATGACAGTATTTTGTATGTTAAATATTAATGAAAAGAGCAGCTAAAAAAGAAAATAGGTTGTAGATTAATTTTCTTTCAAACGTGTTTTTGAATAGTGGTCAGTGACAGGTGTAGACAGTGTAGAACTCTCTCTGGTATATAACGTACAAAAGAAATTCGGTGTTCGAAAAAAAATTTTTTTCTAAAGCCCGCGAATTTTGAACCGAACGTTACAGCAGGCATGTGCCTGAGCGTGAAAACGAAGTATTGATTTAAATTCGTTGAGAGCTTTGCGTGAATAAAATGTCTGTCACTCGTATTCGCATCATAAGAAAAAATGTAGGGCTTGAAAGTTCTGTCTACATAGCATCAGTAATGTGTTCCACGTACGCATTTTCTTTGTAATGGTTTTCAAATGCGTTATTAAATACTGCACGAAACATGTTAATTTCGGGAGGACCCACGTTTTCATTGGTTAAAATTCCTGGCCCACTCCACTTTCTCGTCTTACATAAGTGTTTCCGAAAATAAAAGTACCACTTCGGCATCGACCACTGTTTACACAGCCGATTATGAAGAACAGAATTATGTATCTGGGCAATTTACTTGCATAACAGGCGATGCGTATTACCAATGTGACAATATAAAACGCGAATTCGTTCCTCATCAGTCATTCGATAGTATTGGTCTTGATTTATCAAGTATGTTGCTTATCGAATGGTCTCATTGGCATACGATATCTGTATAGACATGCTTGTATTCAGTGCATGCGGAGTGCACGAGTTCAATCGGTCAGTCGAAGTGGACATTTGGTAACTGTAGAGAGATACCCGCACAGCAGGGACGGGAGAGCGGGCGGACACGGGCGAGGCCGTCTGTGGGTGGTAGCGGCTGACGTACGGTGCGTGACTATGACCAGCAGAAACGGAGGGAGAACCGGGGAGAACATCGAAACAGCTGACCGGTAAGGTGTCACGCTTCCTTCGCGCTGATGGAGTTTCGTTAACTAATAATTGAGTTCTGATGAATTATACAATATAATTTTATATCAGTATGCTTCCTCCTGAAATCTTAAATCAACTAGAGCACTAATATATCGATGACACTTGTTCCTTAGGAAAAATTCAAATTATACTGTGTGCCTAAAACAATAATTAAACGATATATAGTTAACATTTTTTTTTATGTTACCGATTAAAATAGATTTAGTTTGCCAAGGTCTACGAATGGCGCGGTTTTTAAAATGAGACTTCAGTGTACAAAACGTAACCAATTTTGTGATTTAATGTATATATTTGATCACACAATTTTACATATTATCGAAGAGAATTATGTAGTTAATCAACTATTATACTTCCTGCTTTTACAAGAAGACGATGGGCGAAAGAAGACTTGCTAGATGGTATTTCGGAGGTCTCGCTTCGGCCGGTGCGGCTTGCTGCACGCACCCGTTAGATTTGTTGAAGGTATTTTCAATGACGGTGTAAATATTTTTTATTAAGAAACAATTTCAGGTTTGCTGGTTTGAGTAATTATCTGCTTGTGTATTTAAGGTTCATTTACAAACTCAGCAGGAAGGGAGGTTGTCGATTTTAAAACTTACTGTGAATATTGTGAAGCAGCAAGGTATTTTAGCCCTTTACAATGGGCTTTCTGCGTCATTAGTCCGGCAACTAACATATTCTACCACAAGATTTGGAATTTATGAGGTGAGAGCTTTGTTTAGTCCATCTTGTGAAGCACCATCTGAGAATGTTAATTACTTTTGTTGAATTAAATGTTGCTGTTAAACATTGCAGATAGCTAAGCAATCAATTGCACCATCTGGAGATTCCATTCCTTTCTATCAACGTGTTGGGTTGGCTGCTGTAGCTGGAGCTGCAGGTGGATTTGTTGGGACCCCTGGTGATTTAGTTAATGTTCGGATGCAAAATGATATCAAACTTTCACCTGAATTAAGAAGAAAGTATGTATTTCATTCACATATGTATAAAAGACAATTGTATCAATGATTGTTCATTAATCATGTAATTATTAGCAAAATGTTACTTTTTTTCTAGTTATAAACATGCTCTTGATGGTTTAATACGTGTATATCAAGAAGAAGGGTTACGTCGATTATTCTCAGGTGCCTCTACGGCTACAGGAAGAGCTGTACTTATGACTATTGGCCAATTATCCTTTTATGACCAAGTTAAACAATTTTTATTAAGTATTGGAATGCTGGACAACCTAACAACTCATTTTCTTTCCAGCTTAACTGCAGTAAGTTGATTTGAAAAATATTTCCTATACTTAATTTATTATATAGTATATTAATTTTACTTTCTCGCTTACTATATACATAATATAGAGAAAGTTATGAAATTCTGCAGTGAAAAACTGAATTTTCATCCTAAAAATTCTTATTGTAGATCCCCAAGACGAAAAAAGGAGAATAATTCTTGTTCTATTAGGTAGTATATTACTTCTTATGTTAACATACATTCACTTGGGTACAGCTACTGTGCTGAAGAATTTTATTCTTGTTTCTTTCCTTGTTTTATTTTTTAGATCTCTGTCACACATATTTCTAATTTTATTTTGTCTATCTAAATTTATCTCTTTCAGACAAGATCTGACAATTAGATATTTAAAATGTTTTACTTGCTCAATAATTCTCTCACAATCTTTTTTCTTACTGGGTATTTGCCTTTATATGCCATAACTTTAGTGTTTTCTGTGGATATTTTAAAACCATATCCTATTGCAGTTTGATTTAATTTATATATGCTGCCTGCATTTTGTCTTCAGAGTTTTGTATTATCATTTTGTCATTGCATGTAAAATTGAGTTTAAAAATGTTTTTCTAAACTAGATCCCTGTATCTATAATTTTCATATTTTTCATATTCTAAAGAGATTAGAAAACTAAATAGTTCAAAGAAGTCTGTGCCATTCTGTAGTACCATTGCTCAAATATTTTCATTTTTATAATTCTGTATAAGAATATTCAGTTCAAGCACTGAAATGTATAACTCGTGATTGTACTAATTAATGTTTTATTCCTTTAAAAATGTTATCACTTTTCATGACAGGGGGCAGTTGCAACAACTCTAACTCAACCTTTGGATGTTTTGAAAACAAGAGCAATGAATGCCAAACCAGGAGAGTTTCGTGTGAGTAAAATTTGTATTCAATAATAAAACCGTAGTTTTGTTTTATTGTTTCTTTTAATAGTATATTTTTTTAAAAATTGAAAATTAAATATTGATGTTGCAGGGCTTGTGGCATTTAACCACTTACACTGCCAAACTTGGACCTTTGGGATTCTTCAAAGTATTATTAATTTTTTTATAAATTAACTGCAAATACTTACCTGATAAGTACTCAAATTTTTAAATCTGGAATATTTGTTTTAGGGATATGTACCTGCTTTTGTACGGCTTGGACCTCACACCATCCTGACGTTTGTGTTCCTCGAACAGTTAAGAAAAAACTTTGGAATTGTTTCATCTTAATAGAAGTTCTATTGCTTGAATTGGTCTACATAGTTCAGGAGAAAATGTGTTGTAGTGGTATATATAGTGGTAATGTGGAGCAGTAGTAATAATTCTTATGCTTAAGAATGTGTTTCTAATCAATATGCATAGATGCATGGGTATGGTGATTTAAAGTATTTATAGAAGCGATAATCAGTGTACTGTAATGCATATCAATTTTTTTTAATGGAAGAAGAATATAATTTACAGATGTTCCATCTAAAACTGGAAAGTAAAAAAAAAAAAAAAATTGCAAGTGAGAGAACTAATGTTGTAGATGAATGATAATTGTGTGCAGCATGTCAGGTCTTGCTTTTGTTTTTAATTGTGCACTCCTAACTTGGTGTGTTGCAAATTTGACAACTTAATTCTCTAGTATTACTTTTATAAATATTGAAATTTAATATTGCATGGCCAGTTGAATTTTAGATTGTTAGATTTGAAACTTTTACAAACTTTGCAACCATTAATCAGCAACATAAGTAATTTTTAATGAGATGATTTGTACCTTGTTCAAGGGACCACAATATGACAAAAGATGTTTTATTCTTTGCTGGGCAAACAATGACTTTTTTTTTTGAGGCCCATTATTCAAGCTACAGGAGGTATGGATCTCAAAACTACTTGAGTTAATATCCTCTGAAATATTGTATTACTTATTGCTGATGACTTATGCAAATGTTTTTTACCTGTTGATCTTTAAGCACCAGTAACAAGTATTGCATGAGGTTGATTTTATACATTTAGGAAAAGTGACTGGAAAATACAATGTTGAATGGGTTGTAAGTCTCATAGTCATGAATGGTTGCAAGGTAATTAAACAGTTTCTTGAAAAACATTATTTTAATGTAGAATGAATACTCTAAAGATCAAGGTTGTGGATTATGTGTTCTCTGAAGCTCAGTTGTAGATTCGATTTCTACCTTTTGACGGTATATATGCATCTGGAGCTGCAGTACTATTTATCTATATTTTGAAATATGCAATTTACACGAAACAATAAAACTACTTCTATACAAAACTAGAGACCAATTCTCCATGCTAAGTATTGTGACAATCTTCCATTTGTCAGGCAACACAAGATGTTCTGCATTTTCACTTTGCACTTCAAATGCCAAAGATCTGCGTATCATCAATTGAGTGATGTATCAAAACAGATATGTTAAGAATTGTTGCATTTATTTTATGTAGTCTTATAGAACTTTTAAAAATTGTTGTATTTTGAAATGTATTTTACATAATTTTGTTGAAATATGAAAGATTATGTGTGCTGTTGTACGTTAATAACAATATATGTATATATTTAAAGAATAAATGGTATTGATTTTCCCAAAAAGTGTAGAAATATATAACGTCAATTTTCAAAACAACTTATATTTACAGTAACATCTAAAAACAACACATTTTACAACTGTTCACATTATAAGTACTTTGCTTTGAGCTAAATACATGAAGAAATATCAGCAATTGAATAGACTTACAAAATCACCAGACAAGTACTAAAGATGAAGGCATGGTAAAGTGTGAAAAGTTAATAGAGCAGTAATGCAAATTTGTAATAACGAAACCGACCTCTGCACTACACTGTATGCACTGAAATGCGGTAGACTATCTTTTACAATATGGTTATTTTACATCATTACCATTATATTTATATTAGCCATACATGCAAGTGTCATTTGCAGACAAGGCAAGCCATTCACTGGTCCACCGGGTTCAATTTAGTTCCTGTGAATTTAACATTTACAATTAGTTGGCTGTAGTAGCGTGCTGTGCAGGATGTAAAATGTGGCAATACTTCAATACTTAGTAAGAAATCATAGTCTGAGTTTGTCTGGTGAATTATTTTCATATCCGCTATTGGAAACTTTGAATGAAGGTGGGGGAGGTGTACATATCGCAAAAATTACAATCACGTTACGAAGAGTGCGTAAATCCTTGTTGTTGCAATAAATTTTCTTTAAAAAGGGCATGATATCTTTCCAATAGAAGACCAGCTTCCTTTTTTACTTCAAAAATAGAGCTCATAAGTTGCTTATAGTTCTTATTTTCAATTGCACTGCTTATCCGTTCAAGATGGCCAGGGTCTACATTGATGTTTTCATTTGCAAATGATAATACTTCATTTGCTTGATTAAACACTGCTTCATCCACTTCTTTTTGGGAAGAATACCATCTGAAATAATTAACAAATCAGTGGGATATCAGAAAATGAAACTGAAGGAAACAAGCATTTTTGTGTCCCAAAGTAGTAATTTTTATACTTAAGTTTTTACATTATTTGCACATTGGTATTGGTAATAGTAATAATACTACAACTGAAAGTTGGATAAATTGTATTTAATAAAAGTTATGCAAAATGCTTCACCTTTTCTTTTTCCTTTTCTTAGAAATAGTTTCTTCATCTGGGACTAAATTGTGGCACATTTCCCAAAAAGTTATCAGCTGTATTCCTTCTTCAAATCCATTGCAATTTTGTAAGAAGTCTTGAAACTTTTGTCTGCCAACATGGGTGCTCAATACATTCTCAACGTTAACAATCCATCGTCTAACTGTTTCTGGAGACACACTCCCTGAATTACTAGCACCCAGACATCCTTCCATCAGGTGTTGCTATTTGTTTTCATGCTTGTTAATCATGTAACGTTTCTGCACATAAAAACAACTTTGTTTAAATTGTTATCTATTCCTTGAATGCAATACAGTTGTAACTTTTGAAGTCCACCAGTATATTTGTTTCAAAACATTTTAAATCATGGTTCATAATTATTCATTACACCCTACAAATTCTAACTTAGATACAATGCGAACGGTGTACTTTGCAAATGTTCACTTGCACCTAAAATATGGAATCATAATCTGGAGAAATTCCCTGTAAATGAAAATTGATAACAATGACACGTGACCTGCAAATCAGTGTTCAAGAAATTACAAATACTACCACTCCCATTCATGTAAATATTTGAAATATTAATCTTCACAAAGAAGACACTTATGGGAAACAAGAATTCTGTTACTCTAAAAATAGAAGTTCATAATTTTGATACTAGACAAAAAAGAAATCTGAATCTCCCTCACAGTGAAACTTCACTCTTACAAAAAAGTACCTTTATAGAAGGCATTACACTATACAACAAACTCCCTAGTGAATTTAAAAGGTTGAACTCAATACACACACATTCAAAAATTCACTGAAAGCTTTCCTGTTAAACCATACATTCTACAGTACATCATAAGCCTGTATCTACATCATTATAAACTAGTACTAATAATTTTTGCATATTCTGTTGCATGAACCCCACAAATTGAATACAAAGGACAGACCAGGCATGAATCTCCTACGAAGAGATTTTTTATTCTCTTTTTTCCTTTCTTTCTTTTTATTATTGTTTTTCAATTTTAGTCTTCTTACACTACCATTTATAATACTAATTATCATTGCATTATATTGTGTTTAGTACAAGAATTGAATTGAATTTTAATTTCTGTATTGTAATTAATTTTTAGAAATACCAATATTGTACATTGTATTATTATATACAAATTCGGACTTGTCATACATGGCTTATGCTGTATTTATGTGACAAATATGTTATTATTATACATTACGCTATATGTTCATCCTTTGCATTTCGTTCTTAATCTGAGTAACTGCTTTTGCGACCCATTATTTTAATTTTCAAGAAATTTAATTTGCTTCTTTTTCCATTAATACTTTTAATGTATGTGCAAGAATGTCATGATAAGTGGTGTAGGTAGTATTCCCCTGAAGTGATATCTCTATTACCGCTGCTTATCACGAGTTGCACTTCCGTACGCAAGCACTACGCGAGCATGGCGCATACAATACATTATTATTTTAGCACCAGCACGAATCTTGAGCTATACCTTCAAAAGAACTTCAGTATCAAGTACCCGACATGATTCTTATAATCACAAGTCTTATAATCTTCATCGAACAATGTTTATTTTTTATTGCATCGCATTTTGGCACATATGTGGGTGCAAAGTATTGCGAACTATTATTTGTCCTCTCATATTAATTTCAGATGTAATAACGATGTTTCGAAATGAACGGCGGAACAAAGAAGAGACATTTTTTTCAATAAAAGGATTTTTATTATGCCAATGCCGTACAAGGATTCGCTTACTAACTCCCTAATTTTAGATCAAGAATTTGTATTACGTAAGTTGCCTCTGGATTTACACAGTGTTTGTAACTACAAACAGAATGGAAATAATAATTTGAACTTTGTTTGCATCAGGCCTACGTACATATATAAATGGTTTAGCAAACTTTCCCTTTTCACGCTCATTGATAACCACGAGTCTTAATTCTGAGAAAAAAACCACACCACAACCATACTTTGCGACAGCTATAAAACCATATCCCCGTCCCCGCCCTTTCTTTACCCCTCTCCGATGTCCTCTCTCTCGTGTTTCATGGAACAGGTGTAGAAAGTCATGGAATAAGCCTTACGTGTTTTGCTCTTAGAAGTTTTTTTCAGATATTTGCCCTCCAAGGTTTGTGGTTGGGGTCTTGCGCTGTTGCGCTAATGTGTTCTGCATCGTTTGTTGCTTCGTAACTGCTTGTTCTTGTGGAATTGCTGAATCGGCTGTCCGTGTTCGTGTTCCTGCTGCTCTCTCCGCTAATTGTACGTCAGTAGACTTGCCTATAATGGCGATGCTTGTGAGGTGGTTGTCTGCATGTATTTGCGTATTTTTGCTGGTTTCCTGTGGAAATGGAGTCCAGCTGTCACATGCAGGTAAGAACAATTTTTGTTTAGAACCATTGACATGTAAATGAATTGGGAATGACATTTTATGTGAGTTCTATAATTTGTAAACTTCACAGCCGTATTGGGAGATACGTACGTCACTAAAAACGTACTGTTTCAGTAAATGATGTATTTTTTACTGAAAAAAAAAAGTTTAAATGTTAAGTGGAGTTTCATTTGGTAATCTGTGCCTGATTTATGGAACAGGAAATGAAACACGAGGGAGGAGGTTGTGCAATTGCTATGGTGCCTACTTCCCCTGTTGTAACTCTGTCAAATGAAAGAACCACGTTTAGTTTTGATGAGTGTGTTAATATAATTAAAGATTATATATATATATATATATATATATATATATATATATATATATATAATATCTGAAATTATTAACATGAGTAAAAAGTAAAAGCTGTTTCCCCTCCAGTGTAATTGTAGAATTCAAGAATTCATGACAAATTTTTCTCAAGGACATCAAGAAAAATCTTACATTTCCTTGAATAATAAAATAGCGTCAATGATAATTAGGAGAGGTAAAAATAAAAGGTTTATTTTTTTAAAATTTGTTTCAAGAAGTTTAACATGTTATTTGTTTGATAAATTTTTGTTAATTTTTCACAAACTTTTTATTACTCATAATGCAAACATGTGAAACTTTGAGTATGTAATAATTTTATAAGTTGTTAGTTCTTATCTGATAAGTATCTTTTCCCCCATACGTCACATACAGCCTTTACTGTTGTTTTGACTAAATAAATCCAAGTCTTTCTGCAAATTGTTTATTATGAAGCTGTATACAATCTTATTTAATTTGAAATGAGAGAAATCAAATGGAAGTTAAGAATGGGCCAACCATATAATAAATTATTGGAAACAATCTCTAAGAATGGGAAAATTAGATAAGTTAATCAGTTAATGTGATTGGATCAGTAAAACACAGAAGATCCAAACAATCTTGTAGGTAGTCATAATAACAGAACCATATTAAGATGACTGAATGGAGTCATAATAAGATGACTTGCAAATTGCAGCACATGAACTGTATAAAATAGCACAGAAATATAATACGGGAATTTCCACAAACATTACAAAGCAAATGGGTATCAAGGAAAAGAAACGAGAAGAGGCAAAATAGTTATAAATGGACAAATAGAACAAATATCTAAATTTAATTATTTGGGCTACCTCATTGGGTAGAAATCCAAAGACAAGGAAAACAAACTTCAGAAATACAACAGGGTGAATGGATTAATCAAAAGACACATTGGAAGAGATATGACTAAAGAGACCAAACTTAAAATTCACAATAGTATATCTAAACAATCCTCATGTATGGGTCAGACAATGAGCATGTATGGTTCAGGCAGTGAGCAACAAAGAATAGAGGCAATGCACATAAGATTCGTACGTAAAAAAAAAAGAAAAAAGTATAAACCGAAACAAAAGTACAAACAAATGAGTTCTAATGAGTTATGGATGTCTAACCAAAAAACTATGGTTGTGGCATATCAAGGTAAATATTTGAGAAGAATAAAAATTGTCAACAATTAAGTTATTGTACAAGATCTACTTTCACTTACCTTGTCAGCAAAATATCTAATGACATTAACCCTGAAATTGAAGGGAATATAAGAACACATAATAAGTTGAATGGGTGTTGTAAGAGGTACTAATAAACTAGTTGTTGATGGACAACCTCTTATGTGAAGAAATTGGCGGTATTTACATTTTGATATCAGTGTTTCAGAATTTGCTGGTTCTTTAGTTTGACATAAACATTTCGAAAGGAAATTATAAATTATGGTCCTAAAATATAATCTAAAAACCTTCTATGTGACCTTTACAATTTATTGATGATAGGATATCTCATATGTGGTACGACCCACGTGGGAAGTTTTTATTAGGTGCTTTCAGAAAAATATTACAATGAATAATATTTAATACTATTATATTGAAAGTGTAGAATGTCTAAATTTAGCCAATGAACATTGTTAACATCAACATTTTTTCCCCCCTTCCTCCTGTACAATGCTCATCCTGAGAAATTTTAAACTCTATTTTAATTTTTTATGTATTTTCTATTTTTTCTTCAACATTTTAGAAAAAAATATGTATGTATTTATGTACACATTTTACCTTCTTTTTATTACAATAACTATTACTGTTCTGTAGACAATTTTAAAATGTCTCCAAACATATTTCAATTTTGTAGCCGTTGAATTTTTTAAAACTGTTTTCAATTGCACTGCACATCTTTGAAGTTTATATTTGAGAAAGTTTTGTTACATGGGAATCAGTGGTAGTTATATTTTTACAAATTGATTTATTAAGACAAAAAAAAAAAAAAAAAAAAATGAGAGAAATAGAGGTTGAATGTAAATAATTTTTGTGATTGTTGAAATTTTACAAAACCTGCACTCTCTTTGACACTGAAATAAAAAATAAGACCATATTATCTTGTTAGAGAGAAAACAGACAAAAGGAGGTGATTAATGATTTTATAAATTAAATGTGCAGTCATGGTATGGGCATTCTGCTTTTATTATTTCCAATCAGTTTTTGTAAGTTAGTAACTACAGAAATGTAGTATTATCTAGTTCAAAGATTTAATTTATGTGAAAACCAAAGATTTAACTGTGTTTCAAAAGCTATTTACATTTAACTTGTATTTTTGATTTCTTGTTCCAGGTGAAAGTTATTACAGATACGATAGTGATTCAAGATCCATGTTGAGTTATTCTGATGTTGTATTGAAAAATGAAGATAGAAGTAGCATTTTGCGAGCTAAACGATACCTTGCTGGAGAATTTGATGATTTGAGTTTGGGAAGGATGTCCTTAACGTCTGATACAGGAAATGTTCAAGACTCTGGTGGGAAATCATCAGGTGGATCTAATACCACCACTACTGTAAATGATACTGCAAATGGAACTTTGGAACCTGAAGCAACAAGGATTTCTTCAAAGCCAGTTAATGCCAGCGAACCTAAGACTGGGGGAAATTACATGTCGGCTCACAATGTTTCTTCTCCTATAACACCAATAGCAAATGCCACAAATTCCAATCAGACTGTTGTGCCGCTTGCATCCCCTAATGCAACTAATGTGAATGTGTCAACTGTCACTACTGAAAGTGTTATAAATGATAACGCTACAGTTACTGAGAAGAATACCACAGTTAATATGAATGACTCTGCACCAACATCTACAATACCAGGGAAAATTAATTCTACTGTGTCAGGGGATGATATTACTATAGCCAATTTTGAAGATGATAATGTGACTTTGACTCGTCACAATATTACGAGTTATAAAAACGTGAGTAATTTTCATGCTTTTACCCTTTTTATTAGTGAAGATTAGTTTTATTAAATCAACATTGCTCTGATGCCAATCTAAACATTTTATTAATCATTTATTAAATACATTTGTATCATTTTCTTAAAGAGTAGCAGAAAAAAACTGTTCCTTAAAAAAAGTAAATATTTTAAATAGTTAAACAATATTTATATAACAATGAAGGTACACATCCAGTTTTAATACCATATTTTTCAGTTGATCTTTTGAAGCTAACCAATTTATTAAGTAGTTCATGCACATTCGACAATTATTGACTTGGGTTATAAAAGCTGGAACAAAATCTCTCTGTTGTGATAAAATATTTAGAAATGTTATTTTGCTTAAAATCCCTACATGCTTATTGGTTTTTACTTTATGTGGGAATAACATTTTTGGAAGATAAAAGTGTTGACATAATTTAAAACCATTCATTGCTTGCAGGACAGCCATGTTTATTACAATAGCACATTTGTATCAAGCAATGAGAAACTTGGTAAATATTATTGGATTGATATGGACAGCCATCCTCATGCACAAACAAATGACATGCTTTCCCAATCACATCGTCGAGCTGCAGTGAGTATAAGTAGTAAGCTTTGATGATTCTTCAGAGGGAAATAGTGGATGGTTTCAAAGTTAATAATAAAGAGCTTAACTAAATTTGATAACCTTGAATATCAGTCTTAAGAATATACAATAACTATTACCAAAATTATTATTGATGAATCAAATAGTGGACATACAGAATATTAATATTATTTATCGATTTTTAGACTGTGAAGTTGTCATTTGATTTTCCGTTCTATGGACACACTGTGAGAAATGTAACAATAGCTACTGGTGGATTTCTTTATACTGGAGATTATGTCCATTCATGGCTGGCTGCAACCCAGTATATTGCTCCTTTAATGGCCAACTTTGACACAAGTTTATCAAATGAATCCTATGTCAAGTATATGGATAATGGTAGGTATTGAGCCTCACATTGTGTTAAAATTGCTCTTGCTCTGATATAATGAGATTCTAAATAAAAATCTTGTAGCTTGTAAATGTTGACATAAATTAGAGAAATCTAATGCTGAAAGATACATTCACACATATACATGCATTATATATCTATCTACGAATATCGGTGTGCAAGTGTATGTATTGTTTTTAGGCATGTACGTTTTTTAAATTATTTGTCATCGAAAACCTAAAAAACGAAGGAAGGTTTGCCACATGTCCCTCTTACTCCCCAAGAAGGGAATTTAACTAGGCCCTGGCATGGAGTATACCGGTAGCTGGCTGGCAAAATTGGACTCAACTCAAAATGCCAGATACATGCACACTACGTGAACACTAAATGCATACAGTAATAAAAATATGTGGCATATGGGGAAGAACTATATTTTAAGCAAATATCTCCGAGCTCCAGATTCCCTTCTTTACTACGTTCAGTTGAATGATGAATAAAGGTACCAAAACGGTTAGAAATGTTTAGATACTAGACATTTTCACTCCCGAGTAATAGAAAATTGTAGATAAACTGGGTTTTACTGACAAAATAACTGACAACTCTAGCTCTATATCACAAGTAGCAAAAGGAAAAGTCTACTGAACATTTGCATAATGAAGCTATATTTATGGCCAAACCCAAAACAAGGGCCCATCTGAGTATGTGCCCATCCTCATGGGAAATTGGATGCACAACCTAATGGAGATAGGATTATTGAACTAGAAGCTGAAGAACAATACTTGTAGAAGACATTTTTAATCACTAAGAATTAATCAGCACACACCGTAATTTACACATTTATAACATTTATTCTTGACAGTCAGAATAGTCTCTAATTGTACTGAAATGGTGATGTAGCAGAAAAGCTTTTACTTGGCACTTAAACTCAAATATCTATTTAATAATCTTAGTTCTTTTCTGTGTATGTGTGTATGTATGGAAATTATCAATTTTAAAAAGAGAATATAATTTAATATACAGTGAATTTTTTTCTACAAGCCTTCATAAAGGAATGTTGTAAAGGGTAAGTTCTTGGCCAGGAAAAACATTTTGTGCTTCTTCAAATTTTAATCTTCATATGGAAGTCGTTTGAAGATTATTTTAAGAGTGCTTTACCAATTGTTTGAATTCTAGGAACCCAGTTCACTGTACAGTGGGATAAGGTAAAACTCCAGGACAAACAAGATTCGGGTGTGTTTACATTTCAAGCCACTCTGCGAAAGACTGGTGATATAATTTTTGTGTATCAGAGTGTACCAGTTGTTATTAGTAACATAACTGATGAAAACCACCCTGTCAAAGTTGGCCTTTCAGATGCTTATATCATTGATAGACATGTTCTTTGTAAGTATAAACCTTATATTTCTCCTTTGAATGTATCTTAAAAAAATGTACACTAGTGTTAATACATTTTTATTTTAGTTGTCAGGAGAAAAACTATTTATGAATATCACAGAATTACGTTTGAACAGTTACCTATATCAAACTGGACTGTTATAAATTTAATTGCATTGCCAACATGTTTGGAAGGAACGGATTGTGAAAGCTGCCTGAGTCGTAAAGTTGGATTTGAGGTAAATACTATTGTACTAAAACTATATTGTGACACGTTGTACACCTGGTTGTAGTTCAGAGTTTGATCTTTGAATCCATTTAAAATGGGTAAATTATCTGCAAATTATAAATGGGTTCTTATAAAATTTTGCCACATATTATTTCAGTCTTAATGTTCTATGGCAATTTCCTAAGAAGCAAATTTCCAATATTTATATTTTCCTATTAATCCTTTAAAAAATGAAAGGATTTCAATTGTATAATAGGTATATTTCCTTTTCATGAAATGTAATTTGATATAGTTAAAAATGGGTTTTGAAGAAATTTTGTTTTGACTTGCATACATTTACAGTGCTTTTGGTGCCCTAAAACAAAAAAATGTTCTAATGGAATAGACCGTAATCGCCAAGAGTGGATAATGAGTGACTGTGATAGTCAGAGCATAAACAATGTTTCATCTTGCCCTGCTGTGTATAACATCGCTGAAGTTGAGAAATCTACAACTACTCTCCCCAGCACTCCTGAACTTGAAATGCAGACAGAACAAACTGTTACTGCAATGTGTAAGTTTATTTTATGTTTTTGTCAAATACAAGAAATGCAAAATAATTGAAATATGGCATTTTGACATGCATGAACATTCTAAATTGAATTGTATTGGTGTTGATGGCAAGTTTACAAGGCATCAAACAAAACTGAAAGACCATTTCAATTGTAAAATTGGAAGCAAAACAGTTACTTTATTCATTATATTGCTGGAACACAATCAAATAAGATGTTTGCAGTTTGTTTGGTTTTTGACATTTTTCCCAACTTGTTACCCTGGGTTCATGTTTCAATAAGTGACTTATCGTATTTACTTGATTCTTTATAAGCTGACACTGACTGTAAGCCGACCCCAAGGAATAATGGAAAAAAAATTGATTGTAAGAAATACATTTGATGCTTAACGTGATCAAACTGCTGATTTCTATACATTTTAGAGATCATTTACTCGGACGCTGTCATGGGACGACTCAGATTCCTCACTTGACTTTTGTCACTTTTGTCCATGAAAGGAAGTCATGTTCGCTGTCCTCAAAGGCATTTGAGATTGAACACTTTTTAAAAGCCCTTTCGACAACTTCTCTAAGAATACTTTTCCAGACATCATCTACCCAAACGCACACTTGCGATAGACTAACCCATTTCACACACCCCGTAGGCGTGAGCATTCTGTCTTCTTTGGAGAGTCAGTCTGAGTACATTTTCTTCAGCCTGTCCTTGACTGGTTTGTTGATGTACACATCCAGGGGTTGAAGTATTGGCGTTAGCTCCCATGGAATAATGCCAAGTTGGTCCCCTGATCTTTCAACTCCTTTACCACCTCAGTAGTATGGAATAGACTGTAAGAGTCCAAATCAACAAAGTACCAGAGCGACAATCCCATACCCACTGAACCCATTGTAACATCATGTCTTCGGTAAACCCCTCATTTGCAAGTACGATAACACTCTTAGGAAATGACTCTGATTTTGGGAGTGTCTTGTGTTTGCTTTGCAAATTTATTGAGATTTTCAACATAAATAGTATTTTATAATACACAATATTAAAACAAAACTTTATTTGGAAGTGAAAAATATCCTGGCAATTTATGGAGCTGAGACAGAATTTTCACCGAAAGTAAAAGATTTCTCACTCCCAAGTGCTGTACCTACTAAGTACGGTATAGTGACTTAATGGGAACAAGTCTTGTAGTAAAATTCCTTTCAAGGATACTTACGCTAATTGATCCATTTCAATGAACAATAATCAACTATCAATTATGCATGACAAGTAGTTTCTTAAACCATTCAAAGATGAAACCAGTTATGTTACCAAGAACAGTGAAACAAATTATGGGTCTAATTGATGTAAAGGAAAAAATATATCTTTAAGGGTTTGGTACATTTCATATGTACTATAAAATTACATACGATGTAATTTTTTAATAAAAAGGCTTGGAGTAAATTATATTTTTATGGTATTCCTTAACCAAAAAAGAAATCCCTTTAATGTAAATTAATGTCAAAACATTTGTAATAGTATGAATGGAAGACTCACAATTTCTTTCAATTTGGCAGTGGCGGATGAATCAAATTCAGTAAACGTATCAGCGCTAATCGGTATTCTCATCTGTGTTGGAACGTTGTTATCATTGACCTCTTGGGCTTTGTATGCATATCGGAATCCTCATACCACATCTGGCCAATTCCTCATTAAGGTGAGTGGAAGTGTATTAAGAAGAAATGATATTTCTGTTCATGTAGTATCATTGTTATGCATTTTACTTGAATTTTTCAGTATCGGCCTAGTCAGTGGAGCTGGAGAAGAGGAGAAGCTCGATACACAGCAGCCACGATTCATATGTGATATTAATATAATTATGTCCTTGCATATTTAAAGTAGTCTATGTCCGTATGATATTTTCTTAGCCCTGTGTTCATTTCTTATGTAAATGTTAGATCATATGTTATTATTCAGTTTCAACTGGTTGAATGTTTATATTTTTTGATTTATAAGATTTTTTTCTTCAGAGGTACTGCTTTTAGAGAGTATAATTCCTGTCATAGCATGTTGTACAGGCCAAAAAATTTTAATTCAGATTTCGTAAGGAAATTTTGCAATTTAATTTATTTTAGGCAGTGGAAATTTTAATTTTGTTTCTTTTTGCACAAAGCTCAACAATGTGGTTTTATATCGTATATATTTTTACATGGAGGAATTATTTGCTGCTCAATCAAATATTGTAAATAATTAAGATTTTTCAGCATATATCAAATGCTCCTTTTTTATTATATATGAGGAATATTTTGATTACATGTTATATGAAAATAAGTAAAAATGCATACTGAATGAATTTTCTTTATAGAATTGATCAAATTACAAGAATGGATATATGTGCTAATTAGTGGTGTAAATTACGTGTTTGCAGTATAATATGCATTCTGCAAACACACTTGTGATCATTTATTCCAGAACGTTAAATGCAAATTTTTAAAATTTTAAATTGTTTTCCTTGGTGCTAGGCTAAATTTACGACATTGTAAGATTCTTATAAGCATATTTTATTATGATAATTCTCTGAAGTCTCTTGATGCATTGTGAAGAAATATTCTGGGCAGCATGTGCAATAGTCCTAGAGTATTGGCATCTTTTATTTGTAATCAATTTTTAAGTATTTGTGGACAATTACACTTGCAGAATTCAGAAAATTCTGATATTGCGTCATATAACATTTACCTTTATGCTTTTTACAGTATTGTTGGGTATGTTGAGATATTGTTTTTTAAAGTGCTGTGTAATAATAGGAAACTAATGCTTTCAGTTCTTTTGATGAAGAATTGTGTGAAACTTACCTCATATTATAGATTATAATATGTTGAATGAAATTGTTTTGAGTGAGAATCCTAAGTATTTATCACATTGTAAGAAAATTAAAGTATGCGCAAGTGCATCTATTGCTGCAGAATAATTCTGCCCATTTGCATTGTGAATCTACAGTGTTTTTATACAGTTTTCATGTTATTATTGTATGACATGTTAAAATTGTACGTAAAATGATGTATTTTTTGTTGATCGATCTTGAGACATGATTTAGGGGACCAAACTTACAGACGATATAATTCAATATTGCTCTTTATGATGTAGTATATTAAACAAAACTGGAACAATCTTCATGATTGTGACCATTTTAATTTTCTTTTAATTCAATTGCTATTGACTTCGTAAGTTTACCCTCTTAACAAGATTTCATTGATATTTATGTGTGAAGTATCTTCCTTGATTTTGAATTATCACTTGTGTATATTTGAACATTAATAAGTCCCAAAACATTTGTTCTCCTAAATGATTAAATAGTGGATTTCTTGTCATTAGACTGTCCTTCATACTAACTTGCAACTTTCTGCATTTAAAATCACTTGTGCACTACAATAACATCAGTGGAATCAATAGTTATTTTTCTTCTTTTTATTATCTTTCACCCTGAGTGTATTTCCTAAAACTAGTTGCAAAAATATGCCCAATCATTGAAGAAAATGAAAATCACTTTTGTCATAGCTCCGCAAAATTGTTCTACCTTATTTAAGTTTGTTGACAAATTGAGATGTATTGCAAAAGCAATTGCAGCTAAAGAAGCAAGTTTTACGCCTGCTATGGAGAAAAAAAAACTGTTCTGTTTTGTTTGTATGAAAAGCAAAATTTTAATGATTAGTTATTCTTTGTATTTCTATGGTATTTAAATTTCATTTTCAAAGTAAATAATTTTGAATTAGGAAAATAATTGGTAAACTGTGGTAGTATCACGAGTAGATCTGAAATTTGTGGTTGTGATAAAAATTAATGTGAAGAGGTTGTGTTAATGTGTTCAAGTAATTATCACATTCATAATTAAAGTTTGTATTTATTATAAATTAAAATTTATATAACTTTTATCAAATGTATTTCAGTGTACTAGAACCATTTGGTTGTAATCGACACACTTGTGGTATCTGAGGCAATGTGCAAGGTCTCTGTTTTCCTGAAAGTTGACTAACTTGTGAATTCATATATTTTCATGGTAAGTTTTTGATAGAGGAGAACCTTTCCATTTATTGTATTAATTTCAAAATGTGCATTGATCTTGGAATATCAACTTGTAGGTATTTTCTGCACATAGTTTCTTGAGCCTTCAGATCACTAGGCATGAGAGATGGGGTTTGGTTATTTTGACATTACTATTATATCAAATATGTAGCTGGCCTTTATTTTCAAAATAGTTTCTATTATACAAGAGGAACCAAATTTTGCGATCAACACCCATCACTAACATTTATTCTTAATTCAACTAATGTTAGTTAAGGAGTTGGGTACGTATTCCGGGGCTCAAGAAAATGTATGTGTATAAAATTCATGAATTTCAAGACCGTCTTCACTTTTTAGGTATTGAAGAACAGTATTCTTTTCATTTGTGCCATGATTTGTTTTCATGTTTTACTATTTCTTGCTGAACTTCATGGATGTGATATATTGAGCTCTTTCATTTTTTATATCAAAATAGTTTCCTGGATGTTTTGAGCTCAAACTGTTCAAATAAAATTCAACTGTTCGGTAGTTGGCACACCTGCTTCAAGTAAAAATATTATCTCAGCCTTATTAACTAACCTATAACTCTGCCTAAAAACGTCCTTACTACATCACTGGTGAAAATTAATGCTCGTAATTTTTTCAGTCGGATGAAAACATGAGTTTTTGAAGAAATTTGTCCCAAGCTCTATCACAGAAAATTTGATTTTTCTCTATGGTTGTGTGCAGATAATTAGGCGCTAATACAATTGTGAAGTATTATGTAGTGTATTCTAAGTCATGATTTTGAAAATACTCATGTTTTCAATATTATGACGTGATTTCGATTGCCATGGAAATTTATTTTTATATACGTGAACTTTTGAATATTTTTTTTCCTTATTTTACCCCCGTGATATACTCAACTGGAGTGTATTTTGCCAACCTTACCTTGCAGTAAATTTGTTATTTTGTTTTGTTTTCTTGTTATTATCAGGGAGCACAGATCATGAAGTAATTTGACTTCATTGTTGTGCTCAGACCTTTTTTCCCTTCCAGTATTGTTATTGCAAGGTGGGCATTTCTCATTATTAAAAACCTTAATAATTTGTCTTCTTGAATATGATGAACTGTCTTTATTTTATTTAAAGATGTTTTTTAAACTTGTATTTTTAGATTTTTTAAAGTATTTTTTAAACTATTAAATTACAATTTTAGTTTTTTTAATGTTCTTCAAAATGTAATTTTTGTAAAACTGGTTCTTTATCATGTTATTAAACTATCAGTGAACTAAGATAACTTCTTCTCTACATTTCCTATTTTGTGGTATGCAAATAGATGTATCAGAGGTGCACAATTCATAATTTTTGGCTAAAATGAAATGTTCAGAAAAGTGTTTTACTAGTAAAAATTTTAAAGGGATGACATGCAGATGGATTTACTAGACAACTGGTATAACAGTGATTTTTAATAAGAAAGGGAAGTAGTCTGTTCACCTTTTTCCTGCAAATGAAAATTTTTTAGATGTTACTCTTCTTGTGCACCAATGATAAAACTGAAAGCTTTGTCAGAATATCAGTGGAATCTCCCAAGTGATTTGCTATTTCTTATAATTAAGGATTTGCTTATAATGTATGTATTATATATTAATATATGTATGTAATTAATGGAGTCTAAAGGGTGAAATTTTTTTGAAGAAAAATGGAACTTCCATTTTTGAAGGAAATGTAATAGTTGCTTCTCAGCATACCTTCCTTTATGCTTACTTTGTGTGTTATGCTTTTTTCTTTAGAGCCTTTGCTAATCTTTTTCTTGGGCTTCCATTGATGGTATACTCGCATGTGAAAGATGAATATGCTTTTAACTGCACTTTTCCAGAGACAATAATAGGCATTTTATTGTTGTTGTATAGTAGTCTGTTATTGAAGTTACAAAGGCACTTCATGATGACTTGGAAGCTTGCTTATGATTTTGTAAATTTACTTCTGAAATATTTTCAGATGACTTAAAAAATTGATATTCGTTTCAGATATGCATTTTGAAATTCTGTTAAGTGTAGAGAAAAGATGTTCCAAGGGCACAGCAAAGCAAAGATGTGATATAACTATGCAGTGTATTTACAGACAATTGTTTGTGAAATCCTACATTGGATTGCCAATTTCTCGTTGTATATTCAATATATAAGTAGACATAAGATATTAATATCTAATTCAAGGGTATTGTAAAATATGTTTTTGTGCTTCATTTTTGTAATGTTATATAGAGTATGTCTTGTGAATAAAATGCATGGAATATTTGCCTCGAATTACATGGTCCATAATTCTTTCAAAATGCATTTCTATTCTACTATTCTGACTTGTGTTCCAATTTTACTTGCAGCAGTAACATGTTGGCAATAATGAAATATTACCAAAAAATTATAATAATTGTAAGAAATTCTTCCTTACTTGATCCTTAAGAAAAAATATAAACTTCTTTTTCCTGAAAATGTATTACAAAATAGCCTTATGTATATATTAGTATTGTAAGGGCTTGTTGGTTTGGAAGTGGAGAAAGTTAATTGAAAACCATTTCAAATTTTGTTACACGTGTGATTTTTTTATTGCATGTTTCTTGCAAGTTTTATTTGAAACACAAATAAAATCAGGATTTGTTATGAAAAGCAGGTACATGTAAAAGCATTCTTGCTAGTTACCATTTTGAAACAATTGACAGAAGGAATTGATCATCTGATCGAGACACTTTGAGAATGATAAAAATTTGATTTATGACAGTTATTGAGATATCAAAAAAATTTGTGAAGTATGTTGTTCCTATGTTAATATGTATGAGAATTAGTTTATTGAAATGTAAAAGTATGCAAATATGAATAAATTTGCCATTAAATCTACCGTATTTTTACATTTATTACGAATTCACTGCTTGTTTTTCAGTTGTGAAAAAAATGTCTTTCAGTGAGAGCAGACCTATTCAGTTCTTATTTCTCCATCTTTACTAAGTAATTTTTATGAAGAATCTTTATGAAAAACTAATCTGAATGAAGGAGAAAAAATTACAAACGATATTTTAGAAACCTTTTTCTGTGATTTGCCAAAACCTTAACACATGTACCTCAAGACGTTACACAGTGAATATAAAATTTCTATTAGAATTATTAAGTATCCCTTGATACTTTTCCATGAAGGCTTAAAGCAATTTGTATCCACATAAACAATTATTAGGACTATTTAATCTTCCATTGGAATTTATTATTTTTGAAATTAAGTTAAAAAGGAGTAAGATTCTGAAAAACAGAAGATATGCATATTTAAAGTCAGATTATTTATTTTTTAGTTGTAGAGATTATTTTTTCTTTTCCTACTTCTCACGCCCTAGGCCAAAGCATTGTGATAAAGAAAGCAGTCTGCAGATGAGTCAGCTTAATGGATTTAATGGTGATTCAAAGAATAAATGTACATTGAAATAACTTGCACATATGGATGTTACAACGTTCTCACAAATAAGGATGAATATTTTGAGGCAAAGTGAACAGAGGATTCACTATTCAAAATATAATTCAATTACAATTTAATTTAGGTTAACACCATGAAAAATACACAAGAATAGGCAACAAGTTTAACAAATGTTCTTATTTTTAAAAATTAAACAGTTATTGTTGTAAGAATTAATATTGTCCACATCAAGTTATCCAAAAAATCTATTTAAAATAATTTGTAGCAATTAAATCACTAATAGTTTATTTTTAATTCGAACTAAAGAATGTTTTTCTGACAAGGACAAGATGGTTACAAGACAGAGGGAAAGAAAAGAATTGACAAATAGGGATGAATGAACAGTATTGACAATTAGAACACCCTATGAAAACAGGTGGAAGAGTGATGAAGAAAATTTTAAAGAATGTGCAACAATTTCACTTTCAAAATAATTTATTTAAAAACAACATTAAAAATCTGTGATACCAAGTTATAAATTTAAGGTTTTGGCAATCTATAAAATCCTCCACTAAACAATAACTTATGTTCACGAACTTTCCTGTCTAAGAAATGACGAAGTTCTTGTAAACTACATTCCACAGCGGTAGGACCTTGTGATGCAAACATTTTCAGCATTTGGTGAATTCTCTCAAGAGGCATAGAATCTAGATTTGTAAGCATTCCTACAATATATGACCAAAACACTTGCAGTTCCTCTTCACGTTGATCATGTGCTGAAGCCATGGCACTTTCCGATTCTTCATCTTCACAAACCATTTCTGCTGGTACAGGACACTTTGATCTGGAGGGATTTTCTTCAACAAGAAGAAAAGTGTCTGTGGAAATTTCACGTAGCAAACCTTGCGACTGCCAAAAAGCAATTTTTCGCCTCAGTACAGTAGAAGGGACATGCATTATTTGACTAAGTTCTTCAACAGTCCATTGGTTTTTTGATTGGAAATGCCATATGATAGTAGCATGAATAGGAGATACAGTAAGATTCAGTTTTCTATCTTTTAGTTCAATTTCTAGAGTTACAGATCCAAGATGGGGCTTCCAACAGAGAGTTCGATTCCCTTTAAGAGTTTCAAATGCTTTGGTGTAAGTCTGAAGGTGTTCTTTAACAAAACTAGGTAATTCTAATGTTTCTTCTTTAAATGGAGGCCAGAACTGAGCAGAGAGTATCATTGCTGTCGCTGGAAATTGCTGTTTATCTAAATTAAAATTAGGATCTGAATCAAGATGAGCATTAATCCTTTTAGAATCATAAACATCTTTCAACATAACTTCACAATAATGCAGTTGTGACTCTCCAAATCTAAGCTTCAGTAATTCTAGGTAGCGAATTTCTTTTTCAGTATTGTAACTAAATTGGGAAAGTAAGCGATCTGCCAGTAATGTACGATATTCATTTACAAATAATTCTTTACTTCCATACACATTAACTAACATTGAAATAATATCAGAAGTCCGCCTGCTTTTTGAAGTTTTTGACGGGTCAGCATCCACTGGATCAGGATTCCATGCTTCCCAGTTTTCTGTATCTTCATCTGATGGTACACCTTCGTCCAACTGTAAGGCTTCACCTCTTACTAATTCATCAGCTAATTCACTAGGACCTTCTTCGGTCAAACTACTGACAACACAGCGAACAGTATCATCTCTCCATCGAAGATACTGTCTCACTGGTTGAGTAACCGTTTCCAAAAGAACACCCGAGGAATCCAATTGTCTTAAAGCTCTTATTGCAGCCACATATGCTGTTAGTATGTCAGGAGTATTCACACCAGGATGTAATAATCTTGTTTCCAAAGCTCTTTGAAGTTTTTGAGTTAAATATGGACGAAGATCAGTCTTTTGAAGGCATATCCTGAGATCCTCAACAGCTGGTTGTGAGTCAGGATATTCAATAATTATATTGAATAATTGTTCAATTCTGGTTCTTGTGTATGTTTCATACAAAAAATGAGCTAATTTTTGTTTGAATTTTTTTATAGCTTCTTCAGTTTTCTTTTCACTCTTCACATTTTCCGAACTCCCATTGAAAATACGTCTGAGCCAACCCATTACAACATTATCCAACCATTTTTCCAATGTGCTGATGTGTGATGTGTCAAAACTTCCTTTACAAGATTCTTCTACATGATTTTCAATCCGTAAGTGAATCAATGATGTAATCACTTCACCAGCTAAACGTTCTAGAAGGTCAAGTTCAATTAACTTCTGATTTACTTCATGAAATACCAAAATTATTGACTGACACTGGCATTGTCCTATTTCTTGTTCACAACCACTACAATGAACCATATCTTCAGGTGAATCATCTTGATCACAGACATAGTTATCTGAATTACAAAACACTTTAAAAGATATTCTATAAAAATCCTCTGTTATCTTGGGATGGTTTAAAGGAAGTTGCGAAAGAAGAGAAGATCTAATAATAACTTTGAAAGTCCCTAGCAAAGTATTTTCCCCATTTACCACCCTGTGAATACCTGATATGTTTCGTAATTTTTCTAATCTTTCAAAAACTGGACAAAATGATATCAAAGAATTGTAAACAGAATACACAGCATCTCTGAAACTCTCAAAACCCTGCATTTCATTCTCTCTTTTACAAAATTTGCTCCAAAAATCTGGCACAATCTTTTGCATGGTTATATGTTGAATTTTGTCAACAACATAATCTTCAATAAATGTCGACAACTGATGCTGACAAATAAGTTCCAGGACATTAAGCACTTGTTCTTCTAGGTACTCTTGCATAAGAGGTTCATTTGCTATTACAGGGAAAGCAATACATATCTTATTCCACAGATCATCAGGATGTTGTTCATGCAAAGAAACAACTGGCGCCACAGCAGCCATTATTTATCGCATTTAAAACCACGCAATCTTTAATAACTTAATTTCTTCGCCGATTATTTATTATTTTTTGCTGTTTTCTTGAAGCTGATGCGGCGTAGGCGCCGGTAGACGCTCACTGATACCGATGACACATGTACTCTGGCAACACAACTCTATACCCAAGAGCGCTAACAGTATCAGAGAACATTACAATAGAATCACAGTTAAACTGTGATAGAATAGAACAATCTCTTAAAGTCTGTAGTCCTGTTTAGTCCTCTTGCACCCGCAACAACCAAACAACCTCTTTACCTTCTAACAGAGTCTGGTAAACCGAGCGAACGTCAGGTAAAAGGGATGGATCCTACGATTTATGATTTACTATCTTCTAGCAACAATTGAACTTTTGATGGCACGGTGGCAGTCAAACGTCTTTTGCACCCGCCAACGTCATTAGCAATTTCAACAATCGGCGATGCGAAGAGTTGTGTGCAGGTTGAACAAGTTTGCGTATATATACCACATTCAGAGTGGGCGGCACTGTCTAGTATGGGGGATACGGTAATGTGATGTATAAACTCAACGAAGTTTACAAAATATACTCTCCCATTATTATAAGACTCTTCGTTTGCGACGCTACAGGCATCTCTTGAGTGAAATAGCTACTAAGTGCATGTCATCAATCTTGGATTGCAATTTACACAAGACTAGTAATGCTATCTGTTGGCAATCAATGTAACTTTGTCTGCTGCACTGCAGGTGACAGGACACGTGTAGTTCATGCTATCTCGTGAATACTCATTGCATTGTTCTTGCGCTGGCTTAATACGAAGTTGCGTGTTGGTTTATGAGTGTAGATATATTATTGTTATTTTATATCAATTCGCTTTAACATGTGGGTTTGTTGCGTGAAATGTTCAGGCTGGTGATATTTCTGAGGAGTGATGCGAAATGAACGTGTTTAATTGTGAACTGGACGCTGTCATGAGGTAAGGAAAAAGTTATAATTTAGTATCTGCATGTCATAATAACAGGATAGTAATTTGCGCAGAGTCAACAGGCACGGCGAGAAACACACGTGGATTAACTTAATAGTGTAATATTAATAAATATATAAATATGATTTTGAATCAGTTTGTGATTGAAGATAAATCAATTGCGACAAATTGGTAATATGTTTGTTTGAATTATTTTATGTGAGGTTAGTATGAACGAAATGCAGTTATAAATTGTTTGCGTTTGTTTGTAGATGTCTTATTTTGTGTAGTTTATGTAATAATTTTTCGTTTTATCATGAAATATTAGTTAGTGTTGATCATTACATCCACTTACAGATCTGATGTAAAACATTTAAGTGTTTTACCATAACTTTACAGTACGCGGCAAGTTCCTTCAGTGACTTAATAAACAATTTGTATTGCAAAATATCAGTTATCCGCGTATTTTTGTAAATATTTGAAGTATTCGTGGAAGCAAAAACAAACAATTCTTTGAATTACTGTTTGAAATGCGTGTTTATGTGGTTAAGAATTAGTCGCACATCTCACTTCAAAAGAAACGATAATTACAAATGCCCCTGAGCCTGAACAGCTGTGTTACATCTATTTATAATACAACAATGCCTTGACATCATTCTATTAAGTGAGCATGAATGCTTAATGCAACATTCAACCATTGAATGGAATCTTCCCTTTCAATGTCATATTTATCATAGTTGAATGACGTATGTGTTCTTTCTGTTTATTTTCAAACATACAGAATTACTGTGATGACAAGTGCGTGACAATTTTTTCTTAAATTCATTATGATAATCATATGATTATTGAGAAAAACTAAATGAAAAGTATGTTTGTGGTGTACCTTGCTAATGATTGTTGTATATGACTGAAAAATTGTCACGGTCTTTATTTTATAATTTGTGTGAAGTTAAAATAAACATTTGTTATGCTGTTTTTTGTTCAATTCTATTATATGTAACCTTGAAGTTGGTCTCTGTTGTATGTACATGGATATGTTCATATGTGAATGTGATTCTATATATCTTTGTGTGCATCAATTTATTTGAATTACTCATGTTTTTTGCAGGTGTAGGCAGTACAAAAAATGGATGAGATAGTTGAGTAGTAATCAATGGCTTCTCCAAGAGATTTTCGAAGCCAAGAGCCCACTAGAACTTTACCCGAAAGGGTGGGTCAGTTGTACTATTCACACGGCCTATTTTGCTCAAGTCACCCTGTACCTGTAATAGTGTTTGCTATCACAGTTGTCCTTCTGTGTTGGTGAGTAATGAAAATGCATTAGTTAAGTATTGATAATGAGAGATTATTTATAAGTGTGGTTTTCTTTCCTCTGTTTCTTTTTCTCCTCCTGTAAAATGAGAAGATCTTGTAGTTTTAAGATGCTGTTGAGTTGCCTTTTTGAAGAAGTATGACAGACACACTCAGGTGTAGTGTTGATATTCGGATATATTTTATTTCAGTGTATGTTTAATTCGGGAAAATGTTTAAAGAATTTTAGAAATGTTATATTACTGTATTTTTATTTAAAAAATAACAAAATGTTATCTTTTTTATGTAGAAATAGTATCTAATTTTCTGATTTAAAAACATTAGGAATTGACTTTTGATCAGCTGCGACGTGGTTGCAATCAGGAGCTTCAGTATCAAAAATTCAAATTGTAACAATTCTCCAAATTGTATAATCTTGCCATCACCTGAAAATTTGTAACATGTGTTATCTTTAAAATTTTAAATAAAATCTTTAAAATCTGAAATTACATGCTGATTTATATTAATAATAAGGAACTAACTTTGCTTTCAATTACTTTTTTGGATTACCTTTTGAATCAGTGTTTTGAATAAATCACATTTTAGTATGTGATGCCCAAAACAGAAGTTTCTCGTTAATGTTCGAAACAAGCTAAGTACTAATTTCATATTTAATTATTACCTAAAAAAGATACAAATTGAAACAGAAATATATTTTTAAAATTTTCATTGCCTGGGAATTGTAAGTTTACACGTTTTTATTTTAATACTGTGAAAAAAGAAATATAGAAAACTATCTGTAGTGTTTGTAATCTCACTTCAAATAATCTCAGTGGAATATTTATTCGCTTAAATAGGTCTTTTGTTTTCTTTTCCTAGTGTCACAGTAATTAATATTTTATCATAGTAAAACGAGATAAAATCATATTATATCAATGAATTTTATTACAATTTTATGAGGGTAATACCGCATGAAAACAAATAAAAAATGTGAAGTCTTTATGTTTTCTACAGGAAAGAGATGATAAATTGAATAAAGTTCTCTTAAGTGTAAATAAAAGTGGAAAACAAATCAAGAAATAAATGATTGTATTCCTGTGATATACATTGTATATAGCTTTTACTATATTTTATTTCTTTGATTAAATGTGTTTTAGAAGTATTTATCCCCTCAAAATATGAAGCAGTTATTGGAATGTCAATAGATTGTTGATTAGTTTTTTAAAGCTATATTTTCATTTTAGAGGCATCTTAACAAATCTCTTGTAGATCACGTTTATTTTGTATTATGAATTGTTTACTGCAGTTAGGTGAAAAATTGCAGCATAGAAAGAAGTTTGCTAATTGTCTGAACCCACTGTTGTTCTAAAGATACTTCATTTTGAATTTTTAGTATCTCTGTTCACAATTGTGGTATTTTGCATGCAGATTTTGTTAGCCAGTACATTCAATGTAAGTTACATTATTGTGAAATTGTGTGCTGTGAAGTGTGTTATCAATTGATTAATTTCATGTTATGTTAAAATAAATTCTTTTTAGTTAATGTTTTTATAATGGATTTATTCCAAAAAGAGTGTCATGTGGCTGAGAAATTCTCTTAACCCTACTTCCATTTACTATCTCTGATCATTCTTGAAAGAGAGAATTTATAAAACATCCAAAAGTGCCATTATTTACAGTATCACAGAGATGAATCCTGACGATTATGCGAAAATTATTAATGAAAAACAGGTAATAACAGAATAAAAGCCAAAGGATGCATATGACCGGAAAATACATGCTAATTTGTGTGAAAGATGTAAACAAAGCCTTTTGACAAATTTTACATTAAGGATTGTTTTGTAGAATATGTGCAAAATTTACTTTTCAATAAATCATGTAGGTATTCAGTGTTAAGACTTAATTTGCTTACCAATGGGAGTCAAGTAATGAAAAATTGATGTAAGGTAAATGAACGTCATCTTAAATTGTTGAGTTTTGCTTCTTGAAGTTAATACAATTTTCTATGCTTCAATTATTGTGTGATATTATTGGAGAGTATATGTTTTCAGTTACCCTCTTCTGAATCTTCCAATGCCTGGGAATGTTCCTCAGCAGTTACTAGGCAATTTAACGGTGCAAGGAAGTAATGTGTCAGATAAAACCTCTCCTCAGTGGTTTGTGGGTCCGCCAATGGTATACATTCAACAGGTATGAGCTACCTGCTTTTACTAAAGTAATTTGGAGATTGAAACACCATCTTCCATTTTCACATTTTTCAGCTAAGAACCAAATTGCGCAATACAGGGTGTCCAGTGAGAAAACATTGAAACCTCGAAAATAAGCTCTTAAGACAATTTTTAGCATATTTTGTCTAATGCACTGCTTAGATATTCCGAATGCTTGAGCTGCAAGAACTATTCAAAAGTTAGTTTTAAAAAATGCTTTCTAGACAAAAATTTGCATTGAAAAAGCATAGAAACACAATACAACTACTTTTTTTATTTCTTGGTTAATTTGTCTTTTTCATCAAGTAAATTCATTTCTTTTGTAAGTAATAAACAGCTTTCATGTTTCTAGAGTGTTTCTGTGCTTCTGGAATGCCAGTAGCTTATTAGACAACATAAGCTTAAAATTGTCTCGTGAGGGGGAGGGGGATGCTTGCTCTGTCTCTCTCTCTCTCACACACACATGTATGGAAAGATTACATAGTCAAAGCATTAAAGGCTGTTATTGTTTCATAAAATCCTGAAAGGAAATATTCTGAAGTTGGCTATTTATATTTTTATATCAATCCATTGCAGTTATTGCTAATATGTTCCAATTTATTTGCTACAGGTTATTGTAAAGACTGCCGTTTGCCCATGGACAAAGGATATGATGTTGACTGATGCTTTTCGTGCACCATTGTCCGAAGTTTTTAAGCTTTTGGAAGTTATTCAAAATTACCAACATGAAAATAGGTAAAGCTAGCACAATCTTCATTCTCATTTTCAGTATGTGTTTATATAAGAACTCGAAAGAGACATGTTATTATATTCTAACATTCACAGTTTAATTCAAAAATATGGGATAAAAGTAATGAAGAAAATGTGAAGAAACAAGAATGTTTTTTTAAGCTTGTAAACTTTTAGTTTGGGCTGTTCTTTAATAGAAAATCTCTACCTTTATCACAAAATCGGCCCAACTGACAATGTCATCAAGAGGCGTCACAGGAACCTTAGATAACATAGTATTCACAATGGCTGACATTGCAAATGACTCAAGAAATCGAATAAGCTGGTCAGGAATTCTATGGTGAACATTCACTATTAAAATGTTATTAAAATTAATAAAATCAGCAAAAAATGCATTAAAATTGACGTAAAAAGTAAAAAAAAATTGCTTGTTAGTCGAAATCAGGAAAAGAAAAAAAGGAGAAAAAAAAGGCAAAACAAGACAACTAAATATGGGTCATTTCGGTTTGTCATAACATAAAATGAATTTCTATACTAAACAGCATTGTCCTAAAGTGAAAAGAAAAAAAAAAGATGATATGTCATTAAAATCTGCTCCCTAACGATAAACTTTCAAAAATATTGTTTGTTAGGAATGAGTTTGCTAATGTGTTAAAATAAATTGGAAAGTGTGATATTTCAGCTTTAATTGTTGTTTTTCCTTTCAGTTCAAAGACTCTCAGCCATCTATGCCTTCATGTGGAAGCAGTTAAGACAAAAAGTGACAAAAAGTTACAATTGCCAGAGTACAATTGTCTTGTATTATCACCTGCCAATTTATGGCAACAGAATCGTGAACTGTTTCACGAGGACCCTAATTTATTGAGCACAATTTTCAGCTATCAGGTAAATTTTGTTGCTATATACCTAAATAGAAGATAGTTATTATTTTAATTATAGATTTTTTTAAAGTAAGCATTCTTTCTAGAAATTATTTAAGAAAATGCTTAAGCAAACAGTTTTGACTATCAAATTATTTGTTTGAAATAGTAGTGAATTATAGATTAATTATTAAATATAAATAGGATTTATTTCTTTTTAGAATCTTCAGAAGGGGAAAATAAGCCTTGCTGAAATGCTTTTTGGAATGAATATGAAAGACACTGGCATAAAAAGATATCCCTTACGCACTAGACAACGTGTGTTACAATTTGCTGTTACTATAGTTTTCAAGGAATATGACATACAGTAAGTTTCCGAATAAACTATTTTTATTTGCCAAGTTGATAATATATGATTTGAAAATTCAGGGATGATTGAGTGTGATTCACTGTTTAATTAAGTGATACTATAAAAAAATTACTGCGAAAGTTTGCTTTGTGAAATTCTGAAAACGATACACTTCAGTTGTGGTCATGCACAAACATGCCATTTTATAACTAAATGTGTCTGTGTAGTTGTTTGTGCCACATATTAATACAAATTTTTATTGTAATCTACATGTTTTGTTACAGGTTTTTAGCAGGCCTGCAACAGAAATTAACAAAATCTTTTCCTTTGCATCAACCAGTAAATATGATGTCACATTTAAGCATTGATTCAAATGAAACTACAACTCCACCTATTCCATCTGGGGTTCAAGAAGTTCTGCATATATACTATCCTGGAGAATTCAATATTAGTGAACTTGTTCCACTTACAGTTACATACTTCATGCTCTTTATTTATGTTTACTTCAGTGTATGTAAAATTGAGTTAGTAAAATCAAAAGTAGGAATGGCTTTTAGTGCTGTTATGACTGCTTTAGCCTCCCTTTTCATGTCTGTAGGATTGTGTTTCTTCTTTGGTTTAACATTATCATTAAATGGTAGGGATGTATTTCCTTATTTGGTTGTTATAGTTGGATTAGAAAATGTTTTAGTCCTTACAAAATCTGTTGTTTCTACCCCCACTCATCTGGATGTAAAAATTCGCATTGCTCAAGGTTTAAGCCGTGAAGGATGGAGCATAACTAAGAATCTGTTGACGGAGGTGACAATTTTAACAGTTGGGCTATTCACTTTTGTTCCAGCAATTCAAAAATTTTGCATATTTGCTGTTGTAGGACTTATTTCTGATTTTTTTCTTCAGATGTTTTTCTTTTCCACTGTTTTGGCCATTGACATTCGTAGAATGGAGCTTTCATCTGAACCCCATCATCATCGAATTCAGTACCCGGTGCCTCCTGGGGCACCAGCACAACAAACTCTTGTGTGGAATTTGCGCTCATCACAAACTTCAGGGCCTGCTTACAAAACATTAGCTCGCTCCAAATCTCATCCTCGTTTGAATGGAATGAATGTAGGTTCATCATCGCCATCCAATTATCCAACAAACGTAGTTGCTCCACCTCATGGCTCTGACCCAAGTCTAGTAAAAGTTCCCAAGCGTTTGAGAGTTGTGCATTTTTGGGCAAGAACAAGAATATTCCAAAGGACATTTATGCTTTTTATGGTGGTTTGGATAATATTTATTGTGTACAGCTCTGGAGTTGTTGAACAGCTATTGCAAGTCAATCCTGACCCTGTCGTGTCAGAAAAAGTTACTTCAGTTGCTGGATCAGAGGCTCCTCTTGCTTTCCAGAAGAAAAATGAATCTTTATTCAAAGATTCAGGAAAAGAAATTAATCATTCTGATGTTGGACAAACTATTATCTTTGAAAAAACCTCTTTGAATCCTTTTGTATCTCTTGATGATACAGAGAATTCAATAAAAAATTCCAAACTGGGAGCATCTGAAAAAAGTAATAAGAATGATGTAAGTAAATGATGTTTTGTTTGCAAGTTTAATATTAGTTTCTTTTGTGTACTTTTTATTTGCTTTTACTATAAATCCTCTAGCAACAAATGACATGTATCGTTAATTTTTATTTGAGAGAGTGCAATTTATTACTTTTTATCCAAATTTTAAGAAATTGTTAAAAAGATTAATATTTATTTTTGTACTGGATGTAATGAGTTAATTGAAAATATACCCAGAAAGTATTTAAGTAGAGTTGAAAAATTTGTGAATTCTTTAAAATTATTAATCATCTAAGTGTCATGCAAATACTAAGTGGTTGTCAAGAAAATGGTAGTACTGTGACTATAATAATAATAATAATAATAATAATAATAATAATAATAATAATAATAATAATAATAATAATAACAATAATAATAACAATAATAATGATAATAATGTTGATAATTACGATAATAATGAACCAATGAAATTATTTAGAAAATCAAAACTGACTACAGTAAACCCTTATTAGCACATGAAACGCTTGGAAAAGAATGCTTATTATGAAATTTGCCAAACTCTAAATTGGGTCCTGGCAAGGAAGCATAAGACATTTATTCTATTAACACAAAATGTTTATTTTGGGAGCAGTGAACAATTTTCAGGGTTCTACATAGTCTTCAGTTCGTTTTATGCAAACAGTAAAATGAAATATCTTGAAACTTTTCTTCTCAGCATCTGCTCAGCAGGTACATTGTCAGTAACACAGTGACTTCCACTGATTATCTTTTCTCAGAATTTCACTAATATGACTACCCACAATCAACAATTGCTTCTCACAATGTTGCAAGTGGACAATGTTCACTTAAATCACTAAAGCTTTCACATATTAAATTACAATTATTTTCAGCAAACGCCACAAGCAGTCTTCAATCTTTGATTTGGTGTATACTGTCTGTTATGATGATAAATTAATGCCTACTTGTGTGCATTTTATGCTCTAAAACAATTGTATTGGAAATTGGTTTTACTCAATTGTCAGAGGAATTGTGCCAGTTTGGGATTCAGTGCCAGCAGCTCAAGAAAATAACTGTTTCAAAAAATATTGGACAGCTTTGTGTTCAGAAGATTGTATAGACTACTAATGAATACACACCAGCAGAGTGGGAGATGACCCAGAAATTTAGCCCTCACAATAACAATGTACATGAGAACAAAGGTATAGAGGACAACACAATGGGGGCAATAAACTGGGCTTACTGCTTCCGGGGCTGATTCTTTGTAATCCATTTGAAATAGTTTTTCCTTAGATTTCATATACTGGTGTGGCAGACATCTTCAGTTGTGATGTGGCAGCTGGAGTAGTGCTACCACTGAACATGAAACAGATGGAAGAATCATTTTCGCTAAACCAGAACCTTCCCATAAAGAAATATCTATATTGACATCCACTGTGAAAGCTTTACATTGCTTTAGAAAATTATCTATTTGTGTAAAATCTTATCTGGCACGTTTCAAGTTTTCCATATTTTAATTTCATGAGAGTTTGAGCGAGCTGTTAAACAACAAATTAATAGGGTAGTGTAAGGATATTAGAAATAGCATTCTTCAGATATTGTTGGCGAGTGGTGAGAACATTGACCATATTCTAAGTTAGACATCCCTCTATCCTCACTAAAATGCACTGCAATTTATGAGTGTGGCTGTTCTGAAAATATTATCAGTCACGTTACATACAGTCTATCAATAGTTTTTGTTAATCTGGTGTTTATCCAATAGAATCGCATGTTTCTTTTCCCCTATGAAGGCATTTAAGATGTGATGCAGAATTTGGAATTGGACAATAGATGGGTGCGGGGGAAATTCATAACCTGCTAAATGGTGTACGTTTTTAAATTGAAGTTGTCATTTTGGTTTGCTGTACATTCGAAATCGTATAATATTTGTGATTAACACTTAGTTTTTTAGTTTTACATCTTAATGTGACAGTAAAAAAGGGACTCCTTATTGCTTATTGCATTGAAGTAGAATATTTATTGTATTGTTACAGCTGAATGATACATCATTGGATGACTATGCTCGATTGAAACATTCTGGTTTTGATCCATGGCGAAGGCTTTCCCATCATCATTGGCCAGCCATTCTCTCACTTTACAACATTTCTGTAGCAGGCCAGTACATCAGCATATTGCCATCCATTCGTCTTTCACTGGCAGTAACTCCAGATATTGCTAGATCAGTTCGTAATTTGGAAGAACATACTGTGCAACATTTTCAATGGCAAGCGTTAGCAGCTGCATTGGATCCTCTGGATTTTTCAGGTATGGATATTCAATATATTCAAAGAACATATTATTAAAAGTTTTAGAATAATTGCATATTTTTATCTGATTTTGCTTTTAAGATGGAGAGAGCAGTAAAATTCCATCGCAGAAGACGTTTCTGGGATCTGATGTGCCGTTTATTCCAACATCACCAATGGAAATTTTTTTTACTGCAGTTCTTTGTATTATAAGCGTAGTTGTATTAGCTTATACCATGGTAGTTCTGTATCGTTGTGTTTGCAGTAGAAACTATGCAGAGTGGCGAACCAGTTGGGCTGGTGAAAATGAGGATACCAGAGATGGTATCACACAGGTTAGTTTCAGTTTCAATCATTTTTCAACAATGCAAGATTATTATGCGGCGTATACCAGCCATATACCATATATCAGTTTACATTGCAACCCTGCTGTTCGAGGCAGAGACATGAGATACTTCACTCACCACCTCCTTCCTTTCACCCCCCCGCCCCTCCTTTCCTGTGGTCTGGGTGTAGGGAAAAGAGGTATCTTCCTTCTTCAATTTTCTGGGTCATACCTGCTCAAAGCAAAACTGTCTGCGTCTTCATTCACTGTTTTGAAGTTAACTTACAATGTGCCTCAGCCTAGAGTAGTAGATTTGTGGATCAAGGAGAATTTTCAAATACAATCTTTCTGAGAATGCCAGGCAGCTTTCAGAGAAAATTTTTTATCAGAGTCTATTCTGAAAAAGAGTACCACATTTCGATTATTAAAGTGCTTCCACTAGACAGGTGTGTTTGATCGGCAATGCAGTCGCCAAAATACTGTGTTCATGTACTGTATTTCTAAAACTAGATGAAGTTTGGGATGTTCTTTCAACTTCACCAAAAACATCATGAAGGAAGTGCGCACTGTGCCACAAAAAATTTGAAAACATATGCATTGCGCATGCCATCTCAGGAGCTTAGCCCTTCAACGCTCTGCCAAGTGTGAGCGCAGTAGCATTTGAAGGCGGCTTTAAGTGAAAGGTGCGGACAGCGGTACTGCAAGGGCAGGTAGCAAGCTGAGCGCATCCGGCGAGGATTTTGTGGGAGCATCTCAGCTTAGGCGTTGTCACACTTCCCAACTCTGAAATTGTACTCTTTCCTGAGAATGCAATGCTTCAAACCTTGAATAATATGATAAACAATGATAATGATTAAATAATAGTTAGTTTGTGGCAATGTAAAATTAAAATAACTGTACATCACTTACATTCATTTACATCAATGTATATTAAGAGTAGAACTTAATTAAAAATAAGTTACACTAATTTTCTTTACAGATACTCCTAATAATTTTCTATGTTATGATAGCTTTTGAAACCAGTGACAGGACAAAGTCCACTTTTCAATCGGGTCACTAGAATGTAGACTCTCAATGTCTCCCACTCTTGTGTTATACCACACATAGTTTCTGTTGATAAATTTTGTCGTCTCGAGGTGGAATTCTTTCAAGAAACTGTCTTCCTGGCATGCAATGTAAGTCACTTATCAAACGACGTTCACATACTGCTCTTTTGTCATGTGAATGAGCAGATAACAATTGCTCGACCAGATCAATAAAAAATTTCCAATCTTGTCGCAGTGTGATTCTTTTTCCAAATAACAAATGTATTCAACACAGTGACATTTAATAATCATCTGAATGTTTTCATATTACATTTCTTGCTTTTCTCCCTTTCAATAAGATATAATTACAAGCACTGGTCTTTCAGATGTCCCCTTCTGTAGATTTATTGTAATCAAGAATGCATGCAGGGTTTTTAATTTCTTCTTTTCTCTTTGTAATAACTGTTTTGAATTCATTCTTATGGTAAGTGTTTATCATAGAAACAGCTTTTTTTATCCATTCATTGAACATTGAAATGGGGCCAAAGTGTTGGCGATGTACTCGCCTCACTTCAATTTCTTCTCTCTCTATTTTAAGAACATTTTTTCTGATCAATCGTAATGTTCCTACACAATCTGTTCCCATTTTTTAAAACATGGGAGTTAATAAGGAGGAGTTGCAATTGTCCGTAATAAATTGTAGACCATATTTAGCAACGGCTATATTAAATTTAAAGCAATTTCTATCTTTTTATTTGTAGTATGTTTGACAGTCGCAATAATTTCATACAATGTAGTATATAGAAGACAATGTATTGAAAATTAATTGTTTCTTAAAAGAACATCCACAAAGAAATAGAATCTCTTCAATTGATAATAATATATTTGTATTAAACTGTTCCATGCTGCTTGTCTGTGCACGTCATCGCTTAGTTTTGAAAATTTATTTTTAATTTCTCTTCTTATCCTTTTTATTCTAGCAACACAATTTTTGCCCTCAAAAATAGTTTTCTTGTACTAAGAGTTTCTTCTACAAAAATTTTAGAAAAAATTCATTCATAATATCAGGAGTAAATGCTCTTAAGCTTTGTTTAATTCCAAACTTATGGTTTATTGTATAACTTGCTCTTCAGAAACTCTTCCTCTTTCTATTTTCTGTACATTTAATGATCAAAGGAAACCTTCCTTGAAAACTAGTATCCAACACCAAATCCATAATTTATTGGAATCTTGTTATAATTTGTTTTTTTGTCGCATTCCGGGTCATGTTGGGTTAGTAGGGAATGAAATTGCTGACCAGGCAGCAAAGCTCACTGCAAAGAAAACTTTGGTAGACATCCTCACAGTCCCAACAAATGATACCGCCCTGTTTATCAAACACCATATTCTCAGTGCACGGTAAACAGAGTGGCAGAACTTAGATTTTAAACTCACGAAAATCAAGGATTCCAAAAACTCCGCTTTTCCTCATCTTGTGGGCCTGAGGAAATAATTCTGACACGCCTTCGGATCGCTCACTGCCATTTCTCCCACGGCCATCTTCTCCGTGGTGACCCACACCCTTTGTGTGATAGTTGCGAGACAGATTTTACCATGGATCATGTTCTTCTGCACTTGTTCTAAGGTAAGAGATAGCCGCTGAAGGCATCACTTTGCAAGCTCTGTGGCACAGGTGCTTGGAAATGACGAATCTTCTCTCTTGCAAGCTTTTTAGTTTCTTACGAGAGTCTGACATTTACAGCATTATCTGAGAGAAGAGGATTATGCTAATTATTTGGTTTTTAATGGGAGATTTTAAAGTGTTTATGTGGCTCTTTTCTGCCAACCTCTTTTTTAAATAATTGAACATGTGTATTTTCAGATTTACTCACATTTACTTCGCATAAAAAATAAAGAATTAGTCTCGCTCTGCTTCAGTGCGTATTACTCTTCAAATAATTTGACACAGGCACCAATGACCTTAGCTGTTGAAGCACCCTTAAACCTTAATCATCATCATCATCATCATTAAATACAAGTGTTTTACTTCATTAACAATTTATTACAAAGAAAGGAAGTTCTGTTATCAAAAATAAAGGTCCACATCTCCTTTCCAAACTATTGTGTTTTTGTATATCTAATTTGTTCGTCTGTTATTTAAACTTTTTTCTATGAATGTATGATATTTCTGTTGATATAAATTCAGTCAAAACTTTTGTTGTGTATACAAAAAATGGTGTTTTAATTTTTCTGTGTAAAATGGTAAGCAGTGTTTTTTGTGTTTCAGGTGGTTAAGGAAGCTGTACCACTGGTGTTGGATGGTCATCAGCAGGAAGTTGAGTGTCTCTCTACAGATGGAGCTGTTGTTGTCAGTTCTTGCCTAGGAGGACATTTGTGTATATGGGATTCCTTTGCTGGGGAGCTTCTTATCAGCATTGACAGGAAAAGGCAAGTCAGTTTTTTTTTTCATCATTAGGTTGTAAAATTTGTAGCTTAACAAGTTTTAAAAATTTCTTATTATTTTCCCCCAGGTATTTCTCAATGCTTCAAAGACCTTCTTTATCTCAATCTGAAGTGAAAATGGAGGAACTTTCGTTTTCTGATTATGAATCTGGATCTCCTCCTTCACATGGAGAGGCCTCGTTAGAAGAAGCAGCTCACAGAAATCAGCAGTTCTGGGATTTCCCTGATCTGCAACCTTCTATTAATACTAATTTTACAACCCGGCCCCACCATGTTGAACAAGAAAATTATCAGAAGTCTGATGATCATCTCAGAAAACGTGGATTTTTTTATGGCTCAAAATATGAAGATATTTACAGAGAATATAGACATCCTTCAGAAAGTTATAAAACTCGAGATGAAAAGAAATTCGATTACTCTAATCAGGGGGAAGGAGTAAAATCGGACACTCATCACAAAGGTTTTCTAAGATCTAGATCTTCAGTGCCAGTTCTAGGACAAGAGAAACGAGAAGAAACCTTCGCATCAGCTTTAGATCCAATATCTGTGTCATATCAAAATGTGCATTCTGGCTGTAAAACTGAGGATGGGCCAGAAATAGAAGCACTGAATTGCGAGTGTGACCAACTTTTAAATACAAATGAAGAACATACCTGTTCACACATCAATGATTCTTCTCAGTGCTGTAATTGCAGTTATCCTCAGAAAGGAAAGTTATTACAGCGACATAGTAGTGAAAAAGAAATAAGGAGACTAAGTGAGTTGGGGAAAGATAGTGAAAATTTGTGGACAAGTAACGAGGTAGTGAATAGTCACTCTATAAGACTGAAAAATCAAAGCTCTGGTTCCCTTGGAGGAAATTCTCATGGAGAAGTTAATAAAAGATTACAGCATGGTGTGCCAGTGAGCGTACCATATTCAGCAGTTGGTACTGATAGTAATATAGTATTGAGCGATGTTCAAAGTGTTCCTCCAATTTGGTGCCTGGATTGCCACGAAAACTTAATTGCAATTGGTTGTGCGTCTGGAAGAATTGAATTCTGGGAAGGATCCACAGGAAAATTGAAGGTATTTTCAAGACCTTTTCAATAATGTGCTGTTGATTGCACTGAATCTTTTGATGTATAAAATTTTGTATATGTTGATTATTGAACAATTTAAATTAAATTCACATATTTTGGAAAGAAGGGAACTCATCATAAAAAGAAATTTCTTCTCTAGAATATGTTTTGAAACTAATTTGAAGTTATTGAAGAATAAGTTTGTCTTGTAAAGGTTTGTTGATTGTTCCATTATAATTTATTGATGAGGTTAAAAAGTCCAAAGAATATGGTTGACAGTAGATTATAAATCACATTTAAGAAAAAAAATAAGATGAATGCCATAAGTCTGATTCATTATATAATCTGTAAAAATGATTACTATAGACAAAACATAAGGCAAAATGCCTCTACTTTATTATTAGAGATAACATTAATATGATTTAATGTAAGTTCATATCCATGTATCAGATTTGTGAGTAGCAAGGGTAATTTTGCCTATTAACTGGAGTTATGTATAGAGCAAATTTTGATGACCTAAAATATAGTCTTAATATGGTCAATAAAATGCTCTTAAAATTTTTGATAGTAGTGATGCTAAATCAACACATACTTTCTCATAACATTATTTGTTATGGTTCCACAATATTATACTACTAAATGAACATGCAAAAGTGTTTCCACATCAGCCAAAAATGTTCTCTGCACTGAACTCAGGTCAATCGACTTAACTCACCATATGCTTTACTCGTACACCAGGCAGTACTTTGGCCATACTTTTGCCAATGCTTGAAACACATTATCACCCCGATATTATCAATACAGACTTTTTTAAATTCTGAGAGTTTAACAAAAATTAGACTTGTACCATTTTTTAATTGTGCCTTGTTGTATTAATAGGGGGAAAAAAGTTTTTTTTAATAAATTGCATTAATTTCAAGCAAACATTTCATGAAAACGGCTCATTAAAAAAGTAAAAAAATATACAACCTTTTTTTAAATACCTAGTTTTTTAGAACATTTCATTTATTACAAAAATCTCTTTCTTCAATATTAAACTTTTGTGATGCAATCTTTTTGAAATTTTCAAAATTTTTTACCACCAGCTTTTTAACCTCCCTTGGGTACAATGGGAAGATTTTGGAGTAATTTTTGAGATAATACTGGGGTAAAAATTGATAGATTTCATGCACAATTTTTGAATGATTTCCTGCATAACATTTGCAATTTTTGAAAAATTGGGAACTTATGGAAAATGAGATATGTGCCATTGTTTTGAGCATGTTTATGCTATCTGAAGACCACAGTTAAATCAAAAACTTTGGAGCCATTTTTGAGAAAACTTCAAAAACGTAATTCAGGATCAACATGAATTTCTCCCAAAACTCAAACTCGCAGAGCTTCGAGATTGTTCAAATCGATTCGGGATATCAATTTTGGAGACATTTTTCTTAACTTGTGTACAATTTATACTCTTCTTTCTTAATTAGTACTTCCCTTAAGAACCAGTCCTTTGAAAAAAAAATTTTACTGCAGAAAATTATTTATTATTTTATTTCTTGAATACAAATTAAAAGTCTTAAATTTTTCCGTTTTAAAATATGACGTTTCAGGAGCTTTTGCGCCTCCATTTTCAGGTCTAATGAACAATACAATTGATCTTATTAACTAATGTATTCTTAACCTAATTTAAATTCTAAATAAGTAACATATTTAAAACAAACTTAATGTTCTTTTATATAACAAATTTCAAGTCCAGCAGAAGTTAACGTTCCTGGTTTGTTGTGATCCACCGGGAAAGCTTGTATATTGTTGAAATGCCTAAAAGTTTGCTAAATTTTTCTGAAATTTAGAAAAGATTAACTTATAAATTATCAATTTTAAGAAAGTAGAGCTCATCCATTTGTCATGAAAAGTAATCCTGCTGACACTTGATGTTCTGGAGCCAGATTTGAAGTGACACGAGTGATGCCATGAGTGAATTTAATGACTGAATTATACTCATTTTCAAACAGTTATTATAATATAATTAAAGAATTGCAAGAGGAAGAAAATCAAATACAAGTTCAGGTTTCATTATAGAATAAAACTTCCCCTTCCGCTGTCCTGCTCATGAAGAACTAATTTTTAGAACTTAATTTTTTTTTTACCTGTTTAGGCACTAGCATTGATCACACCTGGCTGCATGCACTGACAGACATTTTGCCATTTATAGATTTTTCTGGTGTCTAGGATTTACAAAACATGGTTTCTGACTACAGTGTGTGTCAGAGGAATTGATGTGATGAATTGAGGAAATGTGTGTCAGTAATTTTCTACATATTGAAACAAGATTGATATTCTATTTCATTAACAAGAGTGTGCAATAAGAAGTCGCAGGCTTCCGGAATCTATTGAATGATCTTGGCTTTCCGGGTGACTCCGTGTCAAAGGCTGTGTTACCAAACACACGGAGTCACCCGGGGAGCCAAGATCTTTCATGTATACAATAAGCATTTTTCTGCGCCTTTTTCCTGCGCACAATTACAACACATTCTCAACTTATGAAGTAAGGTGAGGAAGTAAAATATTCTAAAGCGAACGAATATGATGTGAAAATGTTGGGCAAAATCAGTTTAGGTCATTAAATTACACTGATTTCTGAAGGAATTACGCTTTTAATAAAGCATTCATTTTCAGTAACTCATTTTCACACTAACTGTGCCAAAAAAAAAAACGCCCTTTCTAGGACTTTTACTTTTGGGATTTTATGTAATAATAGGTACAGGTTTACACTCTGTAAATGCCACTGTTCTCGCAGTGTACAACACTAAACAGTGTAGTATAGTACTGAAGTAATTGATGCTTTTCTATTCTTTTATTACAAAGTTGGTGTATGGAATAGAAACACTTTTGCTTCTTCATCATCATTATTATCATCGACTACGCCGTATGGCCTGTTCTGGGGCCAAAAAGATCGACTTTCCTTCTTCTTCTAGGTCTATCTGGATCTCAAGTTCCTTCGGGTGCGTAATGGAGGAGCTTATTTGGTAGTCTCACACCAGTCATTCAGTGGATATGATGGAACTATTTCTCTTTTTGCACTTGGATACTTATTGAGGTTGAAAGTTTTCAGTTGACTTCTGATGTCTTCGCTTCTTATGTGGTCTAGAACCATACATCTTGCAACAGATCTTAAAAATCTCATTTCAGTTTTCCTTCTTTCCAAGCAATTCATGCTCCAGCTTTCTCAACCATATTCACACAGGAATTGCCATCGTCTTGTAAAATTTGGTTTGTGTGACCTTCCTTACTTCATTCTTAAGATTTCATGGATTGTTCCACTCATTACCTGAAATTTATTGACATTTTTGTGGATGTCATTCTTGCAATAAGAGATGGTATGTCTGGGATAGTTAAATTCTGACACTTGTTATAGAATGGTGTTTTCTATGACTATATTGCACCTCAAATGATGTTTGTCCAGAAAAGTTATTACTTTAGGTTTCTGATTAAATACCCGTAACTTGTAATGCTGTAATATATTTTTCAAGGTATAGATATCATTCTGCAATCTATCCTCCACGTTTTCCCAAATAACCTGATCATCAGCTATAAAATTATTATTAAGCCTGTTCCAGAAACTAATGCTTTCTTTTGACAATGCTCTCTGCCATTCCTTCACGTCATTGTCAATATATAAACTAAAAAGTGCAGGGGACAGTGGGACAATGAATAAGGAATTTTCTACAGAAAACTTCTTGCTTATCGCCAACTGATGATGAAAAAGTAGATAATTTGTGTCCTTTATACAGTTAATTTCTTCCTCTATCATTTTCGAACCTTGCATGTTGGAAATAATGGGAGAGTTAATTAGATTTGTAAGCGTCTGTCCAAGTTCATACATCGGGGCAGCTGCCTCGTGTAGCAGTAAGGCATATGGCGAGTTAATTTGCCGAACCTGAGTGCAAGTCTCAGCGCAGAAAAAATTGTTCACTGCTTGAAAACATGTTTGCAAGTTCATGTAGTAGTAGTAGTTGTGGAGCCATTACAAATTATAGAGAAGTATGTGCTATTGTTTCACTGCTATTTTATTTCTCCTTACAGTAAACATGTGTTTAAAAGTTTAAATTACTCTGTTAACAGTATATAATGCCTAGTTAGATGGTGTACTTAATGCTAAAGAAGGCTATTGTTCTTGTTTTACAGTGCCTTTTTGAAGATGGGACTGGTATTGGTATTACTGCCGTAAAAATAATTGGGAACAGAGTAGTAGCAGCTAAGCTGAGTGGGGCTGTGGATTTCTTTGAACTTGAAAGCTTCAGTCAAGGTCAACCAACTGATTGGGGCTTCACATATAGAAGAAGTTAGTGAAATATCTATATCTTCTTATCTTATGCAGACATTTGACAATACTTTTATTTTATTGGTGTTTCTGGCATAATTTTCCTTCATTATTTTTCAGCCCATGTACGCACAAACAGTGCAGGAGCCTTAAGTGATTGGAATTCTTGGGCAGCACAGCATGGTGTAGAACAAGACATCCGGTGCATTCACCTGAATACTACTAGAGCCCATCAACAACCAATTACTGTTCTGGATTCAGAGGGAGGTAGAGTCCTTACAGGCAGCCAGGATCACACCTTGAAGGTAAATGAAATTATAAATTTGATGCTTTTTCTGCTAGGCTACTGATTTTGCTCATGTATGTGCTGAACATATGGCTGTAATGTATGTAATAGTATGAAATCACTGAGCAATTGCAAGCCAGGACAGCAATGACAGCACAACTGTATATAAACTGTCTAATTATTGTGAATTAATGGCTAACTATTTAAAAATGAAGTATTTGATGGCACAATATCAAGCTAGCACATCAGATACTTTTGGACTGGAGCTTGAAATGTTTTGAGAATTAATTGCCACCCATCATCACTATAAAAAGTAAGTGTATACTGGCTTGACACTATGCCATGCCAGGTCACGCCAGCATACATAAATGCACGGCATGCATAAGTGCCAGCTTGCAGAAAGCTAAATTTGGTCAGAAGATAATAATAATTATTATTTGGTTAGAAGTTAGTTAAGCTTATTATTTGCACCACTTTGAATTAAAATTTCTGTAAACTGGCTGAGGTAGCTCAGGGCCTCAATTGACGTTACCACAATGCCTTTGGCCAGGAGGTCCTAGGATTCAAGTCCTGACAGGAGCAGGATTTTCCACACTAGCTACATTGCTAGGTTGAATTTAGCTGCTGTGTGGGGGAGAATTCAAAGGATTGATGCTCTGATCAGTAGTTTTCCATGGTTTCTCTGATAAACAGGCAAATGCGAGAGCACTAACCTAACAAATGGGCCACAGACCGTGCACAATTTTTCCTTTATATTCCTTGCCCTATCCTCATCCCATTCTTATGCACGCACATGCACTACGCTACCACATATACCAGGAGAACAGTTGGGAGCTTAAAAATTGTCCCGGCTGGGGCAGTGCCCTGCTGGTGGGAGATGCCTGGCTATTTTCATTAGGTAATTTTATTATCTTGGTTAGGATATTTTAATGCAACGCTGATCTATTCTTTAACTTCTCCAGCTGATAGGATTATATCCTTCAGGCCTTGAAACCAGAGCCATTTTTGGCTCCTGTAATGAAAATATATAATTGAAAAATCTAATGCAGAAATAACATACTCAATTTTCACAAGTATTATGAATTTCAGATGTGGAACGTTACACCACTGCACATTACTTTCAGAAAACATTGGCTAATAAAACTTTTAAGTTGCCTGAAACGTATGGAATCATACATGAAATGGAACAATACAAATGGAATTGAATGAACTTACAAACTAAACCTAATACATGTAATAAGAATAAACAGATAATAATGTTTTCAGTTTTACTGAATGGCTGATAAAGGCAATTATTGGGGGTGGGAGTGAGAGGGAGACAGAGGGAGAGGGAGAGACTAAATTCAGGTCAAAGACTGATGTAAATGACATGAGTATCATTTGCTAATTATTTGGTACAATTTAAAATTAATTCTCAATAAAAACAAGTCTGTATTGTCTTGAAATCATGTCAGCATGCACAAGAGATAAATTAAGTGCAAAGCTTTGCAGAAATATGCAATATGGCTCTGTAATTTCCTTTAATCTAAAGTAAGTAAAGTCAGGGAGGAGTAGGATGAGTTTCCCCAAAATATTTAACTGCATCTAAGTCAGGAATGTACATTCACAGAAGATACCCAATAATTGCGCACCCACGCCCACACTCACACTCTCGCACATACATACACACACATCTCATTCTACTAATGTTCATACCTCATAACCATCCACAAACACCTCATTCCACTAATGCTGATACTTTATAGACAGCATAACCAGGCACGGATCCACAGGAAGGGAAATAAGGGAAATTTCCATCTGAAAAATTTTTCAGTAACTATTAATTTTAACTTATCATGAAACTTTCATGCAGAAGTATTTTCAGATACTCATTAAAAATAAAATCGTATGTCAGCATGAGCCGAGTGTAGCCTGCCACGTTTTACAAAATCTGTCATATGATACACTTGACCAAAACATTTTGAATTTCCCCTCCCACAATTCGTCAGTGGATGCGCTCCTTCCATAACTATCCTAAATGACTCGCACATTGACCACACACAAGACCTCAAGTTGCGCTCATTGGTCATATACAAGCACATACACTTGTTACACAGAATCTGACGCTCAATGTATGTAAGCAAGCATGTGAAGCACTCATACAATTCAGATCACCTTTCCGTCTGTTCTTATTTCTATCTGCAACTTTTATGGCCTTTTTTCCAGGTTTTCCGATTAGAGGATCAGCTTCCTCTGTATACTCTTCATGGTCATAGTGGTCCTGTCAGTTGTTTGTTTATTGACCGTATATCACCAATGATGTCAGGCAGTGGTAGCCAAGATGGACTGTTGTGTGTCTGGGATCTGCTTACAGGTAGAAAAGATTGCCTTCATATTTTCGTTTCAAAATAATATTCTATAATTTTTTTTCACATTACTAAAATTTATTTTCGTTTCCACTTCAATTTCTTATCAAAATTAAGTGTGTTTAACAAAAGTTCATGTCTAGTTCAAGTTCAAGTCAGTGTTCAATGGAAATATCTGTAAATGGGGATTGAAATTTTATATAGAAAAACAGCATGTATTTTTCCTGTTTACAAAAAAATAAAAAATACTAGATGAGTTTACATGATCTATTAGTTGGAAAATATATTAGCTGATATAATATGAGTCATTTTTGAAGGAAAATAGTGAATAACTGTACACCTTCTTACAACTAGTGTATTTAGCTTCAGATCCATCTTCTGATATTACAGAAGCTTGGGATTCAGTGAAACTCAAAAAATATTATGTCTGAAACTGTCTTCTACTTTTCATTCCTTATGTATTGTGTCATCAAATTCCTAATGTTTATGGAATGTTTATTTAGGAGCATGTATGTACAGCATTCAAGCTCATGATGGAAGTGTTGTAGCTCTGACGTATTCAGCAAGTTACGTTATTAGTTTGGGAACTGATGAACGATTGTGTGTGTGGGAACGCTTCCAAGGTCATCTTTTAAATACAATACAAGTGGTAAGTTTTTGAAAGGTTGGCCCATTCAATATTAATGGTAATGAGTACCTTTGCAAAACTTTTAATAATTATGTTTATGATGAATTGTTTTGGGCATTTTTCAGGCCCACACATACTGTTCCAGTATGGTGATGCTTACTCATAATTTACTAATAACTAGTAAGCAGGTAAGATGATTTTCAGTGTACTTACATAAAAGCTTTTGATACAATTGGAAAATACAATTGCTGACTTATAAAATAGAGTGAACTACAAGTGTTAGCATATTTTTGTTTTTATTTCTACAGGGATCTTTGGTAGTATGGGATGTGCGGACTGGTGTGCCAGTGCGTGTTGTTAAACTGGGTCACAGTGATAAGTGTGTTTTTGTAAAGCAGATTTTGTTACTTAGAGATAGTGTTGTTTGTGACTATAGTAACCAGCTAAGAATAGTTCGTTTTCCCCTTGTTACCGACAAGTGTGAGTGAAACAATTGTGGCATATAGATTTTAAAATATTGAACATTCAACAAATTCATTTTTATAAATGTTGTGAACAGTTTTTATACAGAAAAATGATTGATAGGTAAATTATGAAAGAATGTGCAAAATATCCAAATGATTTTTATGGAATGTAGAAAAAGTGTAATTACTTAATAATAGAAATATAACTGTCAAACAGTTGCTGCTCATTTTAGAATCAAATTTGGAATATTTTGTGTTGTTGTAGATTCGTATTAACGCTTTTCAAGTCCGTTTTTTGTCAATCAAGTCATTCCTTTCCTTGTACATACTATTACATATAAAATGAAAATCATGTTGCAATATAAAGATTGTTATTTACCAATGCTTTCTATTTGGGTCAATTTGACAGTTGTGAAAATATCCATGTATTTGCCTCTACATGCTTGCCTCTACAAAATTGATACCTGATAAGTGTTATAAAATTTGGTTTTGCTGAGTGGTTTCTTTAAATTTGATCTCTCATTAGATCCACTTGAAATGTTATATACTACATTTGTAGTTCTGGCAGAAGTTTGAAAGCATTGTTTTATTGTTATATTTTTTTAATTATTGCCACCTCTGAGGAATTAAGCCTCTAATTAAAGCTTCTATTGACAGTTAAGACTCCTTTTTTGTTGTGAAATCAGTGAATTTTAAAGACTTATTTTTAAATATAATGCTTAGGGAATTTGTGCCTTATAATAATTCATTGCAATGTTCATTGTCTTGTATTTAATGGCAGTGTTTAAAGGAATTAATGTTGAGAGAATAATGCATAATATTTGACTTCAGGCAGTTATGGTTTCTTTTCATTGGTCAGTTGAAATATTTTCTTATTTAAAAGAAATTTAAATGGATTTTAATAATTCTTAATGTTAAAATTTGGTAAACCTTTAGAGATATGTAGATATGTAGACAAAAATGAACCATCATGAAAAATAATTTTTCTCTTAAACCAATCGGTTATAGTACTTCTATTGGAGAGATATATAATGGCATTTTCGTTGTTGTTTTTAACTTAGAAAATAATTTTTTTTGAATCTGAAATGTTTTTTAAATGAATTAAAAATTTTCTTTTATTTTCTATCCAAGACTAATTGTGTGTTAAACTTCAAATTTTTGGTAAATAATTAGCTGTAATTTTTAAGTGAATATATTAGTAGTTTATTTATTATATAGATGAATGATTAGGATGAAAAAATATTATTTTTTTAATACAAAATTTAAAAAACCTTTTTTGAAATAGCAACTATGATGTATGACATGTATCTCATTGGTTTGTTTTCAAGTCACAGAAAAATTGGATATGGGGTTGTTAATACTTCCAGAGAGAAATATACCTAGGTTGAGAAAACTGATTCTTCAGGAAAATGAATTTGATCTCTTGAAGACTTAGTCAAGACTCACACCACTTGGTATTCTTCTCTCTGAAGCTCTTCTTCTCGTTTATTTTAAAATTTCCTCATCAGCAATGAAAACTGGGATAGTTTTGCCACAGTTCTTATCAGTTACTAATATTAAATCATCTTCAATTGTTTTTTAAATGCTTAACATCGAGATGTCCTTCAGGAACATAACTAGCACACGGCATGTTCTTTTAAATTTTAAAGGCCTTTTTCAGCGACAGCAAAATCTAAAAATAAGGGAAAATTCTCCCAAGATTCCAAACTACAGTAAAACCCCTCTTTTACAATTTTCACATATGGAAATGGTGTAAATTGAGAGAAGTGTGAATACTGGGAAATTATTTTTTTCTTTAAAACTATGAGTACTGTATAATGTATTTAAATACATACAATCAATATGGATTATAATATTCTTTAATATGATGTATTAGAAATATAATAAACAATATTACAAGGTCGAATAGAAATTGACCAATATTTACACTGGAAATCGAAGGCGTATTAACTGAAGCATAGTGAATTTTAAATGTTGCAATGACACTTCAAGTTCCTGCTATCCACTGATGGTAGCCTTTGATGATACAACAATGTACTCATCATTGGATGAAGGGGGGAAATGATATTTCTACTGAAAAAAAAAGAGAGAGTTTACATTTTTCCTATCTTAATAAAATGTTTGTTTTGAGCAGTTCGTAATGATTTCCAACTAATATTTTTTTACATATATTTATATACAAAATAATAGAAAGAGAATGAATGAAAGATTTTACATTTAACAACGTACTGAGAATTACATACGTCGATGTTTGACCTATTAAAGGATGGGGGAAAACTACGATGAAACTAGAATGAGAAAGTGCGTAATTGTGGAGAATAATGTAAAATAAACAAATGATTGCTACCTTTCTTAGGTCCTGAGCGTTGCGTTGACGCGCGTCACTTAACGCTGATGTCAGCTGCGTCAATGCCTGTGCACGCGTCTCATAACGCGCGTCGTGAATGAACACTATCTTATGCGAAACGGCACACGAACGCTCTTGGCAACGTGCGAAATAGCACAGCTCAAGCAAGATGCCGAAGCTACAACGTCAAGCTGAAGTGCGTTTTCTAGCTTTCAAACCGCGACGCCAGCCAGGCGTTGAGCATTGCCAACACTGCACGTCGCCAAGAGCGCTCGTGGGTCGTTTCGCATAAGATTGTGTTAATCTACCACGCGCGTTAAGTGACTCGTGTGCGTAGGTATCGCCGCGTCTGGCGTCATTGGCGTTGTGACGCGCGTCAATGCAACGCACGTGTGTCACAGTCCTTATATTCTTTTACCAATGCAGACTGGTAATTTTTTCTACCTTTTTAAATGCTTCTGTGATGTCATGAAATGAAAATTAGTTAAACTTTTAATGAAAATTATAGCTATTCAGTTTTGATTTTCACTGTATTTAAATCTTCTAGTATTCATGTATTATTTTAAAACTCTTTATTTCACACCATTTCAATGGTCTTTCTGTTATGCCCATTTTTAATGCGCAAGGTGGTGGGAAAGTGCAGAGACATTGTGCACAATACCAAGTGCTTTCTAGATGGTATTGTAGCAAGCATATAAATACCCTGGATAAATGCAGGGTATTTATAATATTATGAACATACGAAAACTGTTGAGAGTGATAAATATTGTAAATACCATGAAAATGTAAATTACGGGAATGTAAAAGCTAGGTTTTACTGTAAATTATTCCCTTTAAAACAGAAAATTAAATGTTTGTCCAATTTCCACTTCACATTTCGTTAATTTCATGTAATATTTGGAAAAGTAATGTAATATTGTTAAGTCGCAAAATATAAGTTTACTTCCTTGGTGTTAAAATATCATAATGATTTCCAATATATTTTTGCCAGTTTTAGGAAAATGGACAAGAGAAATGAATTTCATTTTAAAATAAATTGTACCGCGAATGTTACAAAAATTAAAAAGTGCTATGACTTGCAGTTAGCCACCTAGGGTACTTAGGTGAGTATTATCCCTATTCTTTAATGTACACAGTGTCAATGAATGATGACTAGGTTGCAACTGCTTATACATTTTCTGGAGTATTTAGTACTTGTTTCTGATTTCAGAAGAAAGACATAATGTATTTTAATTTCAATTTTGAAGCAGCTGTTCTTTTTATTCGGGTTTGCATTATAAGTTAAGGATGATTAATGTTTTGGGTGTAAATGCCTGTTTTATGAATTTCATTTTCTTATCTTGTGATAAAGACAGTAGTTAGTTAATAGGGGGAAATCAGGCAATAGATTTTTACTAGCTCTAACAAGAATTAATGAGTGGTTTTAACCTCTCCAATCCTACTTAGTGTTGGTTTAGTCTCAAGAGCCACTACCACTGAGTTGTTCTTATTTACATAATTTTAGATGTCTTTTCTTCATGCATTTAATGGTGGTTGCTTTAAGAATCTCTGTATAGTACATGCAGTTGCAGTCCCTTCCCTCGCAGATCTGACAAACCAATAACTGGTTGTTTCATGTTACTGCTAATTTGTCTCAGAATGACCATTAGGAAATAAAGCACTTTTGGAGATTTTTGCACTTGGTGAGTGACTGTCTGCAACAGTAATAATTTGCTGTGGTTCTATTTACATTGAAGTTTTTGATATGTCCTTCGAGAAATTTTTTTCTGAAGGGAGAAGGTAGGATGGAGAGATGTGTCATAATTATTTTAGAGATAATAAATAATATTGATACCACTTTACCAAAAAAAAAAAAAGATCAGGGAGTATTTTTACCATCTTATCTAGTCTTTGTGATTCTCATATTAATTGGTTTCTGGGAAATTTCCCTTCTTTTAAGTTACATGTTCTTTATTGAATTGTTGCAAAATTTGCTTTTATATTTTGTAAACAATTTAATTACTCGATAGCAATTTTTTACTTTAATCAAATCAAAGTAACTTACATATCAAGCTAGCATCTTTATCAATTATTTTCATCATTCATTGCAGCACTCTGTTCATTATAGAATGTAGTTTATGAAGAGGGTAGCATTGAATAGTTCCTAATGACACCAGCTCAACTGGCAGGAGGTTATAGTATAAAATGGAAGCTGATTCTTGTCATTTAATCGTAATAAAATTGCAATTTGCATCAGTATAAGCAAGTGTAATGATGTTATTGATATAAATGTTATAGTAAAATTTATTTAGTTGGGCACTTGACGTAAATCAGCTGTTGCGGTTTCACCCAATCAGGAGTTTGTGTCACTACAGTGATATCACTAGGGGGACATTCAAGCTTCCGATTGGATGAAACTGTGAACAGCTGATTTACATCAAATGCCCAACTACATAAATTGTACTATAACATTTATATCAATCACATCATTGTGTCCATGGTTAAATAAATCCTAGTATACTTACCATAGTGGATGTTTTTTAAAGAAACATCTTGAAAACAGGCAAGAATAAACAAAATATTACAAGAAGAGAATGCATGAAAGCATGCAATCTTTTGTTTTCCCACTGTCCCCATGTACTTCAAGTGCACAAAAGCACATTATATCAGGTCCTTCATTTCATATGCATTTCAAAGCCTTCATTTACTATGTGTTTATTATGTTGGTAATAATCAGAAACCAAATGATAAATTTGGTGCACAAATGCTTTTTGATAATGAAGAGAACTGAGTGAATTGTGTGATCATTTGGACTACGAAAAAAAGTAAAGAGAAGGAGAATCTTGCACATAAGAATTAGATATTTTTTATTCATATCATTCTGTACATGAACACGTTAATTTTGTTTAGTGTTATAGAGAATTGTCAATTTGTCAAGGCTCAAAATTCATGTATTGACAATGTTTACTGCTTCAAAATATGAGAAACGAGAAAAAAATTTCCAACTGCACTGATAAGAAACCAATAAAATGATCTGCAATAAATCTTGAAGTCTTCTGAGTAATTTTGGTTTCACCTACTGTTGCAATTTCTTCTTTAAGCATGTGGCTCTCTATGCAAAGTAAAGGATTTTTTAAACGTAGATGCAGTTGAATGTTTTAATGTAAGGTTTACTTAATATTAAATATGAGAGAAAAAGTTGATGAGAATGTATTTCCATCTACCATCACCTGGTAGTTGAACTGATGTGTAGGCCTTTGTATGAGGTTGATTTGAGACTGGTAAGAACTTTTGTGCCCTGTGTAACAATGTGTAAGTAATCCTTGGAGCTATTTCAGTTAACCATCATCTTTTTGTAGTACATTTTGAAGTGTTATCTATTCTTCCCACATTATCACTTTTCTGCCTGAGTTCTTTGGGTTCCAGCAATTTTTTTAATAAAATAATTGATTGCTCCAGAGCTTTCCTCTTTCTGTAAGCATTTTGTATCATGACGGAATTAAAGAACTGATTAGTTTTTATCTGTGCCTCTCTAGTATCCAAATCTAAGGTAGCTTACCAAACATGTCTTGATTTATATTTATATAAGCATTTGATTAGTATTTTTTGTTGTCGTTTTTTCCATGAAGCATTGAAAATAACATTGAAAATTAAGTTATTTATCATACTAGTAGCTAAAGAGTCAATTATGTGCAAGTTGGTAAATTATTCACGAGGTAGAAAGTGTAAATGTATAATTGCTAATGAGCATGTAACGGTCTTTTAACCACTTTAATTAAAGTTTTATTTTAACTGATCGCCTTTTTTTAAAACTCTGACACATTTTCTAACCAAATTGAGGAATGATAAGTGGTATAATATTTTTGTCAGCCCTTTTGTTACGTTAGCTATAATTATGAGCCATTTTATTTACTACAGGAAGCTTTATTATATTTGCTATAATGATGAGCCCTTTAATGTTCTCTCAACATCTTTGTAAACCAAGGCCCTCAGAAAAGATATAAGTAATTTTTGGATGATAATGCATCTTCTTCCAATATTTTTAATGTCTGTAACTTCCTGTTTTTATATTGTTCAATGTGCAAATTATGTGATCTAAATGAATGTGATTCTTAGATATTTTTGTGCATTTTCTTTTACTCTATATCTCAAAACAAAACATTTTTCGCATTTTTATTCCTCTTATGCAGAAATTTATTTATGAATATTTTGATGTAAAGGTAGAATTTGATTATTTTATTACTTAATTTATTAAATGCTATTACTTTGAATAGTGGCTTAATGTTTTATTTATAAATGTAGATATTTTAAATCCATCAATTTTTGTTTAGAATAAAAGTGTGTGTAATGTTTCTTTTTCCATTACTTTTTTGTTTTGTTAATTGTAATGTGAGTTCAATTTACTTTGCTAGCTGAGACTGCAGTTCAATCAATATACTCATTTCTGTAAACAAATGTTATAGTAGATGTCTGTTTATGTGAAAAATATTTAAAGGGTTATAAATGGTGTCATCTGTTTGTTGTGGCTAAAGAAGCAATTATGTATTTTAGATTAGGAGAAAGTTGTAAGTTGTTGTCATTACTTGTTTTTTTTTTTTTTCTATTATAAAAACTTCATGTGTATGCCAAAGCTTAATTACATTACAGATTAAAAAAGTAATCTATATTGTCACTTTGAACAGTGTTTGTTTTGTACCTTCCAACAAGTTTTATTTTTGATAATTTGTCATAATTACAGCTTGAGATATTCAGTATATAATAGCCCAGGTTGGTAGAAATTGCCAAATCGTTTTGTTCATTTTTAACCTAAGTGAGGTCATAAGACAGCATTTGCATCCAAAGATTTATTATTACACATATTTTTGTTCCAGAATTTTATTTGGTCTTGTGATTTTCAGTACCTTTCCTCATATCCTTTACTCATCAAATGATTCCAGTCTATCAGTAAAGGTCTCTCATGCAACACTATGGTCTCAAAAGCTTCTGTGTTTTATTTGCTCTGCCATGACTACGAAATCTAGCTAATATATTGTCCGTGGAGCTCTTGGGCTGAACTTCATTTCTGGTAACAAGTTTAGAATGACATAATAAAAATTTCAGAAGAATTAACACCTTGAACCAAGTTGCAAAGAACATAAGATTCAAATGATGATATTCCTCTTTTGTGCTGTCACAAAGTTTGCCATGAGCAATGATATTCAAAATAACACACTACTCGTAAATTGAAGTATAAAAAGTAGAATTTGATTTGCAAAGAAGGAAAATACGCGACTAGTGAAATTTGCCGTGAAAATTTTGGAAGTAAATCATCCCATAAATTTGAAAAGTCCAAGAAAAGCGCATAAAAAATAATGTTCATTATTTGTTGGCACTATACAAATAATTATTAAGTATTCCTTGAAATGTACCCAGATACTGTTCTATAAGAATTGTTCTGTAACTAGTGATTAAAGTACAGTAAAATATTTCTAAACCGGAAACCTACCTTAATACGAAAATTTCTCCGACTCCTGAAGTTGAATGACATTTTAAACAGCATAAAACGGAACCTCTCCAACGCGGAAATGGGACAGCTTTTCACGTCCTGCAGGCGGAATGTTTATAAAACGGAATTCTTATGAGTTTAGTGCAATTGGCAGAGAGACGCGAGATGATCTTAATGAAACAAATGAATCTGCAAGCGTGTTTTAAATTCCGTACCCGTGTGGCACGCAATTTAGTCGTGGCAACCGGACATTGAAGCAGCAGGGCTGCAGCTGTCAACGAAGAACTTGACCTTGAGATGGCATGTCTATCAAGGCGTGCGCAATAGGGGAATTCCCTCTTTCTTCCGAATAAAACTCTCTGCCCGACTGTCTCAGCGTGGCGATTATTAGAGCTGAAGCTAGTTTACCTTGAATGGAATCGCATAGACACGTGATCAGTTACTCGACTTTTAATTAGCTCGTAAGGTGTCATCCAGTCGGGAGCTTGAATATCACCAGAGTGTGTAGCTGTAGCGACTCATAACATCTTATGCGAACCATAGTGCTACAAAACCAGATACTGTAACCGATATTGTGGTCTGAAGGTCAAAAGAATGGTCAATATATTTTTGCATACATAAAATGAGACATTCACAGTAACGATTAAAAATCAAAACGAATAACGAAGGGATGTGAACGGTCAAGTATTACTCGCATTTACTCGTGCGCCGGAAAAACTGCGAATTTTCGACACAAAAACTCTTGCGGGGAAGGAAAAGGTAGATAAATCCAGTCGCTAAATATAAAAAAAATATCCCAACACGTGGTATTGCCAGAATACATGTTTTGTACGTCCTTCATACCGAAAAATCGATTGACGAAAAACTCCATCTGTCAACGCTAGCGCTAGCGCATATCATTCAGTCGATTTTCTCCGAAATTGATATTCCCCAATCTTTCTAGCCAACACCACCTAGATATCTAGGTGGTGTTGTTCTAGCTGATATCGCGGCCCTGGTATTTGAAAACGATAGTTTTGTTTTGGGAGTTACTTACATAAAGTACCTGCGGATTTTCAAAATAAAAAAAAAAGGCTCAAAATTGTTTGATTAAATTTTGTTAAATAGTACAAAGGACATTTAAGATAATAGTATAGGTCTCATTTTCGTTCACATCCCTGATTTTTCGAAAATTGGAAAAAAACATTAAAATTGCAGATAGAAAAAAGGTCATGTACATTTTTTTTTAGAAAACGAGTAGCTTTTGCATATATTGTAATTGAAAGTTATAAAAAATATTTTCAAAAACCGCTCTCAATTTTTTCTTTTCTGTAAGAAGGACGCACAAACCATGGATTCTGGCGACACCACGTGTTAGTTTTTTTGCTATATTTAGCAACTGGATTTATCCACCTTTTTCGTTACTAGGGCCCGATAATAAGAATTTTTGTGTCGAAAATTCGCAGTTTTCCAGGGAACGGTTCCAATATTTTCTCTTCTTATGTTAGTAAGTGCGACAAAGTAAAAATTTAAAATGTGCTTTATATCTTTTACTAATTAATTTATTTATATTTATTTGTTTGTTTACTGCAAAAACAGTTAAAAACTGTGTGACGTGCAATGGGGAGGTGCTATGGGTTTTTCTAGTGATATTTGAATAAATACAAAATATTATTTAAAATATATTATTATTATTATTATTATTATTATTATTATTATTATTATTATTATTATTGTTGTTGTTATTATTGAAATGATTAGTCCTAAATGGGTAATCACTATAATGAACACTAACTTAAAAAATGTTATATTTTCCGGAAAAACAACAAAAAACACAATGGATAACAGGAAATAAAGTTGAATTTCTCAAATCAATCGTTCTGGTAGATTTATCTCTTACATAATATATTATTATTTTCAGCTATTTGAATATTGTTTTTGGCTCAATGCGTTTGGTAAGTTCAATGCTCTTACTGCTTACTGTCTCTCACTGTGGACGGAGCATGTATCAATGATGTATATGGTAATATATATTATTATATATCATTACATTAAATTATATATATAATATATTTATTAATAACATATTTAATCATTATATTACATAAATTATTAGTATGTAAAGAATGACTGTGAATGGGTGGCTGATTGTTCGTTGTTTACTGTGTATTCCATGTTTTATAAACCGTCACATGCACCAACTTAAATACAGAAAATATGACGTTCTTGAGGAAGTTTGTATGTTTGGTCGCATCTTAAAATATCTAGTTAGTATAAAATAGAAAAGAAAATTAAATTAACACTAATTATGTGTGCTGAATTTTGTTAATTGAACAAACTTAAACAGAGGACAGGAAACCGTAATTATTTGTACGTTGGCATAATGTAGCATTGGCGGTTGAGTGCCTGTTTTGAATCAGCCCTGGTGTTGGGCAAACTAAACGAACGGCCGATAATGGGCGTGTGCGCTGGCGTCAGATTGACGGGTTGTAAGCCAGGAAAAGAGACCCCACGAAGAGGCTAACTTGTTGGAAATGTAATATCTATTGTCCATTGTGGCGCAGTACTTCAGATTGTAGTAATTGTGTGCTAGTAATTGTGGTTGTTAAAACTTATTTGTAATGGATCCTGGTACTCAGGTAAGAAATGTCGGGATGAAGTGCACATTGTACATATGCATAAGTTAAATTGATTTTGTGAACTGTATACTTGATACTTGACAGAGGATGTTGGAACGTGCGCGTGCTCGTCGCCAGAAACTTGACGAGCAGCTAAAAAGTGCTGGACACAAAAGAAGTCCGCTGCAGGAAAATAATGTGTCGCAGTTTGTCAAAGTAACTACTGAAGGTGAGCTCAATTTCAGTCGTTGCTGATGATTCGTTTAATTGCAGTGCTTTCAACCAGAATTGGCTAATAAGTTGAAAAAATTTATTTTTTTGCAGTAGAAGTAGTCTTAAATTCAAGTGATCCTGTGAAAAAAGTCAATGTGAGTCCAACCAAAGTTGAAGTGAGCAGCATGAAACGGCAAGACGATATGTCGACGTCTCCTAAAGAAAACATATCTACTGGGTCACTAGACATGGATAATAATCGTGAGAGAAACATTAGGTCTCAGCTCAAGCGCCTTGGAGCATTGTATTCAGGTAAGCTTTAATCATATGGTGATATTGTATTGTGATATTTCTGTCTCAAAGCCCAGAAAAAATTGTACGGATGAGTTATCATCCACTTAGTTTTTGAGATTTTGATGTGAAAGTAGGGAAATGCCTGAAGTATTTACAGTATCGGTAGACAACTGGCATAATGTGGTATTGTTTCTTGTATACCAGTACTGCACTCTACAAATACTACGAGTAATAATTATGTTCATTGTCATTGAACTTAAGCTCTTCAGTAAATGTGTCATCAGAAGGTTTACTATTCAAATTATTGTTTTGTTTCTAATTTGTTTACACTTAAGTAGCAATTTTTTTTGTAATGTAAGCCGCTATGAGATGATTGACTTCGTTAAATGAAAGGTTCCCACACCAATTGGTACTGAGTAAATGATTGTGGTTCAATTTCAATGATTTATTTATGACTTCTGGTAATATTTTGAATCTTTGCACAGGGTTATTCAGTACATTGTTAATTTAATCGTTCTGTGTTGTATCATTTCTGGAATTTTTACAATAAAAAAAACTGTAATAAAATGAATTTGCTCCAAATGCTTCAATAAATCTTCTTTTGCAGATTCCCATATATCATCTCCAATTCATCGTACCGAGAATCATTTTTCTGTTGAAAATGAGAGCGGAAAATCTGGCAAGTCCACAGCTAGAGTAGCTAGATTTGCTGCATTGGCTGACAACATTAAACAGTGGGAAGATGATTTAAGTCATCCTAGCTGTGGATCCAAGTCTCTTGTATGTTTTTCATGTAATTAGTTTTACTGATTGCAACTTCTTGTACAGAAGATTTGAATTTATTTGTGAATATGTTTGATCATCTTGCTTGTTTCTCACACAATTTTAGATTTTTTTCAAAAAATTTGTATACATTTTTTCTTAGTGTGAAGGTTTGTTAATATCCTTGGGTCAAAAAATTACTTCTAATATATCTGGTTATTATACACAACCCATTAACACTCGCAAAACTTGGGCTTTGGGACCAGCCCAATAGAAGGCTCTCTGTTACTGTAAATTGAAAAAATGTGGAACATAATCATCCTCAGCCAAACTTTGTAACTGCAATATTTGACATTTCATGCTCTAACAATCTTGCACTATTCAAAATGCAAGTCAGGACGTTTCTTTTAACTACACAATTCTAATCACAGGAAAATATGCTTAATGCAGAATGTCAAAGACCCAGTATTTTTTCCACAGTAGATATTAAGATACGATTCTGCAATTTACAATATAATACTGTAGCAAATGCATTTGCTATTCTGTGGTTTATACTTACATTAAACAGAACACAATGAGCAAGTTTTGCTGCTCCTGTTAAGTAAATAAATAAGACACCCAAAAAATCAGTCTATGCCAAAAAACCTACCCTAATTGGAAAATTTTCTTGATTGTAATGTTAACTACATTTTGTACAGCATAAAATGGAATCTGTCCAGCATGGACGAGTCCAAGAGAAAATTCTGTATAAAATGGAATTCTTGTGAATATAATGTGCTTGGCAGAGCAACTGTGTCGAGACATACTCGTAATTCAGTGTATCTGCTGGTCAATTTTGTCTCTGACCCTTTGACATGCGATTTTATTATGGTAGCAGCATAATTGTGTAGGGGATTGTGCTGTACTGCGTAACTGTCACATTTCACTCGACTCAAGGTGAAAATTAACCCTGGATGTAAAGCTTGGTCTGTGTGGTCAACTTGACGAGACACGTTGCTAAATATCAGGCGTAAGGTCACTGTGTTGCGTATTTGTGTCCACTCCTGAGGAGGCTGGAAAGCGAAGATAACTCTGTATTGCAACAGTGAACAGGTTTACCGGCTACTGGCAAAACGTGTCACTCTTTGAACGTTGAGCATGGAAAGTTTCTGGGCATGGCTCTTGTTGTCTTTCTGCACACCTTGCTACATTACCTACAGAAACCTCGGTCAGAGACATCGTACTTAATGGCAATGCCATGCAAACATTTGAAAATGAAATAATTTGTTTTCTCTGTGCATACCTCTTCTGAAATCTTGCAATTTGTTTTGCAGCTACAAAAATTTTCACTAGCTGCTAGTAATGCTGAACTACTACAGTATTAAAGAATATAATTACAAATTTATTAAGCGGAAAATTTAAAAAGTAGAAAACATTGGTTGAAAACAGAAATATTGTAGGGTATGGGTTGTGACATTATTATTTAATTTTAATTTTGTATACAGAAACTAAGGATATTTCATTATTAATATTATTGATGGTTTCCTCCAAACACATGTATTATCAGCTATGCTGCTATCATATGATAAATATATTGTAATAATATTTTAATGTGTGCATATATTTTAATCATAATAAATTTATATTAATTTTAAAGTTTCACAATATCAAAACTGATAACACTAAATGAGACGAGTATCTCCCAAAATCAGTTTTTAATTTTGTTTTTTAAATGCAGAGCAGGTGCACTGAAATGTAGGCAAATCAGAAATATTATCTAGCACAATTTTTTAGATTTATTTTTTACTTCTTTACATTTTTTATTAATAATCTAGAGAGGTTCTGCATTTATGCTTCACAGAATGAACCTGCGAGTTCTGCCAAAACCAATGAAGAATCTTCTCAGAAAAAAATGGAAGAATGTGAAGAACGTATGTCAAAGAAAACTTCTGAAAACAGAAAGAAGGTACTACTTGAGATGTACACATTATTTTAAATATTACCTTATCTTTCCTGTTCTTCTCCTTCTTTTAATGACTGAGGTAGCTCAGGGAATCAGTTTTTGCCACTCCAGTGTCTGATCTGTATGTGCACATGGGCGTATGCATGGAGCAGAATTTTATCGGTAATTTTTCTCAAGGCAAACGCCAAAACTGTGCCGTAACAAATTGGCATACTCGCATACTTGAATCTTACTCTTATTACACCCAAGGAAACTAATCAATTAATTTAAATGTTCCTTAAATGTATCTTATACATTTTTTTTGTAAATCTTTAACCCATGTCAAACCAATAGTAAAATGTGGCAGCACTTTGAGCCTTGAAATACGTCATTGATTTTTCATTTTGCAGAGTTAAACATAGGGACATAAAACTTCCTGAGCACTGAAGAATTTTCCCCATAAAAGTAGATGGACTGTACTTAGATTGCAGATACAAAGATGGCAAACTTACGTTGCTGAATGAAACAAAATCACTTGATATTACAATTTAGTGACACATTATTTAACAATTTTTAATTCAATAATTTTTCCAAGTTCATAGGATATGTAGCTTAGTAGCTCAGTTCATTGGTCAGCGTGCTCTCTTTCCAAGATGGGACCCTGGGTTTGATTCCTAGTCAGCCAAGGTTACAGCGTGCATTTTCCTTGCAATGCCCTAGTATGTTGCTGTGTGACAATGAGAAAATTCACTTATTTAATTGAGAAGACCATAATACAGTGTGGGGAGGTCTTCGTGCCAACCAAACGTACCCATGGCTGTGAGGCTGGGATGTCACTAGTAGGCCATGGCCCATACATGGGCGGATGTGGCAAGTGCAAACAAAAACATAGGATATTGCCCCAATGTTTAAAAGAAGTCGCACATTTTTAACATTTGATTGCATTTTTCTTAATTAGACTATGTGTTGGGTTTTATATTATTTTGATATTGAGACTAAAGTTTTACTTGCATTATTTTGTGTTTTACCATTTTTATTGTTCTTAATTCGGCTGTGTGTACTTTTCTGTGCACTTGGGAATTCATACTGCATCCGAAGCATTTTTTTACTTAAGACGCAATAAATATTGACTAACAGTTTCTTGTATATTATTCCCCCTTCCAGACCTAAAATTTAAAATTTCGTCATTACCAACACCATATTCATGGTACTTATTACTATCAAAATTAACTTCTATAATTTCAGTTTTCATCTTTGCAGTTGTGTGGGTTGCTATGTAATTATAAGTGCTATTAAACTACCCTCAAGTATTGGTGTCCAATTTCATGTTCAATGTGTCACAATGCGTTCAACCCATTCTTAATTTGTTACATTCCTTTTGGAAACAGTTTTTATTCATGTTTTTGCCTGCATACATGTGTGTATGCATCTGTAAAAAAGCCATCCCATTTGGACAATTTGTATATTAGACTAGATTCCCAGGATTGAAATATATCTGCGCGAAAGTGCTACGGACTTATTTCATTTGTCTTTTGTTCCTTCACGTTCAGACGGTTAATGTATTGGTCTAATTTTCTGAGGACTGAAAATCTATGGAAAAAATTTACTATGCTTGATTATATAGACTAACATTTTGGACTTAAAAAAGTTCTGGATCGATAATTTTTGATGAAAAAGTTTCGACAAACCTTGTAAGTGATGTTTGAGCATTAATTTAAGTAGTCTTGTTTCCACCTTTTTTTTTTTCCCACTTGTTTCAACCATTTTGTGCGATACTCCTTTTTTGTGTAGACATGTTCATTTTATTTATTTTTTTGTTTCTGTATTTGTCCAGCTAGGTGTTTTAGAGTCTACATGTGAGCTGGTTGTTATTTTCGGCTCCATTTCTCATTTAAGTTAAAATCCATTTATTAATACAGTAAAACCTGTCCAAACTAGAATCGTTTGGGTCCAAAATTTTCTTCCGTCATGTACAGGTTTGCAATAAAGACGGTCAATTCAGAAAATGCAATCATTCAGAAATAGAAGGGTTGCATGAGTAGTTTCTCAACTAAAATCTATATTTCAAAGAAACAGACATCCCAGGAGAGAGAAAGAAAATAGCAAACGTAATTGCAACATGAAGTCTAAAAAAAACAGCAAATAATTTCATAAAAAGTAAAATAAACATAATTTATCATCTTCAAAATTTGTAGGAATAGATGAATCCGGAGCAGGAATGAATTTTGAGGGAAGCCCCTTTGAAAACATTTATTTTAACCACTCATTCTGGCTTTTGTCTTTGTGCTTAAGGTGTCATGCATTTAAGGTTCTCCAACTTTAAATTATTTATGGAAATATTGACAGAAGTGTTACTTTGTTGGTGTTTTTCAGTTAGTCTAATTTTCTCTGCAAGAGTCAACATTTTCAAAGTGCCACCTAACATAAACACTTGAGTAACTCAATGCCTGCAGCTCATCGGAACAACAGTAAAAGTTTAGAACTATTGAACTGAAAGCATGCTTTACAAGAAGTGTGGAATGGTCGTTTTTTGCGTCTCTCCTTCACACAGGCTGGTGAAAATCAGTGCTATTACAAATAAACAGTGGCTTTTGCACGAGTAGCAATGAATATATAATCAAACAAGGGTAGCTGAGGAAGTGAATGGGCGAGCTCAGCTCTCGAATATCTCATCGTTTAATTCCGCCGCACTAAAATGCCAATGATTAATTTTAAAACTATTTATTTTCTTTATTATCCAGAATTTTTAACACCTTCATACTAAAAATTTATTTCTGTTTCTGTGTTAGGCAGATTACAGGTTATCCAGAGTACTTTGCATTGGAAAACGGTTCGTTCGGCGAAGTAGGTTTTCTGCCTTATTGATGCCTGCCCTTAATTTTTACTGTACTGGCTTTCTCTTACTCTGTATTTTCTCTGCTCTGTCTGTGTTTTTCTTTATATATTATTGTGTTGTCCTAGTCTGTCATTCTCTTGAATTTTGCTTTCCTAGTCAGTCTTGCCAGGTATTTCTATTTTATTGCATATTCAACTATTGTCCCATTTATTACTATCTTGTAATTTTTTCTCGCATACTACTTGCATAGAAAGTTATGTTACGCGGCAATGAGAAACAGATTTTTCAGCAGAGAAAGTTGTATTGCAGGGTAAATTCTTGTTCATGTGTTTTGTTACTTCCTCTCTCTCCTCCCTTTCTTTCTGCTCTCTCTCTCTCTCTCCTCCCTTTCTGCTCTCTCTCTCTCTCTCTCTTCCCTTTCTGCTCTCTCTCTCTGCCCTAGCAGTTAGACTTCAGACAGGATTTTCTCGGCTATTCCCTGATCAATTCTTCCATGATTGATTTTCTAATAATTTTGACATAGATATATGAAAAGGTTGGTGATTATCAGTGTCCCTGTCTGTGTGTGGTACTTTGAGTCAATCATATATTCTGGTGCTGTGGCTGTCTTGGATCAAAAGATCATCCACCTTGGGACTTAGCGGTAAAATACTGATTCACGCCTATAGAAAAGTAACTTGCATCTACCCTGATAATGAAGTGTGAGGCCTGGTGGGATGCACATATTGCTTGGCTTCATGATGGCTGATTCGTGTAGCAAAAATAATGTAGTTTTATTTTGGGTAATATAAAATAGAATATAAAGTGATGGCTGGTACACTAAAAGATAATTGCCATCACTGGTCCAAGCTCCATTTCTGAGGATTCGTAGAACTAGGAGTCCTAAGGTGAGTATCATTAGGGGTTATTGCCTCTTATATGCAGTGAATGAATCATGTCTATGGAAAATTTTTTGTTACCCGTTTTAAAATCCACTGATTTGTGCTTTATAAAAATACGTTCTTTATGAGGATGTTGACTGAATATCAAAAACCATGAAAGTTTGTTTGGTGAATAGAATGAAAAGCCAAGATATCAATATCTTTTTGTCTTCTTAGGAGAATGGTGCTAAACTGAAACCGTCTTTTTCATCTAAGATTGAACCTGAAGATGCTCCAAAGAAAATTGTATGGGATGAGAAAGTACTTCAGATTTTGGTAAGTGTAATTTATTTAATTCTGCTTCTTTTAAGAATAAAAATGACGTAGAATTAAAAAAATGTACAGTTTGTGATTCATTGATAAGTGGAACATTTTGTGTTAATTTAACATGGCCCCCAAAATTTTTTTTCATAACCTTTTGTTTTCAGAAATTTCCGGTCTTTGTGATCTTCAGTGCCGATTTATGAATTTGCTTTGTTAGTAAATAAAGTTTTAAGTTCCATATTTGCTACCTCTAAACTACCTACAATACCAGTCTGGAGGGTTTTTCACTCTTTGCATGATTGAATTACAATTTGCGAACTTGCATTAATTAAACTTCTAGTGAATTGTAGAAAATAAATAAAACTGTATGTACATAATTTCATTTCCTGTATTTAATTCTCCATTACATTTTTATGGGCTGAGAATCTGCATGTTCTTTGAGAATGTGTGGCGCAGGGATTTTTCAGTTCTATGCTTGTGATTAAGTATACATATTCATAATATACACATATAAAATGAAGTTATTTCAAACGTAATAAGAGGAAATGGATGCAATTTTCTGCAATTGCTCTGAGATACGGTGTTTCAATATAAGGAATTTCAGTACAATATAGTGCAGTGACAATCCACATTTGAATAGAAAGCTTAATTGTTTAATAATTTGTTTGTTTCAATTATTTTCAACATTAGATTACTCAAAGTTGAAACTTGATGTAATGAAAACCATAAATCACTAGTCCTATTTACAGGAACTTGTAAACTAGCTCTGCTACACGTGTTGAGGGTTGAAGAGCTTTATTAGTAAGTTACTCTGTAATAATTTGCTTTTAAATACAAAGCTTACCTATGTAGTGTTGCTTGTATATTGATGCACACTGCATGTATTAGAACTGTGTCATTATTTGTAGGTATTTTGAAAACAAAAGGTTTGGTTGTATATTTTGGACTGGCTGACTTTATACTCACTTGAGCCATTTGCAAGTGCATTTGCGAGCTTTAAATATTTTCTGTTAATTTTGTCATGTAGCCTTGACATTGCAGTTGGGCTTCTGTGATATCGTCTTTTATTGTTTTAATTAATTTTCATTAAAACTGAACTTGCACGTGTTTATTTTTTTCCAACCTTGTAAAGTACATGAGAATATTTTCCTATTTTAAATAACTGGATTTCAATCCTGAAAAACTAGCTTTTGTGATTTTTAAGTAGAACAGTTACTTTTACAGTCATTTATTTTTAATCACTTGTTTTAAATAGATTTCATATTTCACTTTTTACTCGAGTATCACTTAAAACTTGTATTAATGTTACTAGATTTGGATTTCTGTAATTAATAGATCTATTTCTCATCTTAGAGATTCTTTAATTGTTGTAATTGTGAGACCACATTTCACTCTCTGACTTTTGCAGGAGGCGCAGGGGTTTACTCGCAGTTGTTCTAATGCCCGACTCGTATATGATTATTCAAACCATTCTTCACAGGACACCAGCAAGGAAGTTCTAACGCAGTCAACAAGCAATGCTAAAGCAAGAAAAGAACAAATTTCTAATGGCATCGGTCAGATACAGGATGAAGTTAGTGCTTCTGGAGACAGAGCCGTAATGCCTTCTACTTCTCAGAAGATCTCTGGAAGCAATATTGTTCACTCGGTATCTCCTGTGAAAAAAATTAATGAAGGGAAATTGGAATGTAAAAAAGAGAGTCCAAAGAAGTTGGAAGGAAATTCTGTACCTGGAAAACCTTTGGGAAGTCCTCGCAAAGTTCTAACAGGTTCACCAAAGGCAGGTTCTGTCCTTCACAAAGCTTCTTTGTTTGAATCGACCAGCCCAAATAAAAAAGTTAAAGATCCTGCTGAACTTCCTATTTCTGAGAGAATGGCTTTCTTTGAAAGGAACAAAGGGCAAGCATTAATACCCAAAGCAGCATTTTCTATGCCCGTTCCTTCTAAATATTTAGATGGCAGTGCGACACACAAGAATCAGCAGTCTTATTCACCTGAGAAAGGAAAATTGCCTGGAAAAATTGAGAACACGTGTAAAGCTCAAGTCGTGGAATTTCCCCCTAAAATTTCAAATGAAGAAAAAGCAATCGCTATTTCTACTGTTGGTATGTATTCAATGTGTGCAATTTTATAGTTCATGGAGTATGAAAGAAATATTATCATGTAGTTCGCTTTTTCAATCCCTGTTTTCAGAATCCAATGTAAGCAAAAAAGTTTTGTCATGCCGAAGTATTTTTGAACAACCTTTGACAGAGAAAGTTAGCGGCAACATTTTTAGTGAGCAGGCAGAACGACAAAAGGACATTGAAATGTTACGAAATAGATGGAATCAAAACAAAAATTTAGCGTCCGAAACCTTGGATGAGAAGCCACATAAAATTCAGGTAAGGACATTTTCATTAATACCAATTTTATTTGAGGATAGTTATGACAGTTATTTAGATAACAATGCAAAGCATAGATGCTCTTAATAGTTTATAATCAATCGTGTTTGTTATCGATTTGTGATGGTTATTGATCAGAAATCGTGATTGTTTTTGATAGTTTATTGTTTACTTATTTGTTCGTAATTGTTTATTGAAATTGCAAAGCATTTTTAATCATTCAAAGTGGTTACATCTTGGTTGTGAGTTCTTGTTATTACCCTAACACCTTCACAGTTTTGTGAGTCATTAGAGCAGAAGAAAAAAAAAAAAGGATTTGAAATTATGAAACACTGTTGGAATACAGTTAATGCAAGTGTATACTATTTATTACTGTGTTTCAGGGCATGTATTGCAGTTTGCCAACTTGGGCTAGACTTGCAGTTTATAATAGTATTGTTTTCAGGCATTGCTAAAAAAGAGATTGCAAAGTGCATTTGTCTCAATCAACAAATGGATTTCTAATGCATATGTACTATAATATTGCATTACTTGCTAATTTAAATTACAGTAAATCATTATCACCATTGTGATAAACTAACCAGAAATTCGGTTTTACTACCTGTTTTTATTGATTTACTGCTGTATTCTTGACAGCTATTAGTCTTCCAATATTTCCTACTAATGCCATTTCTTTTGTGGTCTTTCTAGATCTCTATTCTTGGTTTATACTTTCAGATCAGTTTCGACTGTGTTGTTCATTCTCAGCCGGGGATTGTTTGATTCCGTTTGAGAATGTTGTATTTCTCATATTGCACTTTCTGTTTTCAATTTCTTTCTCCTATCTTTATTTCTATATCTTTTGATTCCCATGAGATGTCTTAGGAATCTCATGTGTATTGCTTGTAGTTTTTTGCTTGTCCTTCTCAGATTATCCATGTTTCAGATTGCACATGATACTAGGTTTAGGCACTATTTTGTGGAGTTAGTTTTGATACTGGATCAGTCTCTGCTGAAGTGTCTTGATTGTTCTGCAAAGTCTATTGTAGTTATTTAATTTCTTTTCTAGTGCCACCTGAGTTTGGTCGAATATACTTATTGAAATTTCAAAAAAAAAAAAAAAAAAAAAAAAAAAGTGATAGTTTGGTGATCGGTATACAAGAATGTAAGTTTCTTTTTGCCTTTTTCTGATTTGCATTCCTTGGTTAACATTTTAAGGTTTTTTACTAGGTGAATATACCAATGTTCTAGAGAGTGAGTATTCCACATCCTGGCCTTAAACCACTATTGTAAGTGTTGTGTTTTTTTTTCTTCTCCAATTTTCACAGAAATTGATATTTCTCTGATAGAAGTTGAGGTCCTGTATGTTTGAAATGTATATTTTGAGTTTGGGGAATACTTTATAAGAAGCCTTGAGCATATTTTAAAAATATTCGTAAAAATGGTGCTAGATTTCTTTATTACTTTTTCAGGTATAGTATAAAAGATGCTTAAAAATTCTTTTGTTTTTTTAGTCTCAAAACTTTTGAAAATTGCAAAAGTTCAAAATTTTTTCATCTTCTTCTTACAACTACAATATTGAATATTGTAATTTTTCTTCAATACAGTCTGTTCTTTGAAGGAAGATCTTAAAATGGTCCATGTAAAACATTTTTAAAAATGTAAGTAGTTTTCATCTAATGTTAAAAAAATAAAAATTTGGCAGAATTTTCATGACAAACTGTGGTTTTGGAAATTGTAAACATGTACATTGCAAAAGTATAGTATTGATGAGAGGGATTTTTTTCTTAAATCAAGTTTTTTTGAAACATCTTTAAAAATGTTAAATTTAAAAAATAAAAATAAAAAAAGATGATTTCTGCAAAAATATGCTTCATGCTAATGCAGTGTACGAAAAGATATTTTAAAAATTCCTTTTAAATTTTTTCATCAGAGAGAGCATGTGATACCGGTCGCACTATTGGCATAATCAGTATTGTTGGAAATTGCAAACAAAAGATTGATGTGGCAATACTACAATACTGATGCTAGTAATTTTTGTTTTCTGTATTGAAATTATTTCTTTAAAACTAGATCTGTACATAATATAAATGCTTTACTTTATTTTGCTCTTTTATTGTTTTTGATACTTTTTTGTTTGAGTGTGTGATTATATTTGAGTTTTAATGGATATTTTGATATTTAAAATTATAGGTTTTGTTATTTTATTATATATTATATTATGTTATGTTAATAATTTAAACATCATTAAAACATTTAAGTGTTTTTTTTTTTAATTTGGGCCTAAAGAAATATGGGTGAGGTTTTTTTGGTTGAGGAAAGTATATTCAACCCTGGTCATCTCATAGTATATCATGCCTTGTTTTTGTTTAAGCCTCGCACAGCCTTGTACAACAACGTTGGAAAGTAATTCGCTAGTGGAAAATTCCTGACAGTTGCCTCTCTGTCATCTTTGAGTTGTATATTCCACTTGTTCCTCCCATCAAAATTAATTTTTGCAACATTGGAAGTAATCTGTGGATATTAGTGTACAAGGTTGTCTAATTGTCCCATAACCCAAACTCAATGATCTTTTTTTTCTATTTGCATCTTTGCTTGATGGGCTAGATGTACCCAACTCCAAGAAATAGCATAGCATGAAATTAGAACAACCTTAACTCAATTTATTCCATTATTTTTCTGTTGTTGAAACAAATAATACAATACATACCTTTTTGTAACACAGAACATTGGATATACTACTGAAAGAACAAATGTCTCAACAAATTTTCTTCTCCAACATGACTTCTGTTACAATTTCAACATAAAAACCACGCACCATATTTTCTAGATAAATGATTATTGACGATTTCCAAGGCTTGGTCAAATTTATTTTATGGATAGATTTATCTGCCATTAGATAACAGCTAGTTCTTCTGATATATATGTTAGAGAACAAATTTGTATTTATCCATCTGATAGTGTTTATTAACTGGCCATTGGTGATATTTAATTCTTCAGTTTTTCATGGAACTTTTCTGTGCATGTGCGAGCTTAACACTTGCAAATCTTCAAATGTACATTGAGTAATTTTATGTAAATGTTCCTGTTTTGAAAATACAGTCCTGTAACTGGAGGGGAATGATGCAAATGATACAAATATTTTCTACACATTCTGTTCCAAAGTGTGTTGATTTGAAACTTGTGATCTACTTTGCAGGAAAAGAACATGCCAGTTCCTCCTCCTCCACCACTTCCTGTTGAAAGTGGCCTTTCTCAGGCACAGAAGAGTTTTACTGCTTTGCCTCAAGTAACTCAAATGATTCCTAAATCATCTCCAATTAAAGTATGTCCTTCAAAAGGTACTACAGATTTGGAAATCGTTGAGCAATTACATGAAAGTAAGTTTTCTTTCTTTTTTAACTTTTTCCAGAAACACATAAATAACTAGTGCCCAGAAGTTCAGGCTTTTATTTTATCTTACCAAGTTAAAGTAGGCAAAAGGACATATTTAATTAAAGTTAAAGTAGGCAAAAGGACATATTTTTACTGGCAATTTAATCAGTGAAGGCATTTATACTAACTCTAAAATTTACATCAGCGCTCGCATGAAAGACAATTTCTTTGTAATCTTGGTGCATATGATCACAACGTTTTTTGCACATTTTGTCTATCAGAAAGAACATTTTTGAGTTTCACTTCTGAGAATAATTTTTGGTAGCACAGTTAATTTCAGTATAGTGAAAATGAATTTGTTTCACTTGCATTGCCCTCTAAATGAAATGTGATTGTAGACTCCCTTATAAATTTTGGAATGGCAATAGTGAAGTCAATGGCATCAGTTATTGTAGTTTCTGTACTTTACATTTGTGTAATCGCTAGCATGAAAAAGGCCTGCATCAGATCTACAAGGAGATCTGATCTTGAGAGGGATAGGAGACTATTAAATATCGTGACTAGTATAATCTTCCTTTCTCATTTAGATTTTTAATACTTTATGGCCCTAGAGCCTCCATGCCTTCACACTGTCCTGCCTTGCAGAGATGTTTCCAGCTTCTTCTAAAATAAGTCCAAAAGTATAGTTGAGTGATTCCAATTAGGAAGACTTTAATTCGTAATAATGAAAGGACATTTTGGCAAACGTCTGGGCTCTGTAAATAACCATTTGGATTAAAACATCTGAAATTTGTGTTATTAAGAAGAGATTAATATAATTATTTTTAATGAATATGAACCTCTGGAAAGAGCATTGCAGTGTAATGAATCTGCTCGTTATGGTAGAAAATTCATGTAATATGGTACCTTGAAATTCTAAATTTGTATTTTATTTACTAATTTTCTTATTTTTATGAAAGTTTTTCACAGTGAGAAGCACTCTACTGTACTGGTCCTTAACCTACTTTTGAGCCTCTACTCGTGCATGATCTAAAACGTTATACTGCATTATTAGTAATTCTTGATGAAATTAATACATTGTGTACTTGTATTACATTTCATGAATTTCCTTCTCCTCCTTGTCCTTATTAGGTCCAAAGAAGACCCAAGATTTCTCTGAACTATGCAAAATAAAAAAAATTAGAGTTTCTCCCCCTAAACCTGGAAATCTGTATCCTTGTCTTTCTGATATTGAAGTGACAACAGAAGCAGAAAGTGAATTACCTGATGAGACTGAAAGAGATTCTGCAAGGTGAGAATTATGGTAATTGGCTGTGGCTGCTTTCTGGAAAACTGGGAAAATCAGGAAATTCCTAGAAGAGTCCTTCGAAGTCAGGGACAATTTTGAGAGGGTTATAAAACTAGACATTATTCCATTGAAACATTAGTTCAGCATTACAACAACAAACATTATTTTTTGCTCAGTTTTTATTTGGTGAGAAATTGTTAATTTATACTTTGTCACGGTGAAATCAGAGCTGACTAATTAGTATCAAGGTAGCTAAATATTCTCTTTATGTAGTGGGAGATTTCAAATCTTATTAGGGAAAATTTTTTGGTGGTCACCCTAATTGCTAGAAACTTTCAATTTTTGTCTTAAGAGCAAATTTATTTAATGTATTTGTTGTTTTTTTGTTAGTGAGAGTTCGATAGTTACGGACTCTGATGATGGGAATACAAGTTTTGGAAGAGAAATTCTTGAAGCTGCAGGCATACACAGAATACCAGAAAATACATCTCAGTTACATCACCAAAAAATGGTAAGTGGAATTTGTAAATTTCTAACACATTTATTGTTGATAGGTACTGATTGATATTTAAATGAATGATGTATTTTAATTGGAAGTCAGTATACCATATTTAATTTTATTTTTTTGGTACAGGATTCCAGTGAAAGCGATTTATCTGAATCTGCAGTTCTAGCCGACATTGATGGTTGTATTGATGAAGCATTGGAAGGATACGATTCAAGTTCAGATTCAGATCAAGGAGGCCCCACTCCTCCAAAAAGGACAAGGGACTTCTCTCGTTCTCCTCCAGTAAGAAAGTCTTTCTGAGAAAAGTTTGTCTTAATTGATGTACAGTTGAACTCCAATAACTTAGATTGTTAAAGTGAAAATAAAAACTCGAATATTTTAATATTATGACATACAAAAGTTCTTATAAAGGGGGCAGGGATTGAGATGAAGGTGTGTAGTAGTTTAAATAATGGAGTGGTTTGCTGCTTTGTACTTGTTGCTTCTATTCGAAAACTTTGGTTGGAATTTGTTAAAAACATGTGTATGAATTTTATTTATTATTTATTTATTTATTAACAGACTGAAATTATTATTATTATTATTATTATTATTATTATTATTATTATTATTATTATTAATTTATTAATGGTGGCAGCAACTAGCTGTTGTACACAGATCATTACATCGATTATGTTATATAATAAATAATTTTTGTAGAGTTATACAGTTATAATATAGTTAATATATTATAATATAATAATACAGTTATACAAATAATATAATACAAGTATGTACATTATTATTCCGCTGAGGAATTAATCCAGTGCGTGCAGTGAATAAAAACACATTTTTTTATGTTCTAGCAAAATTCTTAAACAGTTTATCAGTATAGTACCAGAGGGCTTCCAAGTTATATGTGCTCTATGGAGTGGATTCTTGGAATCTTAACTCTGTGTTTTGCATTCTAGGAAACATATTGTCTAGCGGGCATAGAAAGTAGTAGTTAAAAACTATTTTACTCTTAACTTCTACATTGTATTAAGAAGCCATATCATAACCAAAGTGCTGTTGTTCCTCTTGTATTTCGTCTCCTTGTGGGGGCAAAAAGAGCAGCAGTGATTGCGGCATATCTGATAATGTTCTGGTTATCAATATTCTTGAATATTAATGAAATTCTTTGAGGTAAATGAATGCACCTCTGACAAGAGAAAGTGGAGAGGAATGAGAAATCAAAAGGCTAGTTTTTGAAGTTCCACTGTTAAAGTGAAAATAATTAATCTGTTGTTCTGTGCTATACAACTATTATACCAATTAAATATTATTGTTATTGAAGACAGAGAAATAAATGGATGAGTCAAATTGCAACTTTGATGGTAAATGAATTGTGGAACACATTCAGACATTGACTAGCATTCACACTCATCCCCATCTTTGACTCTTATCCATTTATTTCTCAGTCTCCTGCACCTTACATCTAATATTTGTAATTGATACTGCAATCAATTTCTATAATCACCTAAAACTTGTGTCCTAGCAAAATAGCAGCAACAACAAAATGTTTAAAAAACCATTGCATAACTGCACGACACTGGACTCTGCCAAACTGCACGACACTGGACTCTGCCAAACTGCACGACACTGGACTCGCCCAAACTGCACGACACGACTCTGCCAAACTGCACGACACTGGACTCTGCCAAAACTGCACGACACCTGACTCTGCCAGAACTGCCACGACACTGGGACTCTGCCAAACTGCACGCACTGGACTCTGACCAGACACTGCGACGACACTGGACTCTGCAAACTGCACGACACTGGACTCTGCGCAAAACTGCACGACACTGGACTCTGCAAACTGACGACACTGGACTCTGCCAAACTGCCGACACTGGACTCTGCCAAACTGCACGACACGGACTCTGCCAAACTGCACGCACTGACTCTGCGACTCAATCTGCCAAACTGCACGACACTGGACTCTGCCAAAAACTGCACGACACTGGACTCTGCCAACTGCACCGACACTGGACTTGCCAAACTGCACGACACTGGACTCTGCCAAAAGCGCACGAACACTGACTCTGCAAACTGCACGACACTGGACTCTGCCAAACTGCACGACACTGGACTCTGCAAACTGCACGACACTGGACTCTGCCAAACTGCACGACACTGGACTCTGCCAAACTGCACGACACTGGACTCTGCAAACTGCACGACACTGGACTCTGCGCAAACTGCACGACACTGGACTCTGGCAAAACTGCACGACCACTGGACTCTGCCAAACTGCACGACACTGGACTCGCCAAACTGCACGACATGACTCTGCCATAACTTGAACGACACTGGACTCTGCCAAACTGACACTGACACACAGGCTTCTAAAAAATCAAAGAATACTTTTCTGTTGCAAAATTTAACACTTCCCCCCCCCTCCTTCCTCCCCCCTCCTCCTCCTCCTCCAAGAGTGGAGGGTGGTTAAATCCTTGCTGGCAGCAATGCTCAATTACTGTTGCAATTTTATATGCCTTGTGGTAAAATGCTTTGTGAAGTTACATGTCGTTTTTGTGACTTGAACATTTACAAACACATTGGCATTTTTGTGACTGTGTACTAATTCTGTTTAACTGTTCATATGATATTTATTAAATATATGTTTCAGAAGGGTAAACGAAATGCAAAACAGAGTCCCAATTCAAAACCATCTCAAAGTTTTCGATATACTCCAGGAGGTCACTCCAATGGAGGAAGTCCAACAAAGAGTCCTTCACGTAATATTTCCATGCAAGTGGTTGAAGGTGACCAGGAAATGCCCCTCATGCATTCTGTTAGTTTCTACAGAAGACAACAGAACATGGTTAGTTATCTGCTTTATTGTTATAATGTAATGCACTCTTAATTTTTGATGTAAGACAAAATATTTTGTTTCAAAAAATAAAAAATACCTGTGTGTTGTACATAGTAACAAATTGTGTATGTATCGATACTCAGGAGCATTATATCCAACTTGAATTACTTGCCTAAGGCAAGTAATATAGGTTTCTTTGTTCTTCGAAGTTCCTTCGTTTTTTCCCAAGTAACAATTTTACTTGCCTTATTATTTCTCAATTTACATATCTTCAGGCACTAAAGAATACTCCAGTGAGGCAGATAGTGCGCCTTCCAGAAATTTCAAAAGAAATACACAGTGCGCAGTCTTCAGTTAAGGAGGATGAAGTAGTGAGAAAGAAGATTGCAGAATTGCTTGATGAGGTAAGTTTTCTGATTGTAATTAAAATAAAAATTGATTGAAATGGAAATTATAACAAAAAAATCCTTTTCCCCCAGGTATCAAAGCAACAAACTGTCATATCTCAGGCAAGTCAAGCATTAAATTTGTGTTTATCGACAGTTGAGTTTTCAGGCTCTGCAGAGCAAGTAGAAGGAGAAAGGCTTCTATTGTTGGCAAGTGAGTTGCATTATTCAAATTCTCCTTAATACTTTTCCAGGACTTGGCTCACCACCTAAAAAGCAAATATAAATTGGAGTCCAAATAATTAATATGGATCACAATAAATACATTGATAAATGTTTTCTTTAGGGCCTTGATGCCTTTGCAAATGGACTATGTAAAAGAAATTCACCAAAGAAATAACTATTAAAAACAATTTTATTTCAATTCTTTTTAGCACACAAACGTCAAGCTGCTCTCCATGAAATTCAACGTCTGAAAGTTGAAGGCTCGCTTAAACCGGAATCAGAAGCTGGAAGGACTGGTGTGTCATTGGATAAAGGAAGTCTTGTTCTTACAAATGTTGCATTGACTCTAAAGAAAGATTATATTCGCAAGTTACCTGCAGGTTTGTGAGTTTGTTAGGATTTATCAATTATGTAAGAGATTTTATATCCTTTCTTTAATATTTATTTTCTTTCTAGAAGACACATGCTATCACTTTGTGTGTCTTGTGAGATCACAAGACCAAGTTCTTGTGACACCAGTGCTGGCTGCTATTTCTCAGAATCTTCAGGAAAATTGCAATCTTGTTTGGAACTCCCCTTTACGCTTAGTAGACTTGTATAGTGATTTCAAAGTTACTTTGGAAGTGTATTGTCTTCAAACCAGAAAAGAAATGCTTCCTCATAATGTTAAATATCATATTGGAAATAAGAAGGTAATTATAACAGAATATATAACTGAGCTGAATTGACCGTTCTTTAATGTTCCGACCTTGTTTTCTACTGAAGTTTTTTTTTTTTTTTTTTAACATAAGTAATCAATATAATTGAAATAAGTTAATAAAAATGTTGGAACGCTTTCGACTCTCCTGGCCTTAATCCAACAACAGACAGAAGAAGTCATGCTTTTCATAAAATTTAATGTCTTAGTTAAATTTAAATTATGAAATTTTTATGTGTGATAAAGCTCTCTCTGCATAATTCTGTATTATTGATGACAATTGTTTATAGTGAATTGTATTCCTTTATGTATTCAGGAGACAAGTAAATCTTGGTTGACACCAAAAAAGCAAAAGCAAGAATCTCGTCTGATTATGCCTTCAGTTCACTCACCTGCAGGGCCATCTGCAGTGCGTTCTCCAGAATTCCGCATGGCAGGATACGTAGTTTTTTCTCTGAGGGAGATGAGCAGAACTCACTTCACCCTTAACAAGGTTGAATACAGATATATTTTCAATTAGTGATTACTTTCAATATATTTTAATGTAATATGATCATTAATAATTTATTCCTAATTAATCTGCAGGTGTCATATAGTTCTCCTCTTGAAGGAAATATCCAACTGAGGATGAAATCTGAGCTCTCTGTCGATGTATCTGAACGTGGGTTTCTTACAATGTTCGAAGATATTTCAGGATTTGGAGCATGGCACAGAAGGTGGTTTGTCCTTAATGGAAGTGTGTTATCATATTGGAAGTATCCAGATGATGAAAGAAAGGTTTGTAATACTTGAACTATTCAACTATCGTTTCTGTTGGGAAAATAATGACATTTTTAACCACTTCCTGATTATCCTGTTCCTGTAGCACTTACATTTGCCATCAAAGATTCCTATTAGTTTTCTTGTGTGTTCTTTTATATTGTCCGAGAATAAAGTATGAGAGCACACACAGTTCACTTAATGATTGTATGATATCTACCAGTCAGATGCATGCTTTAATAGGTTATTTTGTGTTTCTGGGTTCTTCATCTGTGATGCTCATTATACCATTTAGTGTAGCCCATTTTACTTCCTGATGGTGTGGATCCCACTTTCCCTGCTGGAATTACACAATTGCCTTCCACTCCTGGTATCTCTGCTAGTGATGATTGACATCTTGGCTAGTGTCTAAACTGTACATTGCAGTATGGAAGAAGCTATCTCTCGCTCTTTTTTTTTTTTTTTTCACTCATTGGTTGCCGCAAATTTCTCTTGTCTAGTAGCACTGATTGGTGCTACTTCATGGTGAACACTTTAACATTTGGAATTTTTGAAACTGACATGTGTGGTAGAATACTATGAAAACAACCCTATGACAAGGTATTTGCAAATTTAGAAACTTCATAAGTAATTGCTATAAAAATATATTTTGAATCATAAAATGTCTCTTTGTCAGTACTTATCACATTAAACGTATAAAACCCTTGACAGTACTTATCACCTACCTTAAAAAACACATTGTACAGCAGTGAAATTTTAGTGCTTTTTTCTATAAATTAATAAACTATTCCATGAAATTTCGTGTTAATAGTATTCACTATCAATACTAAATGACACAGGTAAAACTAAAATAAATATTTTAAAATCATCCGATGCAATTAATTACAAACAAATTGCAAACTCGTCTTATGCAATTAATTTTCCAATACACACCACCACAGTATGAAATTCAAGATAAGAAGAAAATTAAATGACAAAATATGTAAAATACATTAATGAAATTGGAGAAATTTTGGAAATAATTAACTGTAAAATATTAAAATAAAAAAAATTAAGAAGAATGGATAATGTACCAATTAAAATTAAAACAAGACAATCAGTTACATTCTTTCATAAAATAACAATTGTATTACTTTTTATTTTTATATCATGCAACACACCCATGTAATTGGAGTTTCTTCAAAGTGTTTACAGTTTGTTACTCCTTGGTTGGTGGCAGGAAAACAAATAGAGGAATACATCTTGCCAGTGTGAATAAATGAGGATAATTTCGTCATAAAGTTCACTATTCATTGCACTATTAATACTTTTGAACAGTTAAAAATTTAATTACATTTTTTATACTCATAAAATATTAGTGAATATTTCTTTGTCATCATAGTCCTCTTGAAGGTGCAGATCGATTTCTATGTTCTGTCGCTAAGGCCTGCAACAGACTACACCAAGGAATGTGATTTTAGAAATGTGGAAAATTGAATCGAAGAACACTTATCGACCCCCACACACTTGAAAGAGTTTTCTTGTTTGCCTCTGCAGAGGCGAAGGAGTTCCTCACTCGAGTCAGTCAGTGAGCGAGTTTTCTTGGACAAATTTTGGACATGACATTGGACAAATTTTGGACAATTGTTATGACATTCAGGCATTCACTGCTGCAGGAAAACACTAAACATCACATAGAAACGAGTGAGGTTATGTTTACCAGTGAAAGATGTGATAAACATGCAGTTATTTGTATTTATTTGAATTTTTTTCTTTAACCCTCTGAATAACACGGTCTCAGTGGAACGTTTAATACCATGGGGTCCTTTCTAGATCGCATTTCCAATTGCATGTTTTGAAAACTTTTTTCTGACGAACTTAAAAATCTTTCAGTTGGCATCTGCTGATCGATAGGAAAAATCACATTCTGTTTACACTTGTTAGAATCGCAATATTATCAAACAAATCCAAGCATTTTGTTTTGAAAAAAGTTACAGAAATACAATGGGGGGTTTTGTAAAGACTCCAGACACAGTTTTTAGGAATCTTTACATAATGTAAGGCGTGTATGAATGTGTTCAATTTAATAAGATAAAAAATTATTTGAATAAAAAATTCAGTGACAATAAAGTCCAATCACCTTTTCAATGAATTTCGCTAAAATTTTCTAGAGACTAGGGCCGTCAACAACCCCATTATACTCGCAGGGTTAAACGTAAATAAATTAGGACAAACTTGTCTGGAAATAATTATTTCTTGAGAGAGAGCAGTATATGAGCAACATAAAAATATAGATTTGGAACAAGGGTATTTTGAAATATATAAATTAAAATTTAATTTTTCATAATTCATATTTATTTATAAATTAATTTCTTAATTGAGAATTTTATAATGGACTTGTGAAACCTGTCAGACTTTGTCCTACCTTCCATCTCTCATTCTCCTTCCCTCTCCCCGTCTCCGTCAGTCTCTCTCTCTCCCCGTCTCGCTCGGGTGTTATTTCACAATTGCAGGGGCAGACACTCTTAATACTTCAGTGTGTTGCATAGAGATCCAGAACAGGGGTGCTTGAGTCAGCATAAAATCATCATCAATGCACATCTAGATGCACAGTCATGTGCACATTCCTGTCAAACTGTGCATATATTCTTCCCACAAGTGCAAGCAAAAAGTTAAAAATGTTTTATCGCTGTCAGATGAATGGTACAGCAGCTGCTTAAGTACAATCCAGCCAATCAACAAAGATTATACACCATTTATTCACAATTCAACCAACAAATATAATAAAGCACACAGGGTAGAAATATCAGATCTCAAGGAAATTTTTAATAGTCACAGATATCACATATACGTCACATACAATTTCTTTTTTTATATTAAATAATATGCAGTGCAATAATGTATTTCTCTTTAGGCAATTCGGACTCAAATAGATAGATTTACGCTTATGGTAATAAATATGGTAAACAATGATTTCATCGGTAAAAATTACACGAGCACTTCATAAAACAAGAAATAAAACTTGCAGCTGATCTTATAGGTAACGACTGTCACCCCTCTCGGTTTGTGGCACATTAAGGCATTTCGAGTCATCGAATAACACATTTGTAGTCTTTGGTAGCAGCCAGACTGGTCTCTTTTCTCATATCTCGTTGCACATTTCTGAAAACACTCCATCCGTGTAGTCTGTTGCAGGCCTAAGGAGAGCGTCTCTCTGTCTTCTTGATCTACCTGGGTGTTTAGTCCCTTTGGGTTCAATGTCAAGGATCTTCTTCAGTAATCTCTTATTAATCATTCGTTGAATTTGAAGGAACCACTTCTCTATATAGTTTTGTAATGTTTTTCTTTTCTACCTCTTATATATTTCTATTTTTATGTTGATTTTGATTGATTTGTTGATTTTGTTGCACGGTTGGTAGAATTAATCATAGACTGAATGATTAGACATACTGCTGACAGACCACAAAAATGACCTGTGGAATTTGCATTTTATGAACTGTACTGCAAATGAATTCAGGCATCAAAAGAAATCAAAAGAACGTAACTTTCATTGTTAATCTGAGTTTTTGATTCTTACTTTCAAAATGACCATGAAGGTAACGAAAATGTACATGACCTCGATGCATTCTTCAGTTTTAATGCCAACTGATTTGGGATAGTTAGTACACTTAGTGGAATAATATGAATGTGTAGTGTCATGTTTACAATGACGGTGGACATTTAATCCATCTCCCTTTGCTAAAGACTTCATTTGTTTCTTTATAGATCCCCATTGGACAAATAGATTTGAATTCATGCACAACAGAGCAAATTGGCTTAGTTTCAAGAGATATCTGTGCTCGTCCTAATACATTTTTACTGGAAACAACACGACCTGCTCAACCAGAAGACAAAGATTCTCTTGTAGTTGTTACATCTGGAAATCATACTGTAATTAGGTAGGTTTTAGTTATAATTCATTTTATGTTTTTGTCTCGCTTTACTAAAGAGATAATTTTAAAAATTGTCTGAAATTGCAGAAATCTTCTGTCAGCGGACACTAAAGAAGAAAGAATAGTGTGGTGTGGCCAAATAAACAAGGCTCTAACCATGCTTCGAGCATGGGGTAAAAAACAAGAGGGAATGTGAATTAGGTTTCACGAAAATCATTCTTGTTGTTTCTGTCAACATTTTATTCTTTTCTTAAATAGCCTATTAATATTAGCAATTTTTGCATGTTTTTGATAATTATAATAACACATCACATTTAACTAGTACCTCTATACAGAAAGTATTTTACAATCATTGTTCTGTTATTTCTTGTGTTCCATGATTAGTGTGATAATTTTCATGACATTTTAAGATTCAGGTTTGAGTAGAGTTTTCTGTGATAGTTAAGGCTACCATTTCTATGCAATATATTATTTTTTGTATTTACCTTGTTTTCCAACTAACATGTAGTTCCCTTTTCTGTTTTGTTTATATTCTAAGTCAGAATGTGTAATACCATGTCAGTTTCTCTCTTGCTTTATTAATCTGCTCTCTATCCAGTCACGTAATTTTTACCCATGTATCTTGTATATTTTTGTGCCAATTTACAAATATTTTTGTACACTTTTATATATATAATATTTATTAGTTTTTGAATATTCCAACTAATGTGTGTATCTGTGAATACTAATTGAAAGATATGAAATGCTGAAAATAATTTTGTGGTGGGAGGTGAATGCAATATTACTCATATATCAATATAATATAAATGCTGCATATTTTTATATACTTTGTATATTAAATGTATTACCTGAGTATACAGTTTTGTTTTTACTTCTTGCCTTTTCTTTGAAAAAATAAAAAAAAGTCAACAAATATTTAACGCATGAATCTTGTACAATAATGGTTATTGAAAACAAGTTTAACTCTTTTGATAAACATAGTGTATATTCAAATGAACTTTGAAGTTTCATAAACACATTTTTCTTTCATTGGATTTAAATGTATGAACATTAATTTCATGATGAGTTAAAATAGAACAGAAGTTCACAATATTGCAAAACTGCAACTAGAACTGTTTTTTTATTTCTCTGCTTTAATAAAATAATAAAAGGCTGATGTTTCCTTATGGGGAATATATACAGCATGCTGTATACTTTGCAGAAATCTGTTACCAACCTAAAATTATAAGTTTTGATAAGGTTTGCTACCTGAATGGCCATGGAGGTGCTACACAATGATGCATTGGATGACGTTAATAGAAATTGTGAAAGACTAAAAGATATTTAGAGTAGATATGGGAATGAAAACCTGTTTGTATTTATATTATATCAACCTGAAAATGTTTATATTATGGATGTTTTCTTTTATACAGTATCGCATTTGTGGGTAGAAGTGCTTCAAATTATTTCCAATGAAGTTTCTTGAAAAGTCAAATTTTTTCTATGAAAATGAGCTCTGTGTATTTTAAGAAATGCTCAAATGACATTTTCTAAAGAAGAGTTCCAAATTTTTCAATGAAAATTTGTATACAGGATGTTCTACTCTTCCCTAATATTTGTGATCACATTTCAGTTCTGCTATTAGAGGACTGAAAAATTATGTCTTTTAGGTGCTGATAGGTAACACTCCAAGGTGGCACAATACAGAAAAGCTAGCCTACAGAGATTAGAAAATTAACTAATATGAGAAAATCAGTGCCATTCCGTAGCACCACCAGTTATTTGTATGATGACTTTAATTCAATTTTTTTTTGCCTTGTCATGTCCTTACTATTTAAGTTAAGAAGTTTTTATTAATGCAATGTATTTTCAAGTATTAACTCTTAGAATCATTTCAAGTGCTCTTTTTTTCAAAATATTAGTTTTTGCATAATTTTTTATACATATCATTACCCGCAAAAGAGACCCTAGAGTCCTGTTTTACAGGCCTTAAAAAGCAGAATTTTGTGTGGTTTGGTTTTTAGTTTACAAAGCAGGGGCCTTACCGTTATCTTCAAAATCCTTTGCCCTTTTCCAATTCCAATTTACTTTTTCCCTTTTAACTAAAAAAGTATATTCAGTTTAGAATTTAGACATGGGCACACAGAATTTAGAGCTAAGAATATAAGCACTCGTGAGCTTCAACATACTTCCAGTTTTGTGTCACAACCACAATTTTTCCGTGGCAGAAACGAAATGCAAAAGTCTTCAGCATGCAGTACTCGGCAATAAAATTACAAAAATTTAAATGTGGAATCAGCCCCATCTGCAAGTCCTATGTAAGAACGGACACAAAGCTGCATTGTAAGTACATTTAACAGATTGAATGCTTATTAGCGCTTTTCTAGTGGGTAGTATAATCATGGGAGTCACTGCCAGGGGTCAATATTTTTACTTTCTTGCTGTTACTTCATAAGAAGATAACATATTGTTATTGTGCACCAGAAAATGGAGAATTCTTATTGTTGGGCCCTGATAAATAAAATGTGGATAAATCACGTTCCTATACATATGTAGTGAATTACTTCCTTTGACGTGTGGATTTTTGCTTTAAAAAAATTGTTCTAAAAAATCAGCTCTTTAAAAAAAGACGATGTACAATTTTTGAACAAAATGTAGTCTTAACGCAATTTCTGGTTGAAATTAATGCAAATAAATAATAAATTAATAAATTTTTTTCAAGAACCTGTCCAATTTTTTGCCTAATGGTGGAGGTCTCCTTTTTGTTCTGCTCTCTGAATTTCTGAAAATTGCGTTTTGGAAATGTTGAGTTGAGACTGCGATTTTTAACCCTTTGAGTGCTCTAGACGAGTTGATATGCACAATATTTCTGGTACATCAGAGTGGCTGAGTTGTGCTAAGGTAAGGCAGCAAGTTAACTAGGAGGACCTGAGTTTGATTGTTGGTGTAGAAAAAATGTTTGCCAGTTAAAAATACTTTTGCAGGCTCATGTAGTTGTATAATATTGCATAGTAGTTGCAAATTTTCAGAAAATGGTTTGCAGGATGAGTTTTGAAGAGCTGCTCCTTATTCTCTTTATCGAGTCATTGTGGCAATGTATAACTTTCCTCACTTCTTGCATCTCGATGTTTTCTCAGACAATCGTCATTCAGTCGTGATTTTCAAAGAAACAGTGTGTTGTGATTTTGGTCAAAGCACTTTTACATCTTTTTTTTATCACACACCTGCTTACACATGTATACTATAGCCTGTCGCAAATAATTTAACTTTTATTAAATTGTTTCAAAACAAACATTGCTTGCTAAATTACGCAATATGGCACACTCTCCCAGGACGCTGGGAGAGACTTAGGGGACTTATAACCAATTCCAATGACAAATACAAGTTATTCTGAAGCAGTAGTCCAAATAATGTTATTCTGAGATATCAACACTGTTTGCCAAAGAGCCCTGAATTAATTTTAAAATGCACACTATTAAGAAGAAATCTTGGGATGGGAGAGGCAGGAATACCTAAAGGAGTAATCCTGACTGCCACAAACTTGATGCGAGTTCAGATGTTCCTAAGTGCCTGCAAGTTCATGATTACGATATTGACAAAATTTGTTTCAATGAATTAACTTTCCTTTTTATTGTTTACATAAAGTCCACTTAAGACATCACATGATGGAAATAACATCTTTTAAAAATATTTTCATAAAATATACAGTAAGAATGAACATCTGATTACTTTTTAGTAATGACTGCTCTTGAATGTCTAATAATATTTCTGTGCTTTTGTAATGTTACATTAAATTTTATAGAGGCAGTTTCAGTATTCAAAGAATATACATTATTTAGTCTTCTACTATTTCTTCATTAGAAGAAAGGTTTCTCAACTCACAACAATCCCAAAATTTAGTCGTAATTGTTCAAAAAATACAAATGTCAAGATTGTGTGAGGAGCCAGACGAATAAATCTAAGGACATAGCCCTGGAACAAAAAAAAAAAAAAAAACCTCAGAAAATGGCTGACATTACAAGTTTTGAAGAAGGGAGTAAATGGTAGACAAATTATTCATTTCACAGGCAAACTATATTATATGCTGAAAGTATATGTCGCCCAGATGAACACTAATGTTCTACCATCAACATTCTTCGATTTGAGCTGTTTTAATGTAGTATAGGGAGACATACCTTAAAAAAGCCTTCAGGTCCCAGCTTTGCTGTATATTTTATGACATGCCACATATTCTGAAGAAAAAAACAATTACAAAGAACTTTACCCATTGAGTAGTATCAATTGTCATTTGATATGTAGTGTGCACTTTTTTAAGATTTATATATGTAGAATGAAAATAAAACTACAACTTAAGGAAAAAAGGAAAATTAAAGAAACAAAAACTTACTTTAAATTCTCCTGGTTGAGCATTCATTGTTCTTGTTTTTATCACATCTATGGGCTGGGTAAGGGTAGTAGCAACACCTCCCTGCACAAACACACTGCTTCAGTTCTGAACTAATTTTCGTGAGATAATGGATCAGTCACTAACTAACCGCTATTAGACTGGCCAAGAAGTGAGTAGGAAGATTATCTTTAAAATTCCATTTCAGCAAGTATGTTTTTGTTTGATCATAGAAGGATAATTGACCAACTGTCATAAATAAAGATCGGGCTGTGGCAGAGGATGCCCCAGCAAATAAGTTTCTAAACCCTTCTTCTTTGTAGATACGCCAGAGTCCATCAAAGACGTGCTTGTAGCTGGAATAATTACAGTAATACAAATTTGAAACCTTGCACCTAACGTTGCTTGTTTTCAAAACAAGTACTTGTGCAATAAAGAATAAGATTGGAAACTAACTGCATAAACTATTATTATGGTATTATAAAAAATAATTGAAATTTCAATGAGCAAACTTACTTTCTCCGCAAATTTTTTGGCTGCTTGGAATCATTTTGCATACGAACGTTAATTACATCTGCTGGAGTTCCAATGAAACCACCAATAGTTCCTCCCACGGCTGCTATACAAACTTTTTGATAAAAAGGCATTCCCTCTCCAGTAGGAACAACATGCTGTTTTACACCCTAACGAAATGAACACAGTTTAAACAAAGTTCCTTTCTCTGAAGCCATACTTTTTTCCTCTAATTATACCCTTACCTCGTAGAATGCAAATCGAAAAGTGGAATATGTTAGTTGCCTCATTATAGCTGCAGAAAGGCCATTGTTTAGATGCATTATTCCTTCCTCCTTGATGATTTTTTTGGTAATTTGAATCATGGACAGTTTTATTTCTTGTTGTGTTTGTTGATGTACCTAATGACAGAAGAGTAAGTTTGTGTTTATTTTATGAAGTTCATTTGCTGCCCTCAGTAAGTCATCTTCGGATTGCCTTGTTAGGATCATGTCGTCTGCATAGAAAATCAGTTGGACTATTTGTCTTTTGTTTAAATTTAAACCAGTTGTGATTAATTAAAGATTATCTAATTATGATGACATTTATTGTAGTTGTCAAATACTACATACTTCAAGGGATGGGCACTGGAAGGCAAACAAGACGTTATGCACTTTTAATAAAAATTAATATTTTCTTGGACTTTCAAATGCAGATTTTAGAAAACTACACATTCATCTGATTGTTTTTTGTTTCATAAATCTATTTCACTATAATTGGGGAGTTAAAGAGTAAGAGTATGGTCCACAGAAAAGAAAGAAAACAAAATACAAAACGAATAAAAAAAGGTTAAATCTTTGATGTGAAAATAGAGAAGAGAAATACTCAACAATTTTACAACATATTTCAATCTTGTTACCTCGTTTTTTATGTAAATTTGCATTTTTAATTACAATTGAAGGAGTCTGAGAAACATAGAGCTAACCCACATGACAGTAATTTTTATCAGGCAGAGGAAAAACAATGTTTTCAGCCATGTCTTAGTTCCGGTATACACTTCTCGCTGCTTTCTACACAATTACTGCAGTTCAGGGAACAAGTTTGTACAGTGTTTATATTGTAATATTTGTTTTCAGGAAACATTCTGAGATCTTTAGTTTTGATTTATGAAAGAAGAGTTAGCACCATTTTCCCCTGACTCCCTCAAACTATTGTGTTATTAATATGTTCTTTGATAATAACCTTCACAGTGTCCAAACACTGTGTGAAACAGCAAGCACCTGCTGATGCTATTCCACCCATCCACCAACGTGGAATAAGTTTCACCTGTTTTTCCTCCATTACTGTTTTCCTCCTATTGTGAAATATTTTCCCTGTAATTAAAACCATTATGTTATTTTCAATCTGTAAGTCTAGGCACAGATCCAGAACGGTTTTTGGGGAGGACACTACAAATGTTTTCAAATGGAAAAGGTTAATTTGCAATATTCTTAGTAATATTCTGTACTACACAATAATATTTAATCACAATTTACACACATAATTAAAAATATAAATTTTAAATCATAAAATTCATTATTGATTATATTAAGCATTTCTAGGATTAAAGTGGGATGGCTCATGTTTCTAAGTGCCCAAATTGGATCTGTCTCTATAAGCTGGAAAGAAAAAAAAAAATTTTTTTTCTTGAATTGTAACATTCTTTTGGAACTTTTGATATAATTTTTTGAGACCTAGGATAAACACTGAAGGTTATTAAACCAACATAAAAGAAGAGTCACAATTATTTTTTAAATAGTAATTTTTAAGATTGAATGTGGAACATTTTCACATAAGACTACATAAATATTTTTCATGATCATTCTTTAATGTTGTTTCTCTTTTCTTGTAATATTTCATTTTATGTTCTTGATCATTATAATTGGATATGAACAATTCAATTTGAAATAACAAATAACAGCAATTTTTTTGGCATCTGTCAATGACTAGCACACACGCAACATTTGCATACACGTAGTGACATGCAAATTCATAATAACATATGTTGCTTAGAGATAATAGACTTATGATGTTAGAACGTTGTGTGGATTGATAGGAAGACTAAATCCCGTTGTGGAGAGTAATTAATGCTTTGTTATTTAAGGAATGATCACCATGCCCTTTGCAAATTTCCATTTTGTTGGTAGCACTGTTGAATTAGCGTGGGTGTAGCACACCTGCTACATTCATCGCACGTATTACTTTACGTAGTGTAGGAATAGAGTGGCGAAAACATTGTCAAAAGATTAACTATTTCGATGACAACTACAAAAGATATTAAGTTTTTATAACTGAAATTCTTTGAAGGAAATTTGATGCATTCCTTTGAGCCGTACCTGAAATGAAGGGAGTGTTTGCTAGGGGCGACAGCGTGCCTTGAACGTGTCTAACGTGCCCGTGATGCTGTGTCGCTTTAGGAACACGTGTGTGAGCAGCACGTAACTGTGATTACTCTTTATCTATCTGTATTACATTTGTTTGAAATACTCCAGTCAGTGCAGTCGAATTTCTCTAGTGTGTGTTACGAAATGGGTACTCCGCTCAGCGCCGCTCTTGGAATTGACAGAGAGGGGTTAGTCGGGCGTTTTCTGTCTGTGAATGAATTTCACGGGAGCAACGCTAACTTCGTAATAGCGAGTTTAATGGTAGACTCTTTAAAAAGAAGCCATGGAATTTGCCTAATTTCTTTGCATAATACTCTTGGACACTATCACCATGTACTGACAAAAATGAGTGCGCTTAACCTTTGTGAACTGAAAGAACAAAATGCGCAAGTGGAAACAGTAGAATTAATCAGTGAACTCCGTGAACACATGTATTGTGAAGACGAGTGTCCACATGACTTATGGGATGAACACAATAAAATATCAGTGCAACAACTGTTTTCTATAATTCGAGATAAAGTTAGAAAACTGCTCGTTACTCATCCTACTGTCTGTGTGATCATTGATGATGCAAGCCATTTTTTAGACATGGGAGTATCATTAAGGGATGTTTTATCTCTTCTCCAATATTGTCGAACTTTGTTAACCACATTTTCTGGCGTGTCTTTGGTTGTTTTAACTCATGTTATTACTGAAGATGATTCAAATCTTTTAGCTAATAATGTTGCACATGTAGCAGATACAATTGTAAATATTTCTGTTCTGAAAACTGGGCACAGTAGTGATGTGACAGGTGTTATGGAGGTGAAAGACAAGCAGAATAATGATGCTTCAAGTGAACAATGGAATGTGTCAAGTTTGTTTCACTTTAAAGTAATGGATCGTCAAGTAAAACTTTATGCACCTGGTACATCTATGTTGAGAACATGATGATATTAAGAACAATATTATTGATTCAAGGAATCTCATGTTCTAGTGTAATATAAATCTAATGACCTACAAATAAAACTGTAAATTGTAATTTATCAGGTACATTGATAAAGTTTTAAAATCTTTAAGGGAAAAAATATCATCCCTGAAAAATAAAGGTTTTAACTTAGTGCATGCCTTCCAGAAATGATAGGAATCTTGTTCTGGACTTTGAACTACAATTAAGTTCCTTTGGTTCATTTTATGATTAAAAGTGTGTGATTTGGATGCAGTGGTTTTTAAGTGTTGTTCTGCTGTCGACTTCTGTATTGGATGTACTTATTAATAAGTGAGAGCCCATTCCTTGTGATTGAGAATTTACTCCTTTTTTGTTTTGTTGATTATTCTAAGATGTTTTCAAATTGTTGACATCTTAATACTCAGTTTTGGAAATTATGTAAATTAAAATTAAGAGTAAAAAAAGCATTTTGAACTAGAATGTGTTAAAAATGCAATTTTTTTCAGTGTTTCCTTACTTTTAATTTTATCAGTGTTTATGCTTGTCAGCGGTTGGCTGTTATTGTGCTGTCCTAGACTTCTCCATCCACCCAAAGCTCGTTGTCCATTCTTACATGTATGTCTTCAATTATTCCTGAATTCCAGATTTTATAAAGCCTTCCACTTTTCATTCTTCCTGGAGGAGACCAATTGAGAACATTCTTAGGTCAATCCATTGCAATGTTTTTCTTTGTAATCTGTCCACAACAGATTCTGTTTGCTGTATCGATTCCCTGATCTCTGTGTTTCTAATTATGTGCATTCTTGAACTTTGGCAGTGCCTTCATAATCCATCCATTTCTACTGCACACAATTTCTACTTTTGACATTCTATCAGGGTTCAGCTCTCTGCCTTAGGTTAGAATTATAATACTAGTTATTGCAATAATTGTTTTTATTCTTACATGCATTTCCTGACTTCATAACACATAATTCAACATTCTTATGGCTTCTCTTGCCTGTTTAATGCAGTCATCAATATCCTTTTTGTAATTTCCAGACTTCTGCAGGATTGTACCCAAGTACTTGAACTGGTCAACTAACTTAATTCGTCCTACTCCTTGAACATCCATGTCAATATCTTCCCCTTCTACTATCAGATACTCTGTTTTCTTCAATTTTATGTCAAGTACATACTGTCCATAGGCCTGTACTATTTTTCAGGTCATATTATCCACATCATTGCTGTCGATATCGACAAAAACCTGATTGAGATAGGGGGTCATTGATCCGAAAGCTGAAGTACATTTTTTGTTACAAACATATATTTTGTTACAAGCAATATTATACAAAACAAATGTAAAGTATTTCATTATATATCACTGTTTTGCTAAAATAAACATTTTTCTTTTTGATGATCAGTATAGGCTCTAATAGTATAGAAACAGTAATACAGTAGAAAATATTTTTCTTTTAACTTAAATTTGTGAACCGACTTCAGTTGTTTAATTTCATGTGGCAAAGCTTAAAGTAATGTACATGTATGTGGATTTCTGATAGTGAGCTGTTGATACTGGATGAACATTATTTCTATGACGTGTGTTGCAATTATAAATGTTAGTATTGCATGAAAATATGTCCCCACTGTGAAGTCGGTTTAGACAAATTTTATAGATTCATAAATAATTAGGTAAGGCAGTGGTAAGGTTCCCAGCTCAATGAAGAGAGGCTTGCAGGGATCACGTGGATGGCATTTTTTCATTATTCGAATAATTTTCTTTTGCAATCTAAAGGTCTGAGTACTACATGATGAGCTTCCCCAGAATATTATGCCATATCTTAAGTGGGAATTCACAAAATACACTCACCGAGCTGCATGAAGGCTGACAGAATTTGAAAGAATTCTGAATGTGTAACATAATGAACTTAATTTAGTATTTAATTCTGTTATATGTACATTCCATTTGAAGTTTGATTGAATTGAGACCCCTAGAAATTTGTTACTTGAACATCAGCTAATTGCATATTGTTCAATTTCGATGGAGCAAGTGCTTGCTTATTTCAAATGCAAGAAAAATGAAACTTGTCTTTTAACGTTTCAACATATTGTTTCTTGATGCACAATGTCAACCACCTTGCTTTTATTGTTACTTCATAAATAATGTGTAAACTTGTTGTTTTTGGCAAAAAGCAACTAAACTGGATATTTTTTGTCTTCTTTAACCTTCTAGAAATTCTTTCAAACCTATCTCATTTAAGAAATCAATTTGAAGCTTCTAAAAAAGTTAATTTGATTTATCCATCCAGCACTGTTGACAAAAGGAATTAGAATTCAATAACAATTCCAGAATTTATTCTGTCTGGTTGCCTCAATTTCCAAGTAAGAATATTGAAATTTAGCATGTAAGGTATCAAATGTTTGCATTATTTATGAAGTTTCAGCATTGTAGCTCTTTCCTTTACAAGTAAAAATCAAGTGTTGGTTTTCGCAAAATACCAAAATTGTGTATTTTAAACGCAACCTTGCTTACAGAAAGTTAATTTTATAAAATTATTTGAAAAACATTTAGAAAAATATTTTTTAAGAAAATTCTTTAGAAAGAGATTTTAAACTTATTGCCATATCCAGTAATCCCTACCCCATCACCTTTCGCACGCCCTATCGGGCTATAATACCATGGCTTTCTTGCCAGCCCCTCAAGTCCTGGCCATCATGCTTATTCTCCTTTACAACTTCCCGGTCATCACACTTCGTCTGACTTTCTCACACGCTCTATCTGACTCGCCATGGCCGTTCTGCACCCATCACCGCCCGTTCAGCCTATTACGGTACTATGTTCCTCTCGCTCTTTCGGGCTACCATGGCTGTACTGCCCTGCACATCCAGCATATTCTGTTGATCACTTCTTCCCGGCCAGACGGACGAAGTGTGTCCGACTTCTCCGCATCTGACACGCTGTGGCTGCCCTGCCAACACCCCCGCCCTACTCATCCAACCCCTTCCCCTCTGCCTGTGCCTCCCGCTTCTTTCGTCTTTCCTCCGCGCCCCTTTCTTCCATTTGCCTACTCTTTCGCTCCACCATGGAGGAAATAAGATACTCCTTCCTCCTCTTTCCTGTGAGGCTCGTCTCCGTCTGCTGCGCCGCCGCTCCTTCCTCCCCTTTCGCGCTATTTTCGCTCCTCTCGCTCTTTTCGCTTATTCTGCTTCGGCAGTTTCTTGCCGACCTCCCGCTCCTCTAGCTCGCTCGTCCGGCCCTGCTTGGTCCAGCACCGCGTCACACGGCGACGCCCAGCAACCAGAAAGCCCAAGTGGATTGGGGATTGCGTTCAACAGATTATTAAAAAAATATTTTTGGTTATCAGTTAAAATCGCAAGCCCGCCATTTTAATTCTTGATCCCTCAAAAGTATTCGTGCTAAATTTGTGAGCAATCACTCCCGAGATTCTAAAATTTTTGTGGCACATACAAAAATATGCACTCACTTATGTATCAGGAAGATTAATACAGTGCAGTAGGATCAACAAAATCATATCTTCGGAACCGTTGGGGATATCACGCCAAAAAACACTAAGTTGGTCCCGTCGGTGGTGCCTATAATGCGTTTAAATTTCATTTTGATAAGTTGTTTTCGAGTTAAATCGGTAGGTATAGACGGACAAGCAGACAGACAACAATAGATTTAATGAGAGATTCCTTTTAGTGATCTAATAAGCCAGTGGAAAAAAGTGTTTAAAGGCTAAAAAGTTGAAAATTAAAAGGCAGACTTCAGATTCATTTATCTGCATTGATAACGACATTGAAATAAAGTTGGTTGTTGACATTTTAAACTAGTAATGCTACAGAATAGCACAGACTTTCTGGTACAAGTTACTTATTACTTTAGTCGGTGCTGTCATTTCGGTTTTGTCTTACTCTCTTCTCTGTTGTCATCTACAGGCACTTAAATTATATTTTTTCACATTTTCTCAATCCCCTTTCCCCGACGCCTATAATTGGAATATGACATTAAGAATATTTTGAAAGGGTAAAACATTGTTGTACATGTACATTCTCATTGAAAAATTTTGAGCAATTTTTAAGACAGATGAATTGGTTGATTCTTTATTTTCAGGGCGTTTGAAAGACTAAGGCCATTAGATCTGTAAGTGTAGTACATGCTTTTATAACGGGAGGTGGTGTGATCTTTCCCCACTGGATAGCGAACCTACGATAGCCGACCTACACGTCAGCTTGCTAGATTTTCAGTTAGGAACAAGCTCTGAGCTTCCGTCTGGTCTCTCGACCAGTAACGAAGTGCATGTAAGTAAGGGGGTGAGGATAGGAAAAGGAAGAGGTAGGAAAGATCGTGCGCGATCCGTAGCCCCTTTGTTAGGGTACTGCTCCGGCATTCGCCTGGTGTTGATTGGAGAAACAACGGAAAACTACCAATCAGGACAGACGGCCGTTAGAATTCTCTTCCAGACAGCGGCTGAATCCAATCTAGCTATGAAGCCAGTGCCGAAATTTCTGGCGCCGTCGGGACTTGAAGTTTTTAAGAAAATGTTTAAGCATTTATAAAAATTCCAAATTTGAAGCTCATTTTCACCCAAAACTTTCCAGAGTTTGAGAAACTTCATAAGAAAGTATTTGAAGCGATATCTCACAAATGTGATAATACATAAGAAATGCCAGTAATTAATGGTATGATGTATTTAAAAATCTTACATTTGTGTAATTTTGAAAAAATTCCCACAACTAAAGAATACATATAAGCGACATCAAAGTCATGTTATTCAACCGCATTCGTTAAAAAGCGCGAATAAAAAAATTGTAGCAGTTTTCGAGAAAATAGCGTTTGAGCTGAATGTGCAGTATTGTGATAATTTTCACAGAAAACATTTGAGTTTTCGAGAAAGTTCATAAAGATCTCGATTTCATAAATGAAAAAAGAAAGAAATTGCTCATATTGTAAATAATAACGAAAGTGATACTTCAAAAAAAAAAAACAATTGTCAAATACACTCATCAAAATTAAGTTTATGTCCTGTTATTCCGTGAATTTAGCATTATTTGTAGAAAATATTTGAAGAACAAATTAAATCTTTCGAGAAATCTTGTTTGTAATATTTTTTTAAAATTTGGCTGTTTTTAACTCAAAATTGCCCGAAACTTTCAAAACATTAACCATGGCATTAGATAATGGACACTCCTTGGAGAACAAGTTTTATGTGAAGAAAACATCTTTATCTTTAATATTGTAGTTTTAGGACGGAGCTGAAAAATTCAAATTTTGTAATTTTCAAAAATTCAGTGTTGACAGTGACCTTTGCCATTCGAGGACCTTTGCCATTTTTACAAGCGTATTTTAATCTATTCTTTCAGGAAATTGAAATAAAGAATGAATTCATTTATGAGTAAAGTTTGAAAATGTCCCAAATGTTTCATGTATAGTATCCCCAAAATTTAAAGAATCCTTTTCAGAATCACAGGTATCTTCGAGTCGAGCCGTATCGACAGGGAATATTCGTTTTAGGACACATCCTACGATTAGTTTAGGCGCCAGGTTGTTCACAGACGGATGATTGGGCGAATTGGAGGGGAAAAAACCGAACAAACTATATGTGCTACAACAGCACATACTCTCTTGCATTATTTGTAACGACTGCGAAATATTTCTACATGAACATACACAAGTGTTTTCAACCACCAACATTTTTCCCTCGAACTCAAGGTCATACTCCATGCGTTTTACCACTACACCATGTAGTCGCTCTGGCTAAATAACTTGGGCCAACGCTTAAAAAATCCAGTTCAGTCTCCCATTCTTTTCCAATACGCAATTTTCGAAAATACAGAGAGTTAAACGAAAATGAAACCTGTCATTCTTCTAAGCGTCCCGTGTTTTATTCTTGGAAAAAAATTAAAGAAAAAACTTTGAGCGATTTTTGATTAGTGTTTTTTACCAATTGCATTAATTTCAAGCACATATTACGGGAAAACTGTTTTTTTCAAAAAATAATCTGCAACATTTGCAGTTTTCCAATATTTAGAGATTCCAAAGCAAATGTGTTTTGCGATATATTTTGAGTGTCGTTTTCGTGCCGAGGAAACAGCATAACAAAAGGGTTTGGAGCGATTTTTGAGAAAATTTTGGAAATGTTAAGGCTTCATGAAAAGCAATATGTCAAAATCAGTGTCAAAGTACCTGTTTAAGACTCGCAGGGCCTCGACTTCGTCGAGATATATTTAGGGACTTCAATTTTGGAAAAAATCATTTGGACCGTTTACATTGACCATAAAACGGGGATTCTGACTACATAGGTGTTTGAGGAAGTATTTTACAAGTACAACACGTAGAAGCAAGACCAAGCAAGAGTATTATCCACGTTTACGATATCAAGATCCCACAATACGAGTGTTTCTGTAAAAAAAAGAAAAGTTTTTTGGTCGCAGAATTACATTTTCTCTTTACTACGCAAGTACGTAGTACGGCGAGAGAGCGAAAATATATTTCAATTAAATGTGCGGTTGAATTCTAATTTGTTATAGATTTAAAAAAAATCGGGATACCTAAAAAAACTGAAAAGGAACCCAATCATCATTGAGGGACGTCGGGGTCGTCGTTTACGGTCCTTAACTTCGGAGTTCGACTTCTGAAAATATAGAAATATGTTCTTTTGTATAATTTCCATTCGCCATGACCTCTTCATCACGACAGACCTGTTTACTTCCTCAGATTACTTTGCGCCAACACTATAAAGTAGTCTAGAAGTTTTTAAATAGAAATTAGCCATTTCTAAGTTTCTTTAATTGATATTAGCACCAGGGCCGGATTTAAGTAGTGCGGGGCCCCAAGCACAAAATTGGGTTGGCCCTCCCCCTCCCCCGAAAAAATAACTCCATCTTTATTAAATAAAAAAATGTATTATAGTACAAGTACTTTCTGTACAGGTACAAATGAAAACTGATCATTTTTATAGAAATTTTTACTTGTGTTAAATTTTTTTGCCTTAAATACATTTTACATAATTTTTTTTCTGCTCTTCACTGCAGAAAATTGGTCGATGATATCTTCAAAACGAAGATTTCTCAGCTTATCATGCTCTATACTCATTTAAAAAAATGTTTTGAAATTGTACATTTTGTTACACAGTAAACTACTTGATTAACAATTATTTCACTGACAAAAAATATGGTATGCGTATTTTTCCGAAACGGGGGGCCCCTGGTGAATGGGGGCCCCCAAGCAACTGCTTGTTTTGCTTGTAGGTAAATCCGTCCCTGATTAGCACTAGGCGTCATACTCGTCTCTACAGTCTTTCTACTGAAAGCAACGAACGGAATAATTTCAAGGGTGGGGTAGGAATTCCTGGTTTGCGTCGCAAATCTGAAGCCGTGGCCGTGGCTGGCGGTGCAGTGCTCATGCGCGGGAGTCGAGCGCCGCGCCTGCGCGTTCGATAGACCCAGCGCGCCCGGCGCCCGTCGACTCAGAGCTCGCCCCGCCCCGCCCGCGCCAGCGCCCAACGCCTCGCCGCGCCTCGGGAGCGGAGGCGCGCCGTTCGCTTCGCCCCCGGCATGGCACCCCTGCACGCGCCGACGCCTGTGCCAGCGGCCGCTCCGATCCCACGCACGCACGCTGGGAGGCGCTGCAACAGATAGACGGCGAGGATGGTTTGGGGTCGCCTTTTGTTCTGACGTTCCGTGTCTTCTTGTGCAATCGAGTCCATCATGAAGCAAACGGCCCCGCAAGGAGTGGCGGGCCTGCCGCCTCGAATCACGAGGCCCGCGGAAGAAAGGCTGATGGTGAGTACCTCAACTAGAGCACGATTTGTCGGAAAAATTATCTTGCGGTTAAAATGTAGAATGAAACGTACATTTTGCAAATGAAGTGTGCACTGGATGCAGCAAGAAGCGTTAAAACCATTTTCGTTGGAAATAATTTCCTTCTGAAAGTTGATTTATTTGTTTGTACTTTGTTCACTGTTGAGAAAACCAAACATTTCCCTGACAATTCGTGACGATTGTCATAATATAAACGCAAATTTGAATTGCAATAATTGTAATTTAAAAATATATTATTAAACAATTCAGCAAACTCTTCTCATTTAACATTTTCAAACCGTATTCCACAGCACCTTAGAAAATATTAAAACAAAATATTTTGAAATCATTCAACAAGACTATGTAAAAATTTTACTAAAGCAACTCGGAGAAATTTCAATATATCTTAAATTTTGTGAAGGTTTGTGAGGTTTAAACGAATGCTTTCACAAAATATAACCCGTCTTTTGTGGATATGACGCACTCAATGATCGATAACCTGGTCATGCATTCACTATGAATTTAATTCTGAAAATAAAAGTAAACAGGTTATAAGGACGCAATTATGATGATACTCATTGTTCTCATATGAAGAATTCATTTTTTAGCCATTTACAATTGTAGTAAATTTCAATTCCCTTACATGAAAGTATTGTGTCGTAAAAATTCAATAAGTCAAACACGTGAAATATTGTTGACTTACAGTCAACTTATTTTATACCGAATTGATTAATTATATTAACACTCGTTTTTTCTAAAAAGAAATAGGTTTTTTAAACTATACATTTTTATTTATTCGACAGGTTGCAGTGAGAATACGACCCATAAAACACAATGAAGGGCAGCGGGTTCTGCATATGGTGGACAACAAGGTAAGACGAGTTTTAGAAAGATGTCTATCTAGGAAGGTTGAGACAGTTTGTGGTATTGCCGGAAAATTAAGAATAACATTTCTTAAACTTGGGATGGGGGTAGATATAGCCCGATGATCTTCCATTGTAAGAGGAATCGTTTTGCATGCCAACAAACCATCAGAAGCTTTATCACTTTTGACCATTATGGTACTGAAAATTATTTGTAAAATAAAATATACGTTTTAGAGGAAACGTTTTTGAATTCTCGATACAATACATAAAACATGGCAAACATCTTAAATCCGGGAAACGATTATGATTCGTCATGAAGTCCGAATGGAGCAGGTTTTTCTTTCTGTGGAAATAACTAAAAGAGATGAAATTCGTATCAATAAACAACAAAATGAAACGGATAGCAGAGAAATGCAACTATTGATGGCAATATAATATGAAGTATTTTGTTTAAATTTAGTATGAACCTTTAATTATGGTAATTAAACAAGTCATATAAGGTTTTTATGCAAATAAGTTTATTAGCTACGGGATAATAAACAGGAATAATCTCTTGTTCTTTTGATTATAAAGCTTAAATGATATCGCAGCTTTTCATGAATTCGAAACTAAATTGCTATGAAAAACTTATAAAAATATACAACACAAAAACAATAGTCAAACTATTATCATATTTTGGCATAACATTTACATACTGAATTATTTTAACGTGTATCACACTCTACTTTCTTTGTAATACCGATTGGACCACAGAAAATTCCTGGGAAAGTCACTCGTTACAATTAACATGGCTGCTAGCTCGCCTAGGTTGTGAAGGATCAGACAATCGTGATGTGTGCGGCAGATAACATTATTCGATTGTGTTTATGTCATGCGGTTTGTTATGCACGATTTCAATCTGCGAATGGAGCTACAGCTCCTTGTAGGTCCGCATGAAAGAGCAGTCACAACAATCAAATGCCGCGCCAAGTTTTCGACATTCTTAAACATGGGATTGGCACATCGGTGCAATTTTTCGCAATGTATTGCAAACATCAATGACACAAGGCGATTTTTCACCACTTCCGCAAACCACCATCCACTTACACAATCACCACTTCAACAAACTAACTACTACTACTACTACAGAGTGGTACTACAGAGTGGCACACACTTTCTCGAACTAGTTAGTTACGAAAGCCCTTTAGTCTGGGATAGCTTTTCGTTTCTCTCCCACCCTCTTTCTATCACTGACTCAGAGACATTTTGTTTTCATTTTCTCAATGTTTCGATTCTATAACTGTATAATATTAAAATATGACTTTAAGAATAATATAAGTCTAAAACCTCGTCATATATACAAATTTTCATTAACAAATTGAAGCCGGTTTTGGGAAAATGGCGAAAACTACTAAAACGTTCAATACTATGAACATGGCATTAAGTAAAGTACTAATGAAAATAAATTTCATTTGAAGAAAATATCTTGAGCTTCAAAACTATTGTACCAGAAATACCAAAAAAATCAAACTTTTGCAATTACAAAACGTCAGAATTAACAGTGAAAGTCTGACATATGCTACCTTTAAAAGAGTTTTTTTTCGTATTCTTAGAAGAAAAAAAAAGGGTCCGTTTTTGAGAAACTTTTGAAAATATTAGAGAAGCTTCCTCAAAATTCAAAGAATTTATTTTCAAAATTACAGGGTTTCTAGACCAGTCAGATTGATCGGGGAATATTCGTTTTGGCAATAGTATCACAAATACTTTAAGCGCTAGTGTTACTCATGGACAGTCGCACGGACGGAAGTTTTAAGTAAAGCAAACATTTTCCGTATCTGGGAACCCCAAAACGTGTATTTCCATAGAAATCTAGAAATAGATTTTTCCGCAGCATTACATAACATTTTCTATACTGCGTTTAGTACTTCCTAATTACGTACGTATATGAGAGAGTAAAAACAACGCGACATTTATTTCTGGATATTTCTGAAGTAGATTGACGAGATTTTGTTAAACCGCGCAGGATAAAAGGGTATCTTATTATTGCGAAGATATTGAAGAGAGGAAATGTAGATTATATATCTTTGAAAGCTGTATAGGTGATGACAAAATGTTCTTTACTTTAATTGTAGGCACTGACCTCTTCAAAAGCTCAATCTTCTCCCTTAAATACTTTCTTTTTGACACTGTCTTCATTCTTGCGAATGAGGTGGAGTTCAAATATTGTCTTTCTAAATCTTATTTCGCTTCTTACATTTTGTTGTGAAGTTTTTAAATGTTTTTCAGCACTTGCTTTCCAAACAATATGCAGTGAAGGTAAACTTTGCCGTATGAATACTGCAAACGAGTTATTGCCATATAAAAGAACTGAGAATTGCAAAGTAAACAAAACACTGGGGCATCATGAATCACCATGTCTGCCACCTCAAATGAGGAGTATGATTTCATTCTTTATTTTATATTTATAATGCACTTCTTACTTTCGACGTATCCTGAGTACTCTTGTGCCTTTGCTCCAGTGCAGGCAACTCTTCTCTTTCTTTATGGTAAAATAATTTTTGACATAATTTCACTCCCCCCACACAAACTTACATTAAACTTTTGGACAATTATAAGCAAATTATTTTGAATCATTTTAATTTATCAACACGCACATTACATTTCAGACGTATGAAAATGAAAAGTTATCCTTCTTTGCAAGGCATTCTTTTTAGTTTGGTCCACAGCTTCCGAGTATGAATATTAAACGTGACGGAATGACTGACGTATTTGTTACTATATCTAGAATTGTTAATTAGATTACGGTGCAAAATACAACGTACATCACCTTACTCCGTGTAAAATGTTCTTCTCTTAGTTTAAGTTCACAAACGTATACACAAATAAATATTCTAACACGTGTCGCAACTTCTATAAATATGAAGAAAATATTACTTTATTCAGAAAAAAATATGTTTAGTAATGATCTGTATCAATATAACTAATTGTAATTATGTTTAATTTAACACAATAATAATAATAATAATAATAATAATAATAATAATAATAATAATAATAATAATAATAATATAATTGTTTCCAAGATCGGATTCGTGAAATTCCTTCCAATAATTTCACTGGCGTTTCTGACAGGGGGACGTGGAATCACTTTCTCCCTATATTTTCAAGTAGGTTCACAAAATTCGAGAAATTGTAAACAAAACTTACATCATTCTAGAAACATTACCAGATATTACTGGATTTGGAAAGCAGTCCACAAGTGCTCTTGGTCATTATTCCCACACCTTCATTACTAAAGCTATAAATTCTGTTCTTAACGCAATCGATTCTTCAGTGTTGGATATTTAATTATGTCTTGTAGAATTTTAAAAAATATCAGTGGTTTTACTACACTTTTCAATTAAATCTTGTCATCATTCCAAAAATTGCGAAGTACGATTTTCTAAAAATTCCTCCAAATTTATTCTTTAAGCTATTGTACTAATAGAAGGTCATGTACACGATGCAAGCATAATTTTAAATAAAACGTTTCTGGAAGGTGGAGGAGATAATGAAATTAATATCGTCATTGTGCGCCATATTTATCTCTTCAGTGGCCACGAGGATTATTTTGTAATCCAATAATGATTCGCTATTTATACGGAGTTGATGAACATTTTCAGTATCTTTTATACGTTTTTTTATATATAAATATATATCTTTTATAAGTGACCCCATGTTATGATTTATCGCGAATTATGCTCAAAGTGATCATTGTTGCGCTCTCGATAAGCACGCACTATATTGGTATTTCTCGGACCACTGCCACTACGTACAGTTTCTGACCGAGGAGTTCGATTGTGACAGGGTTTCATGCATTGGGTGCGAGCTAGCAGTTCCGGAGTTTGAGAATAATTTGTATTGAACAGTCAATATGAGTGTCAGCACTTGCATGAGTAGGAAGAATATTGAATTTTTGATATTTCGAGAGGAGAATATAACGGTGATGACGAATTATCAGAAACAGAAAAAGACATTTAATGCGATTAATAGTCGAATACTGAAAACGATGAAATACCTGATAACAAAAATAGGATTCTTTGTTTACAAAGAAGGCAGGAAGTGGATTAAATTCGCTATGAACACGGATATCCGTGTGAGTATGATAACAGTGATGACTAATTTCCAGAATTAATGCAAGACTTTGAATGCGAACAATAGACGGATACTGAAGACTATGGTATATAGATACTGAAAGAGATGACAAATAGACAAACATAAAAATAGATACGTTGTGGACAAATACGGCAATAAGTGGAACTGTTGCTGAGCAACGCGGGCTCCCTTGCGAATTAGGTTGTTTTTCCTCCTGTCGCCTCGTGAACTCCAGGCAAAAATTGCTGCGAAATTCCACAGAATCCTACATTGTTAGTGGTCAAGAACATTTGCGGATCATCGTACTATCAATGTGTACGGAGAGAATATTTTAATTCGATCATCAGCGAAATCATGGTAAAACGTTTACCGATAAACTAGCAAAGAAAGCTTTATAAGAAATACTTTATCTTGTTGGAGTATTGAAGTCATTCCGGAAGGCCACTCTCAAGACGTAGAAAACCGACGGAACTTGAATTGAAACGCTGCAAGTAACAAAACAAGATCACTCAACAAAACAGCGTAATTTATGTGTAGTGGGTGTGTTCAGAACAAAGAACATTCAAGAGTAAGATGCTCAACTGATGCGGCTTTTGAAACACATTCAAAATATGGCTATAAAATAAATCAACACTTTTGGCATTTTGCCTTATTATACATAAGGTGAAGTGTATGTAATGCATACAACATGGCTGGTTTAAAGAAGAAGCTACTACTCGTATATTTATGGCATATTTATTTGAAACAAAAATGCACACAATATTGTGTAAAATTTCTTAGCTTTTGTTATTAGCAAACATGTTAATAAATTGCATAATATTTAGCAGCTGAGTACTTGTTTAGACGTATGTGTAGTTAAATGAGTTATTATAATCTTCTCAAAAGATTAAAAT